TCCCCCCTCCCCCCAAAAACAATGTTGGCTGAAAAGCCTATTACTTACCCTAGCTGATAAACTGACATTGGACGAATTTCAAGCTTCGAAATTGTCGTTTTTCAACATTGTTTCAAGGGGGAGAGGGGGATGCTACTGAAGTTATGCAAAATTTTAGCTTGGTGTACCAAGACTTTTGGCAAGGATTGTTGGTCTACATAATGTAATGCTTGTGAAATATCATTCTTCTCTTCCAAAGCTCTTTCATATAAAGTTCCCCTTCAGTGTCACCAACCACTTGTTTCTCCATATCAAACAAACATAGGGTAACAAAATTAGATATGTTAGTAGCCTTTCACAGCAAAAGGCAAAGCAAAACGTCCAGGGAAAAACAGACACAAAAAGCATCAATTTGGCTTTATATCAAGAAGAAACGGATCTACTCCCTAACTTTATGCTCTAGCGTCCCTGAAAGATTCCATTATCCTACACCAAAGATATCACTCAGGGGTAATGATGATAAAAACAATTACACATATTTAAAGTGGGCATTCTACAAAAATTAACAATGTTTAGCACACTGAACACAGATAACTTAAATATCTGTAAATTTAAAAATACTATAGCTAATTTTTAATATTTCTTCCTTATTTGCTCCATTTATCTTTCATAGCACCCCCCCCCCATTCGAATTTTTTTATCCCAGTTCTCATCAAAAGTTGAGCTTATCAACATACTGAAAAATTCCCCAAAGAAGCAATGTAGCACAGGTAGTAGAAAAAGCGCCGTCAGTGACGTAAGGACCGTGGGCACTGGGGGCAAGTAAACGAAAAAGAACCTTTTAGAAAGTTCCCTTTTAGCTTTGTTTCCCCCAAGACAACGAGTTTAAATATACTGCAGTCAAAATGCCCTTCCAGGTCAAGAGCTTCCCTTTCAAATGATCCCAGATAGAAAGTTAGCTTTTTAAGCTGTGCATCGCATATTCATCTATTGCTTTCTAATAAAGAAAGCGCCCTCAAAGTGCTGTGCCCCACCCCAAGTGTAAGATGCTTCTAAAGGCCCTGGGCACGGCAGTAACTAGTGATTAATGTCTATCACCAATATTGTATCCAGTGTCTGCGCTGTCTTCGTTCCTTTCCTCATTTCAACGCGAAAATCGTTTCTTAAATGCGGGCAAAGGCGACAAGAATATGCAATAAACCCTTCTCCGAAGATTCCGCACATGTTCGCGTCTCTCAGAACATTTCGCTGCTTTTCCAATCATTTTGAAAAACAATCAGTCAGAAAAACAACCGAATCACTCAGGTATTCCAGCAGATTCAACGACATCTGTGCGTCAAACACAATAAAACAAGAGAACGCAGCCTGTAAAACACGAACAACTTTGCAAATTTAGGGCGGAATTGGATTATCCATGAAGCAAAACCGCCTAAAAGTAGCAAAATATAGACTCGTTTCGCAAAAAATATTTTGAGCTCTGAATAATTAAGAAAGCAGGCATATGTTTCGCACCATTATCCTCGGAACATATCCGATTTACGACTAAGCTTTTGCATATTTCTATTCCAAGTTTAAAATGTTATTGCAATACCTTTACGACGCATCATATACTTAATTTCCTAGATTCGAGCTTTCACAGATAATTTGGGCTTAATTCATTTTTGAAAAAAACCGAAAAGTAATACTTTGCTCGAACAAACGAGCTCAACTCAATCAATCAGAGAAACAGAGAAAAAGATACTTGTCTCGTCCCCTTTTATCTCTGATCTCTAACACTTTAGCCTTTGCTCTGGCTGGGGTGTCCTTCTCCTGACTTCCGTTCGTATTGAATGAGTATTTGCCTTTTAACCCTGGAAAAGAAGCACATAAGCATATCAAAACAAGGTGATATTAAAATATTAATGTAAACCCTTTTCATTCAAATATTTATCTCTCTGAAAATTTCGAATCTCTCTGAAACAGGCAGTTCACTAGCAGTTATATGAACTTACGGTTACATTGAAGGAAATCGACAGATATAAAAGTGCCTTAAACCGTCTGTCAACCAATATTAGCCAATCAACAAGCGGGTGAGTGGAATCAAACTCACTGATTGGTCCATTTGAATTGAAAGATGGCTTAATCTGTCAATGGCCTTTAATACGTCATCAAATAAAAGTTATTTCAGTATTTGCTTCGAAAACAAAACATATCATAATTTTCTTATTGCAAGAGTCGCTACTTTCTTCATGACATTTCATGACAAGAGTCGTTTCTTTGCACAGTATAGCAACTTTAGCATTTCCAGGTATTCTGTCGATGCCTGGTCAAACAAACAAGCACACATACAGAAAGGTCGGCACAACTGACTTCCCTGTTTCCTCTTTTTAACCAACTTTATAAACGTTTCAAGGCAACGACTGCGCACACTCGAAACCAACAGTAGACTCGACAACATAGAGACATTGTTTTCTTAATGTGCAAGAGAAAATGTACAGGAGAAAATATAGACGAGTAGAATCACCCGCTGCTCTGCTGGTTAAACCAGGAAAACAAGCATGAAGAGTGGAATAATGCGTAACACGGCAGGTTTTAGCTTTAAAAAATGGACTGAGTTGTAGCGCCAATGAAATTGACCCGGTTTTAGATAGGTCTAAAAATCAGCAACAGCATGCATGGGCAAAAAGGTACGCGAAGTTCCACCTTGAGAAAATAGGTCAAACAAAACAGATTTTTCTGTTCTTCTTCTCTAAAAAGGCATTTTTTTAGTAGAATACCTTATTGAAAGATATTTCCAGTCTGATTGAAAACAATAACAGAAATCGTTATATTCACCGTCAAAACCTTTCCTCTCAAATTTAACAATTAGATAAAAAAACAACCATGTTATACTTTTGACAAGAACAAAAACTTTCCGAAAAAATAACAGCTTAGCTTTACAGGGGTTTTTTCGCCCCTTCTGACCCCCCTCTTTATCTACATCACTTGGTTGGTAATCTAAGTATGGAAAAACATGCAAAGTACCAAGAATAGAAAAGAAGAAAGTCGATGAAATGTTGACGTGTGAGCAATTTCTGACCATCAGTATCACTGATGCAGCGGCATCACTAGTATATTGTATTTTCAGATGCATAATTCAACGGACGACTGTTCAAAGGGCGAACATATACTGGAATTGGATTTATATGTGGTTGAGTTATTTAATTTGACCTTGAAGTTGAAACCACGGTTGTGCTATATTTCTGTATTATTAGAATATTAAACCATGAATGAATATGCAACATTTCCAGCTGCAAAGCCACGCGACCGTTAATACACCAGATGATCACGCAAAAATAGTAATTCAAGGTTTAACCAAAATTGTGATAAAAATCTTGTGCAATTTATTCGAGGTTTGATCTTGCAGCTACTAGTTTGTACAAGAAGCAAAGAGTTACTGACATTTTTGAAAAAAACCAAAACAATCATTTTTAAGTTATAATACATAATAATACATTTAATAATAATATATAATACATTTTTAAGTCATTTAAATCGTGTAAATATACAAGTCAATATGCCTGTAACATCATGAAAAACTGCAAATATAACAATGTTTCATTAACAAAAAAGTCATCCACATATTACATCATCATAGCATTATCAATCAGTGATATCACTGAAGAAAATCGTCAACAATAGAGGACCAAAGAGGGAGTCTGGATAATCTAATTTTTTTGTCCACAAATTCTATAAAATGATGTTGTATCAACATTTCAACCAGATTAAATCATGTTAGTAAAATATTTTTCGAGAGAAAAAACAGTTTTGGTACAAAATATTTTGTCTAGGTCGGATGAAAACATTCCGGTCAATAGAAAAAAATTATAAGTGAGAGATTGACAGACGGAGAAAAGGACAGACGGAAAGCAAGTACCATGTAAAGATGGAGACAGAACCAGAAAAGAAATATTCCCAGTTGATTTGTCATGCTTAATAAACATCAACTCTAAATAGGCTTCAACTTTGATAATAGTTAAAATTTCTACAGCTAACCGTTTCTTTGGGAATGATGCAAAATTTCTCTATGAAAATCATGAAAAAGAATAAGGGCATTTCGAGGAACAAAAGCTCTTGATGCCAATCTTAAGTCATAGAGGTTGCCCATCGGCAAAAGAGTACCATGTTGGCTCGATACAGTGGCGGATTTAAGGGGGGCAACTAGGGGCAGTTGCCCCTCCCTCGACGAGTTGAAGCAAGTATGGTGCCCCTTTTTTCGAATTGTCCGCCCCTTTTGAAGAATGAGAATCAGATGAAAAGATTCTTAGACCAACAGGTTAATTTGCTTCAAGGATTACTTCAAAGTTGTGTTGTTTATTTCGAAAATGGACCTGAAATTGTTGTATACAGAGTTCCCTCCTCGTCAATTTTTCAGCGCCCCCACTACCAACTGCCCATCCTCCAAGTTTGCTCTGGAACCGCCCCTTGCTCGATACGAGATAGAGAAGGCATCCCTGTCAGCAATTCCTATCGAAAACAGCCTACATACAATTGTTGGCATCACTTAGAGACAACTGTTATCGACATTGTTTTAAAGATATCAAAAACTCATCACCTGAACGAATCCACTTGCTCTTTGTAATTGACTGACAAAAATCAATATGAATTCTTCGGTCATCAATCAATACATTTTCCATTTTGAAATAGGCCTTTTCGCATTCTTCAACCTGCAATGTATGAAATTTCACATAATGTAATTCCATGACTTTATCATCGTCAATTCTACACAAAAAACTTAACATTGGTAGTTAATAGCTCCATAGCTTCTTGGAGGAGATTCATCCGATATTTTAGCGCGGAGGCATGATTTAAGTGAAAGAGTAGTTCATCAAGAGAGAACCTAGAGCCACACCGTAAGTGAAGAAATCCGGAGATCAGATAATCTCAATAATTTACATGTAAAAATCAAAATGCCTGTATTGGGAATGGCAGAAATTATACTAGCTTACAGTACAGGGATCATTAGGGATCCTATAAATTAAACATTAAAAATTAAAAATCAAACACAGTTCTAGAAAACTAGTCAAAAGAACCAGGTCCAAGAAATTTCAGCCAACTTGCGTTCTCCGAATATACTAAGTGGTCTGCATTTTGACTTACAAAAGTTGCTATCTGCTGACAATAGGATGAATAGCTGTATTTGATCAGCTTGTTCAGCAAGCTAGACAAAATTTATTTCGATGTGTTTGTATTTTGCTTTTACAAAAATCTTGAGGAGATCACAAGCAAAAATTGGCTGGCTTTTCTGGAAATCAACTATCGTGAATTCATGCCAATAAACAAAATGACAGAATATTTCCACGATAATTTGTTTAAAAAATAGATCTTCTTAGAAAGTAGTGAATTGAAACAAAGCAATACCTTTGAAAATTCTATGAAACCATAGCACAACGAATCCCCAGTTTTGTGGTCTCGTATAATTTCGCAACTGCAAAAATCAATGAAATATGAATTGATGTTTGCACGGATCTGCAATTGTAAAGATGCGTTGTAGGACTGCAATTGAGGGCGGCTTTTTTTATATCTGGTAGTTATTCAGAAGATATAGTCGCAGAAAACACGATTTTATTGTCAAATGCACTCGTAATGTAAAACAAAGATCTAGTTTCTTATTCACAAATTTATTGCATTACTCTCAGAAATGTCAACATTGATATTTAGTGAAAATTTGATAACATTATTAAGAGCGAAATATCTCTTAGATTATATAGTTTTATACAGACAACATGCATACTGTTTTTGCAGACAAAATATAGGCCTGGGATCCGACCACAGATACATGCAGAGAAAGTCCAGCTCCATACCAATATATTTAACATCCTAAATGGACTTAACGAACAACACACAACAATCGAAACCTCTCTACAACGGACATCCCCCCTGCAACGGGCATCCCCCCTGCAACGGGCATCTCTCAGAAACAAAAGTAGATCTGCCGCATATGTGCTCGTAAAAGTTCTACATGAATTGTTCACTCTCTGGAGCTGCGAAGGAGAGTTGCATTCAGACCTATTGCAAGTTAAGCCCGGATTTTACAATTGACATGTAATTTTGTTAATATCGGGGACTGACAACAATTATTACTTGTCAAAGTTCAATGTGGTCGCTAAACAGCAGATCATTTTCGCAAATTAGGCAAAGAAACGGTAAAAATTGCCAAGCTTGGCTGTAGGCATTATTTCTTAAATAAAAGGGCTGAGCGTTCATACCACGTGTTGTAGGCCTACCTTTGAAGTTGCCTTAAGCCTATACCGTGATGACGTCATTTCTGATAATCACGAGGCATCACACGTCACGTGAAGCATTTGTTGAAAATCTAAAATGTTATTCAGAATCCGGAAGCTGAAGTTATGAGACTGGAATCGATCTGAACACTGAAATTGAATCTTTGTGTTGGTTATGTTTTCGCCATTTAAAATGTTGATACTTAGAACGTGATTCCTTTTCATGACAACCGGGGAGATCATTTCTCTAAACAAACCAACGAAACGTGGAAGATATAGATCACATTAAATTCAGGCTGGATTTGGCTTGAAAAAGACTATAACTAATCTATCAGCTAATTGTATCTGGAATTAGACTTTCACCACAACAAAAATCATACCGAGCTCCTCGCAAAATTTCGATGAAAAATTGGGACAAAAGATCCCAACACGAGAAGGGAGCTGGAATCCAGAGACCAAATCTGCGCATTCATTGGGGGTGTTCAGCTATAATTCTTTCAGAAAGAAAAGCAACGAATTTGAAGACTGACCGGACGTAAAATTAAGCAGCTATAGACTGACAGCAGACATCAATGCAAAAACGTCATCAACATAAAAGAGGCCATCCTGACGAATCATAACTTAATTGGCACAAAGCTCTTTAAGTAGAAACACACGAACATCAAAGGTCAGTTTTCTGACAATTTGACATCGCTTTTACAAATAACTCCGGGTGCAGAGGTAAACAATGAGAAAAAATGAAATAAATATTTCTTTTCTTTAGCATAACAAAGATTTTAAACTATGCAAAATTAAATCTTTCTTTAAGCGAAAGCCCTCTGGACTTATGAACACGAGGATGTTGTTTAATTTCATTTAAATATTTATGTGCTTTAAATCTTCGAAGATCTCACAATCTAAAAATCCCCTGAACTAAAACTCATCTAATGCATGAGGTTTCATATCTTTACGAAACGTGGGGTTATCATAACAAAAGAAATTTTCTTGATATTCATTCTAAACAAGAAACATAATATTTTCATATCTACAGCGATATAGTTATTCTAGTCGGTTTCACCCAACGATTAAGTTTCAATAAAAATGATAACAATCATAATAAAACTTTCGAAATTTTATTTCATGGACTTTGTAATAAATAGCGCTATACATACAGACATTTTACAAATAATACGCCATCATATACTCTGGCAATAATATAGGCTTAATTTAGGTAGGACCATTTTCCTGTAAAGTTCTCAGATGGTTACTGATGGTTACTAAAGGCGTAACGACCGACAAAACGAGGTCATCAGGAAATCTTTAGCACAGGGCGTGCTTTTCGGATATTGTGTTAAATATGATGTCAAAAATGTTAAAGAACACTCAATTGTGATGATAGCTTACTGACAAAAGAGCCGTTTAAGTACGACCATTCAGGACCTTCTGGATTTGTCACTCCTTCATACGAAGAACCATCTAGCACAGCTTATTGCCTATTATCAACAATTTCCCTGCTGTTTCGATTCAAATTCTGGCCCGAGATAGTCACAGCGACTATACAAATTATTGCCTAAGGTGGCATTTCAAAAAGATGATTAATAAGGTTGGTAGGCTTTAATTGTCATGCATAAGGCATCATGCAATTAAGGTTGGTTGCTAATAAAATAGTTTAGTCGTGGACAACATGTTAATTCCGGGTTAACATATATTGCCACTATATAGAAAGATTCTCGAACTTATAAAGCCTTTAAGACACAAGGGAACTGTTATAGAGAAATTTTGATAAAATTAATACGTCGCTTTTTTCAATTCCAGGCGTAGGAATCGAATTGTGTGGTAACATCGAGAGGAGGGACCAGGGCACTGCTCGATAAGCACCTCTTCTGAGAGTCCTAAAAACTACATTCGGAAGCAATATACAAATACTAACGAGATAAAAAGGGCTCTAGAAACTGCAGTTCATAGAAAACCTACTTGAGATTCATATTTAGCAAAGCTTAAGTTTAGGACCAGATTATTCCAACCACGCAGGGAACCATCAGAGTAATTACTGGCTGAACAGCGATTTGAAAAAATTGCTTTTCAAAGAGCAGTGATTTTTAGGCTCGAAGCTAATCAAAGCATGCCAAAAATAATTAAAGGATAAGGTTCTTGCCAGGTAGCATACACTTTTAGCTTAGCATCTCTAGTAAATAATTCTAGTGATAAAGTTTTAGTAGCTTGGTTTTTAGACAGAAAATGTCATGCGCATAAATGATTTTACTAAAGGAATCTCTGGAGAAACAATATTCAATGCAATGAAATGTAATAAAATGCAATGCGATACAAAAAATAAATTAAATAAAATGAAATAAATAAAATTTGATAAAATAAGATAGCTATAAAATAAAATAAATAAAATAAGATAGCTATAAAATAAAATAAAATAAATAAAACCAAAATAAAATACAATACAGAGAATGGAATGCAATATAATACCATACAAAATACATCAAAAACACCACTCTTTGTAACGAAAACTTCATGAAAGGGGTCAGAACGGGCGTATTGTCTGCAGATTCAATAATTGACAAAAAATTAAGCATAAATGCCTTGTTGACAAAGTAATTGTTGACGGATTTTGGCCACAGTACATAACCAAGGCAACCCCATTGCGGCGCAAGAAAACGGATTGCAACACAGTACAATCGACTCCTCTTACAGTCACTTTGCTTACAGCCACACTTCTGGTAACAGTCACATAAAATTTAGACCCCAATGTGCAAACTTTTCCATTTAACTCCGTTTACAGTCACACTTCGTTAACAGTCACAATTTTTCATGTGACTATAACCGGAGTCTACTGTACTACGCAAAAATCCCATCCTATTTTTTATAGAGCAAAATAGAAAATCATGAAATATGCAATCCAAAACAAGAAAATGAAAATGCATCTTTGCATACAAAGATTTTTAAAAGCAGATCCTTGATATTGTTTACAGCATTCACAGTTAGAGGAAAGTGGTAACAGACCAGTGAACCATAGTCATAAGTAAACTGAGACGGATGTTTGCCAAGGGTAAGATAGATGCAAAAAGACTGCTTAGTTGCTAGGTTATTAAACATGCCCCCATTAAAAGAGTTTCCAACCAGTCTAATAGCTTTATTGGAAAAATGAGCTACAATCTTGGACAGTTGAGACAATGCTTAAGTATATACCATGTAGTATGCATACATAGTCCCATATCCAACTCTCTTTTAAAACATTCAATGATGCTGCTTAAGTAACTTAATAGCAGATACATCAACATCGGGGGTGGGGGAGTCGAGGCAATCAAAGGGAGAGGGTGAAAGGGAGAGGATGAAAGGAAGAGAGGTGAAAATTCAACATCGTCTGTCCAAACTGTAGAAGATGCTGCATGACATAAAGCAATTCAAATAATTTTAGCATGATATACATATCGTAGTATACCTAAGTATAATAATTCATCTTACGTTGTATTCTGTCTAGTGTCTAATTAAATGTATTACTGCTGATCCGAGTCAATGCCTTTGAAATCATTCCCTAATGTCATCCCAAAGCTTCGTGAATATAGCGAAAGGAACTTTCCACCAAGAAAAAGGACTGGAACAGTGAAACTAAAAGCTGCCAAAACACAGACCATACCGGCAGCAAATTTTCCTGGAGGAGTTCTAGGGACAATATCTCCATAACCAAGCGGAATTATAGTCTGAATTGCCCACCAGACTGAATCAGGAATGCTTTTAAAAGGGGTATCCATTGACACTGACTGTTCTGCATAATACACTAGACTTGCATAAGCCAAAGATGACATTGCAACAGCTAAGACCATAGTTATAACGTCAACAAGGCAATCTGATAAAATTCGAAAAACTACTTGAAGTCTTTGTGACTGTCGCCTTACACGAAGAAGGCGTAGAACCCGAAACGCTCTGACAGTTTGTAAAAATGTCATCGACGAATGATCAGCGAGAAACTGGACCACAATGTAAGGAAGCACTGAGATGATGTCAATCAAGTTAATTGTCGAAACAAAGAAGCGAAATTTGACTGGCGTGACAAAAAATCTTAGAAACAGCTCAACCAGGAAGAATACATTTAGGAAGAAATCGATTGAGAACAGCTCGCTCTTAAAACTCAAATGTGGGAGAGTCTGAAAACAGCCTAGCAAAACAGACACAAAAATTAGAATGTAAACCACAGTAGCATACACAGCAGCTTGCTTTGACGATTGGGGGTTCTCCAAAAACTGCCAAATAACCTCTTGAGTGTTGCACGTGAATTCGTAAATCGGTGTTACATCTTCCAAGACTAGACCTTCTCGCTCTTTCATTTTTCGAATATCTTTTTCTGGGATGTCGAAATATCGACAGGTTTCCTCGAAATCCGCCGCTGGCAACGAAGGAGGTCGCGTTAGAATGCCATTTGATTGGTAGTAAAACAGTATCGCATCGAACGAAATTGCGCTGCAATGTAGCACAATCATATCAGCACTGGTTGTTGGCAGAGCCTTGCGTTTGCTTCGCGAACCGAGAAGAGTTGTTGGAAACCGTCGTAATGTCGATTCAAGAGTCTCGTAATACACGCCACGCACACTTATTTGTACCCTATTGCTATTCATTTTGACCTGAGAATTCACGCTCAATTCAGCAAAGTTTTTGTAGTCAAAAGCGTCTACTTCCATCGAAGAAATCGATCAATTAACCATTTACGGCGGGTTGTTATTGGCTAAAAACATTCGATGAACACTACAGTGAATAGAAATTGGCTTTTAGATTGTAAATAACTTCAGCATACCCTCCATTTCAAAATGTCAGTTATTGTAAATGTAGCTTTGTGTTAATGTGGCTGCATAGACAAGTCAAGTCCATTCATTGTCTAGGTCGAATTTCTATTACCAATAAACGATGTTGTAGCGATCGAAAAAGCCATTTTAAATCTACATCACGCGTGAAAATGAATTAACCGAGTCTGATAACGAGCACGTGACGTAACACAAAACAATAAGCACAGATCATTTAACTGCCGACCTATCAACATCACTTGCCAATTAAACAAAACTCCTAATATATCACAAGAATTTCAGCATGAAGATCGATAACCAAACGAGGAACTGCATTTCCCATTCGAGAACAGCCCACAACAAGTGGCTTTTGGCGTATATTTGCTATCAGTTTCAGTTAATGAGATCAACTGACCCCGCAGTATTACAAGTGAGGTTTCATATTCACTGGATAAAGCTATAATCCCAACCAGAATCCCAGCAGTGTTTCACATGAAGTTTGATATTCACAGGATAAAGCTATAATCCCAGCCGGAATCCCAGTAGTGTTTCACATGAGGTTTGATATTCACTGGATAAAGCTATCTTCCCAACGGAAATCCCAACAGTGTTTCATATGAGGTTTGATATTCACAGGATAAAGCTATAATCCCAGCCGGAATCCCAGTAGTGTTTCACATGAAGTTTGATATTCACAGGATAAAGCTATAATCCCAGCCGGAATCCCAGTAGTGTTTCACATGAGGTTTGATATTCACTGGATAAAGCTATCTTCCCAACGGAAATCCCAACAGTGTTTCATATGAGGTTTGATATTCACTAGATAAAGCTATAATCCCAACCGGAATCCCAGCAGTGTTTCACATGAAGTTTAATATTCACAGGATAAAGCTATAATCCCAACCGGAATCCTAGTAGTGTTTCATAAGCCAAAACAGGTCATCAACGTACAAACCAAATATTGACGCCAGTCCAGTTGCTGAGCTGTTGACTGCCCGGAACAGTTCTTCAAAAAAGCTACTTTTTCGGTTCCATATTCATACAGAACTACGTAAACAGCTTGAATCAATCCTTTTCAGTCCATAAGAGGAAGAGTTCCGTAGCAATCCATTAAGTCAGTCTTTCCAACCAAATAAACTTAAATCAAGATATCAAAACAATGCAATCTGAAAATCACATGCATTCAGCATCAGTTATCCATTATGGAACTGAAAATATCTAAGAACATAGCTAAAAGATGAAAAATTGTTGGTTAACACTCTTCACGAACATCGCGACATAATTCAAGAAAGCGTGGTAACATCCGTCTTTTTGAAATATATTTCTAAAAAACCATTTGATAATTCACCTGAAAACATCCATCGTTAATGCACGACCACCTGTTTAGGCTATATCCAGAAAAAAACAACGCACAGAAGTGAGTTTCAATTAAATTTGAAGCGGAGAGACCATCTTGAGCGTTTGGTAATTCAAAACCAAAGTAGGCAAACAGCTAAATTAATAGTCCACACATCATTCCAATAGTTGTAAAATATTGAATTTGTTCTTTGCAAACAAGAGTTGAATTTTTGTTCAAATGAAGGTATTTGAACAAAAAACTACAACAGAACAAAGAACGAGTTTCAAACCAAACAACAACAATTTATTCTTCGATTTTCTTTCTTTGTCTTCCGTGCTTGAAATTTAATTGCTGCAGGAAAACATTGCCAAAGAAACAGAAATATCTGTATCAACGGAGCACGCGAAAAGGATTGCAAAGATTTCTTTTCTACAGTAGTGATGGCCCGAGTAGAATAAATTCTATAGAATCCAGGCTAATTGCATCCATTTACATCACCAACATTGTATGTTTAAGAGGTTTAAACAGCCTCAGTGAAAATCTTAGCAACAGTTGCCACAAGTAACTATTCACACAAAACTTATAACAGAAAATGAGTTTACATTTTTCAATGCCAGCATATCCTCCAAATTTCTCTAGCCTACTGAACTGCGATTGAAAAATATTAAATTTAAGTTTCTTTCCTTTGCCAATGTGTTGTCACAAATTTCATATCCAGATATTGCATCCAAACACAGGCTTGCGTGTCAACCTTCTCCAAGAGTTCTTTTGCCGTTACAATAAACACAGTACAACAACTTCTCTTTCCGTTGATACCCGAAAAATCTTTCTGATTGAAATGGTGCGTACTCTAAACGATGCTTTAAATACCTGCTCCAAAAGGATGACACCAAGCTGGAATGGTTTCAAAAAGAACTAAGCGGTGAACAGGGCGATTGCAAGTAAAAAAGAAGGAATTACAGTTTGTGATACCACGGGAAGATTTTCAAGGCATTCAACCATTCTACTCTCTTTCAACTGAACATTAATCGTCGGCGCTCTTTCGTGGATTTTACTTTTAAAATTCACACATACACTGTGTAATACATAAATTAATATTTAATTCGCACTTTTTCATATACTTGGAGAAATCAACTTCTCAGGTTCATCGCTGGCTACTCATTCCTCCAGCCGGTCGCTAGCATGTATATTCCCATGTGTAATCTAAATGCTGTATTAATCAACTCGATTGATTCAACGCATTTCTCGCATTTCTGCTATTGACGTTCTGCCACAGAAAACTGATTTGGGAATCTCGCTGATATCACTTTTGGATGTCGAACGGGAGCTACGTACAAAGCCTGGTTTCTTAAGTTTATTTCAGTTTTTTATAAATATCATAGGAAGAATTAACATAAAAGGTTATCAAAATAGCCTTCAACTACAATCGACTGCTGATAATTAGCAACGGTATATCAGCTATTGAAGGCAAACCTAAGGCTAGCCGAAAAAAATATTTATAAAAATATGCAATTCATTATATATAGTAAAATAAAAATAAAGGCATCGCAGATGTCAAATCGAATAAAGACGGCAAATTACAAAGCAAAACTAATGAAAATGGCAAGAACCAGGAGAAAAGGAAAATTTTTATCATTCAGCTAATGATTGCAAGGTTGTTAAAAACAAAACAACTTGAGTAGCTGCGCCGTCACACCTTTGTGCTGAAGATGGGAATTGGAGTGGAGGGGAGCAAAGCCAGGGAAAAGCTTGGAGCAAAACATGCAAAGTGTTGATTACATGATCATTGTCAGTGATTTGATGTTTCCGGTTTATTTTTCAAGTAGCCTCGATATTGCATTGCCTCTTTCAGATGGTCACAAAGTCTACTGCTAACGCTCCGACCGAACCAACCAAGCTTTTGGAATTTTAGCAATTGTTTTGGAATTCTTATACAGCCTCGAAGATTGTTGTATTAATGAAAATGACCTAGCATTTTAGAGCTCTCTGGCGTTCCTGTTTATATCTTCGTCCGTGAGGGACTCCTTGGTAATTCCATCCATTCTTGTCAATTAAATCTTTTTTAGATCTATCAAGACGAGGTTATGCAGCAACTGCCTATGGCAATTTAGGGACTTAACACAGTGCTGGGGTCTTAACAAACACTGAAAATTAAGTTTAACGGGTCAAAGTTGGATGCAACTATCACCATTTCATCGGTCCTTTTACAAAATGAATTTGACTGCATCCCTTTTTAAAAGAATACTTTCTAAAAACACTTTGACACGATTTGCCAGACAATAAGAACACGTCCTGTCTCAGGAAATAAAATTAGAAGAAAAGATGAAAGTTTTTTAGAAAATTTACTCTCATGTTAACAAAATCTAGCAGATTTGGTCAGCCAATAGACCATGTCTCGAAAAACGTCATTCGTAACAGTTATTTCATAGTTTTAGCAACATTTTAGAAACAATCTATAGATTCTGGTTGTAGAAAAGTCATTGTTGAAATTAGAGCATCATTTAGAGCACTCAAGCCTCAAAACATCCAAAAATTATGCCTTATCAAAACCTGTATAAATAAAAGGGTATTAATAAAAGGGTATTAACAAAAAACCCTAGAGGCTCTCCGCCTACTATTACGGAACGTAAACGATGCGCATAAAAAAGTAAATGCTATCAAAGACAAAAAAAAGACATTTTTCAGCATTATGATTTGCGAGAAGCTATAAATATGAGAAGTTTCTTGATAAAGCTGCAATCGCTTTTGAATAGGCTTCTAAACAGTTTTATTTGAGATCTCAAGTTTAGTAGGTTAAAGTGAACAAAAGGATGGAATCAAAATGGAAGGCAAATTATTTGAAGCAATATTCGTATTCTTGCGAACTTGGGAAAGCATTGTCTGCAGCACTGCCTCTCATCAAAATTCAAATAAAAAGACGGCTGATTATAAGCTTATCCTAAACACTTTTCTCTAGACAAAACAGCGTGATTTTTTTTTAAAATTTAGCACAGACGCTTTCTAAATACAAACATTGCTGTATTCTAATAACGATTAATTCTCTTGAAAAAAACGGCGCTTGAGGTGAAAATCAAACAGTGAATTAAATATGTTTAACAAGATGAGCAGAAATTAAGAGAACAGCCTAAACTGACTCACTTTAATTCAGTAATTTAATCCTTTTAAAGTAAGGTGATGGCAGCACCGTCAATTCGCATTTATGATAATTTTTCTCGATTTAGTGAAGAAATATATTGAAATGGGAAAAACGTTTATTATTAGGCAAAATGGAAAGATACTTACCATTTTTCACAGTTACAAGACCAAGTGTTTATTACAAAGCATTAGTGTTTTTATTGCCACAATTGTGATTTATCAAGCTTGCTTCTCTTAAGTTTTTAAACATGTTATACCAGGGATCATGTTGCTCATATCTGGGCAAACAGTGCCTGTAGCAGTTGCAGTGTTCAAATACTTTAAGAACCAACTTTTGATTAAATATCTTCTGATGAAAAGGGACGACGTGGCCCTCTCCAAGCTCAAAGCAAACTCACTTCCTTCTCATTTTTCTTTATTAACCCATCCTGCCTACAAAGATTAGAGGATGAGTGGGTAAAGAAGATGTTTTTACTTCCCTGGATGCTTCTTAACGGCCCATGACTCCAAAAACCGTCAAGTTTAGTGAACAATTTTTCGACGAAGAAAGGATGAGTGCATATTTCAAGATAGCGTAATTATGGCCAGGTGAATTCCATTAAGATGAATAAACACCAAAGAAGTAGACTACATTATCTGCTGCGACAGGTCTGCAGCTTCAAAAGGTTTGCAAAACACATATCAATAAGTTCACTACCATTTGGTTCAAAGATATATATAAGATGAGCCACAAAGAACAATACCTTCTATTAATAAAAATGTCAGACCTTCTTTGGTGTGTTACATGACGTAACATTAAAATTCATGCGTGTAAGAAATCCGAATTGGTTTTGCACAAGAAAGTCAACAGCAGGCAATCTTCAATGACCCCTAACTTAAGTGTGGAGACCACTTGAAGAATAGTAATGAGCAACCCTAAGCTCTAGAAATACCTAGTCCACTGGCATCCAAGATCTCTACATAACGGAAGAGTAATGGGAAGTAAAATAAGTTCTTTCATCGGAATCTGATGAGACAGGGAAGAGTAATGTTTCAGTATAGAAGATCTGCATGTGCGATCATTGAAAACGATTAATCGATGATAACTGTTATTATATTCGGTTATTCACAACAGAGATTACGATTTGATTATGACCGAGAGCAATTATGATCCGAGGTGACATTGATTCAATTGATTTTGATCTAAGGTGATTGTGATTCAAGGTAGCTTCGATTCAAGTTGATTATGATCCGAAACAATTTTGATTCAAGGATCCAAGGTGATCTTAAACGATTTTAAGTGATCAAGACTACATGCGCCTGAAGCTGCAGATGGTAGGGTAGCATTGCATATGTGAATGCGCCTATAGATATCTGACAGAAATATAACCACTTTGCTTGGCATGTCGAATTGTCCGACCTATAAATCAGCCGAAACAATCAATCATTTTGATTTGCACGCAGTACCTGTAACAGACAATGACTGACTGGTAAAACAGCCACAAAAGCAGCCTGTTTGAGTTACGGGCTTGTTACAAGAATGTCTTGAGATGTTGCAAAAACTAGTCACCGGGAAGGTGTTTGGCATTTAAGTCAACGAAAATCATTAATATTTACCCCGTACCAGGAATAATAATCATACATATCTCAAAATTTTTATACGGTGAAGTGTAGAACGTTCAAAACCTTGATGGTAATCCATTTATAGTCATTCTGACGACAGTTTTAATACAAAATGTCTATGAAAAGACGCGAGGAAGGCCTAAAATAACACTGTCAACGTAAGGATTGATTAGTAACAGGTCACAAAGGCCCTTTTTGGTGGAAGAGTACAGATACTTTGAAATAGAAAAGGGGTTTATTTTTTTCACATTAAATCAATAGGAATCGTGTTATTTTTCTTCTATCTATGGCTGCTTATAGAATGTACATAAGCATCAGCCAGAAATCCTTCACCAAGACATTAGAAAATGAAAATTCCGCTACATTGTACACAAAAAAACCACTGATTACATTGAACATTACAAAATGAGCAGAAAAATGTAGTCATCATCGGACTCAAATTTTATTAAGGCCACTCATCGTATTTCAGTCAGAAACCATTTACAAAACTTTGTGAAATATAAGCTGGATTAAATGATGAAATTGTGTATGTTGCATTTAACCAGGTTTCTGGAACTGTGAAACTTTGCCATTCAACTTTGTGATCTTTGGGATCAACGAGACTTTGGGGTGCACAACGAGGTGTACTTCCAACATCGGGCTTGGGTCAAGAGTTCCTTAAAATTGGACTATACCTAAAGTTGAAAAAGGTTATTTTTGGGCGGGACCCTTAAGCGATTTTTGCTGACAACGCCTGTGAATTTAGTAGCTAGAAGAACATCACAATTTATATCTCATATCAGCAACTGGAGATACAAGCGATCGACCGATTACACTATTGACATGTCATTCATAATATCAACATAATTATAACTTCTTCAACTAAATAAAAGAACCGTAAATTAATCATTGAAGTTTATTTTCTGCATTTCTTTCTTTTCTTTTCTTTCTTTTTTCTATTTCTCTATCCAGTTTAATTGTTTTCTTCAGTGGGAAATACGATTGAAAAATAACTCTTGTTTGGAAAAATTTTGATTTCATCGTATATCATTATTTTGCTTATTAAACACTGACCAATATTATATGTTAAAGGCCATGAAGAGGTTGTAGAGCTTTCAGGGTAAAACGGAAAGATGCAAATTTTGGCAAACACGCCCTTAAGATTATCTTAAAATGAATTTCAGAATGTTTTTTGCAGTCATTATCTTGCATACAGCTAAAAAAGTTAACTTTTTTAACCAAACTTCTTCTACGTTTGATAAATGAAATTCTTGAAACCGATTTTGTAGTATAAAGACACACAAACTGTTTTAATAAATTGGTATACCTGTTTTCTGTTATTATAGCATAGAATAGTTGTAGGATCAAGAGTGATTGTAGTATGAATGTTATGTTCGGTTATGTTTAATAAGAGATGTCATAAGAGACACGAAATATTTCCTTGACTTGACCTAACGAATTATAAAATATTATAAAATATTTTAAACATAACATATTACAATTTTCATTACTTGAAGAGGTTCCTTACACCTTGTGGCCCTAGTTTTTTTCAGTTTCAGCTTCAGTTTATAATTTTTAAATTCAGCTACATACAAAAATTTTCAAAATAAGCTAATTAAGTTTAAATTATTATAATTACAAGCAATAACAATGAAGTAATACTTATGGAATTTGACCACTCGTCTCCTCTCTTTGTGACCTTGGGTATGTTCAGGCTATCAAACTTTGTCAAAAGTGTGGAAAATTTATTAGTCCGCTTTGACCATAATTACTAGTTTTATCATTGCACACTTTTACTGTTCATCACTGCACCTTAACAATAAGGTATGAATTGGACAAATGAACTACATTCGTACCGAGCCTAAACAGGAAAAGGAAGGGTAATTTCCCCAGATATGGAGATTGGGGGTGGAAAACTTATACAACTTTGGAAACATAGCGAGAATTCGAGAAAAACCTGGAAAATTAGGAAATGAAGTATCGAATTTTACTTGGGAAAGTAAGGATAGTAAAAAATAATAGCGAGCCAGCGTACAGGATTTGAATGTTGAAGCCATTTTGACACTTTTCGATTCAAGAAAAACTTGATTACTTCCTGTTTTTGTGTAGTGAGAAGAAGATATCTCCGAGAGCAGTAAAGACAGGAAAATATCAGCCCTTAACGTTGTTGTTTGATTTAGTCTAGAGAAATTTCCTAAGATTATCATAAAGGTGATCAGCAGTAGATGAACCACATAATAGAAATCCTAGTTAGATAAAACTGCTTTGATTCTTATATAATTCTCTCAATTCCCCAAAATCACTACAGTTGATCCAAACTTGTAACTCCGAACAGCGAAGGATTACAAAATGGCTGATTGGCTGATTGTGGCTGATCGGGTCTCGGTGAGTTGACAGTGGCAAAACTCCAAGACAAGAAAAACACGACAATCTAAAACTACTTTCAAAACAACAGAGTTATCAATCACCAATCTGTTGCTGGTTTCCGTGAATTTAAATTGGCTAAAATTAGAATATATTCTCGTAGTGTCCCGGTGTTTCATTTCAAAATACACACACCAATTACCTCGCCTTTAAGAATCCCTAAAGGTTAAGGGAGTGGAGGATGGAGAGACTGTTAAAAACTTTGACATTTGAGTTATACGGTAAATGACCAAATAAGCGCCCATTGACAAAAGAGTGTCCTAGGGTCAAAGAATTTTTTTGCCGACCACTATTGCCTTATCAACGCCCGTTAATGAACAGATGAAGAGGTGCTTATTGCAACAAACGCTACTTTTACTTCTAAAAATGTCCGTAGCTCAAACAAACTTTTAGAAATTTTAAGTTTTCGTGATCAATTTCAAAGCTTATTCTATCTGTCCCTTTAGCCAAATTTCTTCACCAAAAGCAGTCTCGATGAAACGGGCCAGTACCCTGGGTACCAGACTCACTATATAAAAAAATAGAGAGTCTGTTCTAGTGCGCTCCATTCTCGTTCTGGTGAACTTACTTGAAAGAACTGAAGTCTATTTAACAGACTAGGCCTGTGAAACAAGACTGTCGGATAAATAACAAAGATACTCAGTAGTCAGAGGAGTTTTGGGAAATCTTAGTGCAAATGTATTTTATATAGTTCTGTAAAGTTGACATTATTAATACAGTGGTAATAGACACTTCTGCCTCAAGATTCCAATCAAATCAGGTTTAAAACGCCATTTGGCAGCAAAAAACATGTGCGAAGCATGAAATTAAAGTTAGCACAATGCAGTTATTAAATGTTAATCATTATTAAATTTCGTATACAACTTAAAACTTTTGTTGTAATTTTCCACATAAATTGTGTGTACTTTCAAAGTCTACTTCCTCACTGTGAAGGCAGCGCGCTTGGACACCGCGGCGGTTAGAATCACCACAGCAAATATGGCCAATACGACAAGCGAAGCCCCGTATGCCGGGCGAAATATTAGCCATAACTGATTTACTTGTGTTTGTTGTTGTTTGTTCTCGGCGCCTTGCGGTGTTTCTTATTTACTGCATTCACTACAAGGCCTAATTTCTTTGCAATGAGAGCCACTGCCTGAAATATCAGAGACTTTCCAAAGACAGTTGGCAATATGGCGAAGGTGTCTCTTCTCTCTACAAACAAGGCTTTCAATGCTGTTCTGTATTAAGTTCGACAACATGCGGAAAATATTCTTTGAGTAGTTTTAACAGCATCTTCAAACTAAATCGTTACGGTCGCTAGCATTTATTTATGTTGTGTTCTGTTCAATGTTTTACACCAGAGCTAAGTTTATTGTTTCGCTGTGACCTTTGAACGTACAGAAATCTGTACACTCGCTCCTGATTGGTTAATATCAGCACACCAGAACGAGAATGGGGCGCACTAGACCAGACTCTCTATTTTATTTTATACATAGTGAGTCTGGTACCCAGGGTAACAGGCCAGCCGCTCACAAAGAAATTTCGGCTGGGGACCGTAAAATTAGTTATTTTCTATTAATCTAATATCTATATATAGTCTATATATATACTATATAATATAGTTGATAAATATATATCTAGACATATAGGTCTTGAAACTCTTAATGGACAGGCTCCACAATAAGTGTGGTTGCCTGAAATTGTGTATTTAGAAATGAAAGGTAATAACTAACCAAGCAAAGTGTGCTAACTTAAATTTTAAAGGAAAACAATATATAGAAGAAGAAGAAGATAAATAAAAAGAAGAAGTCATTTCGACCTGGTCACAACTTGTGTCCTTGAACATTATGAAGAAAATTAGCTTTAACCAAGCAGAAAAAATAGGCAACTCATCAGCTTCCCTGGGTACCATAGCAACCAAATTTTGAGTGAAGAAATAGAGGATAGGAGCGGAGAAGCACGAATTTCCGTCCACGAAATCTATTTCCGTCCACGAAATCTATTTCCGTCCACGAAATCTATTTCCGTCCACGAAATCTATTTCCGTCCACGAAATCTATTTCCGTCCACGAAATCTATTTCCGTCCACGAATTCTATTTCCGTCCACGAATTTGTGTGGCTCTGGTACCCAGGGCCATGTTCATCTGCATGAATCTTGAGAGAGACATAAAAACTGCTTGCTACATAAAAACAAAATAGAACATAAAAGATTATATAAATATATATAATATACAAATGTATTTTTAAAAAAAAAGTAGCAATCGACATAAGGTATTAGCAGGGCAGTCGACAGCCACGCTGGGCCCAGGGGCAGGCCAATGTTTTGGCTCCTTGACACCTAAAGCAATAAACCTAAAATGCCTTAAGTATGGATATAAAATGCATAAAAATGTCTTTACTTACTTTGAATATTATTCGTAGGGTTTGATGTGGCTATTGAAATAAAGGTTGTGGAGCAGAGGAACGTTTGAGGTTCCTTAACTGGAGCGGGGGGAGGAGGGGGTAAACAGGGCAAGGCAGGGATAAACAGGGCTAGGCGTGGCAGTGGAAGGAAAGGATTCAATGGATTGGAAGAAAATTGACAGAAATGTTTCTTTTCTAGAGGTTGTAAGTCTTGGTATGGCCACTCACTTGAGTGCAAGCAGGGATCCTCTCTCAATATGGTTAAGTTTTGTTTCGCCATTTGCTCTTTCTTCATCGTTGATAGTTATTGTAGATACTTATTCTAGATTATTCACAAGGGATTCTTCACAGTATGCATACACTGAATGGCGATAGTTTCCTATAACCTTCCTATAATAGTTTCCTATAAATTTTGTTAGTTTAAACTATGGGGGATCCTTGTATCATGCTGAATAAGCATACCATACTTAATAATCACCCCTTTTTAATAACAGCCCCTTCTTAATAAACGCCCCCTCCAACAATCGCCCATACTGAAATATCACCCTTTGTCAAATAAACGCCCCTATTGAATGCTTGCACCTTTTAAATAATCGCCCCTGTCAAATAAAAACCTACTGCTGATAAACGAACCCCTATTGAACAATCTTCCCTGTTGAATAATCATCCCTGTTGAGTAATCGTCCCAGTATGATAGCCGCTCGGGGGATAAACTATGCCTAATTTTGGACGGGGACGTGCCATTTAAGTTAAAATTTTGGACCCGTAATTCCGCAAATGTCTAAAAAAATGTGACCCATAATTCCGCAAACATGACGAAAACTATACCCATAATTCTGCAGAGCAAACAAAATTTCTAAAGCACATAAAAAATCATCAACCAAATTTTGCATGCCCTATGCCCCAAAATCTTAATGTTACACATATTTCTAACTGGACATTCATTTTTTAATGCTATATATCCCTCCTAATAATTTTGCAATATTTCCCCAAAATGGCACTAATAATTCTGCATGTTTCTTCAAATGGTACCCATGGTTTCGCACAAATTTCAAAACTGATACCGATAGTTCCGCACAAATTTCAAAATTGATACCGATAATTCCGCACTTTTCAGGAAAAAGGTACCCCTAAATAATGGACTGTCCCCATACCTTCAAACATGTTAAGGTACCTCCCCTCCCCCGAGGATAGTCGCCCCGTGCTGAATAAGCAACCTCTATTAAATAAACGCCTGAATGTTGTGATTTTAAATAAACGACTTGCTGCATATCCAGTTGATTAAAATGAAGACAGGTTTTTTGAGAAACTCCTAAAAAGAGAAGTTAAACACAAACAAGCATTGGATTGAGTCAGCAGGAACCGTGTTCAATGCAATGAGAATAATGAAGTTGACGGGCAATGAGAATAGTAGACGGGCATAGAAAACATGTAATAAATGAAGGTGTGCAAAGAAGAAGAGGCCAGTGGTGACAAGAGAGCGTAAGTAGGCGAGCACTCATAGAGGTCAAATTTAAAATGGTTTCGTCAAAATGAAAATCAATTATTCAAAAGTTGTAGAACAGCATGAAATGCGATAGATTATTTTAAAGTTTCTGGTGATTAAAAGAAAAGTATGAGACTAGAAAAACAAGGCTGATTTAAAGGCACAGACCCTTTTCAAATCAATTACCTAGCAAAAAAGCCGACGGTAATAATTCAAAAACAAGAACAACTTAAAGAGTAAAGTCTCGTCCTCTTGAACAAAACACGAAAGCGACCTGCAACTTTAGATGCAGATTATGGAAAAAGGCGCTGAATTTGATTAAAAAGGCAGTAGTTCTTCGAATGATCGGCGATAAGTTTATTCTACAAGCGTAAAACTACAAAAACACAAAAACTAATTATTACACTGGGCAGTTTGTCAGTGACGAGGTGATTACAAAGGATGCAGTATAAATTATAGATGCAGGGACACCTTCGCTCTTTTATTTCTTGCGACAAAAACAATCAACGCAGAAAGGGACAGTAATTAGCCTTGACCTGGAGTTGATTCGAGCGTAAATAGACATAAACCGTCGCTTCGTCTTGAATTCTTGTTGGCTATCATTCCAGTCAGATATGGTCACGCTGTGAGTTGTGATATGTAAGTCTGCTTCGTTATCTCTAGTTTTGATTGGGATTACAATGACACTCAATATTAATTCGTTGGCTTTCACACAGCAATGAATTATCAAATGAAGAAAGGTGCGTAAGTACGTAAATAAAAAGCCGTTAGATTCCAGGAAATGACAAGAAATGTGTAAATGCATTCATTTGTGGCAACACTTGACACTGGGTACAAAGTAATTTAGAAAGTAGACTTTCAAGCAGGCAAAGTTGACGAAATCACTTAAGGTTCCCAAAAATGTTCCCTTCTATACCTAAAAAATAAATAAACGTTCTATACACGGCGGCGCATTAAGCTTGATTTCTAAAGACGAAATTACACGACACAATAAGCTGACATGTTTGTAAATCTTCCTTTTTACCCCGGATTGAATATTTGTGTATGTATTTTTTATGAACGTATGGCTCACGCCAAGATTCGATGACGAAACATATTCATGATCATAAGATTTTATGAATGCAAATCAATATGAGATACTAAAAAAATGAAAACCCAAGATGGAAGGAAAGAAAGAAAGAAACAGAGGGGAAACGTATCGCTAATAATAAACCTAATATAAAACGAATTGGAAAATCAAAATTTTGCATTTGAAAAAACTAACCACAATCAAATTTGTGATCATTAGAATTGGTATCAATTGTGATTCAGGTTCCACGAAAACGCGAGTCGAATGGAGTTGCTTCATCAAATGTTTCCTTTCAATCTGGCTTAGAATAAAAACGGTCTACAAAATGAGCATTGATTAAAGGGACTAGTTTTAAATTTTTAAAGTGCTTACGTTTAAAGTATTTGATAATCCTAAAAAGAAGCCCCATTTAAATGTATCAAGCTTCTTGCATGAGGTTGCCTCGGTTGCTTGTAATCTCGAATTCGCGTCGTTAGATACAGGTATTCCGATTATCTATACTGCGATAGCCAAGCAATATCACATACGCTTTTCTCATCAAATCAATTTCCAAATGACAAAATGCTGGCAAGTTGAACAACCACAAAGGCCATTCTGCATACACAATAACGTAAATTTTAAGACGTATCAGGGTGAGAAGGTTATCAAAAAGATTCACAAAATCCAATTGTTTCACTTCTAAAAGCCTAAAAGCCTAAAGTATTCTTTCCTTATAATAAACTGTATTCAAGCTAAACCACATTATAAAAACTGAAAAAGACGACAATAAAAATTGTTTAAACTCACTGAAAAGGATTTGCTTTTCAAAAAAAATAGCATTATGGTACATGCAAAGAAATGAAAGAGACGCTAAGCATTTGAGAAACAAACGAGAAAAAAGTACGGCTTTATAGCGCAATATTTAAACAGATTACGAGGATATGTTAGCGGCAAACTGCATGCTGGATATCAGTTTACGATCTTTACTGCAGAAAAATGAGATCTTGGTGAAAGCTGGGTGAAATGCATATTAGTTTTGTATGTTTATCGTCAATGCTTCAAAATTTAGTCAATAAGAAGAGAGGAATTAGGACAGTTTTCTAGAATAAACAGAGGCTGAAGGGCAGTTTTATCAGATTTACGAATAACTATTTCAAACAGGTTCTCTGTAAATATATCGTGGTTATGATCCGGTAAGTGTCCAGACATTTATATAAACGTATGAATAAACTAAACATCAAAATAAACAGCTTTTGCAATGGGGATTTTCGTGTATAGATTATTCGTATCTATACACTTTGGTGCAAAGACAGGACGGTTTTAAGTTGCAACTTTTAGTTTTACGCTTTATGCGATCACCAGACAACTGCCAACTATATGGATGACCTATATAGACATCTTCTTTGGCGGAGGTTCATTTATAAACTACCAATTCAGGTATTTGATAACATTAGGACACTTTTTGTACTTTTTTGTATCCATATGCCATATCTCTAAATCATGTTTTTACAGCCGAATCTACAAAGTCTAATTGACAAAACAGACGTTCGATTGTCTCCCAGCACTTTTAATCTAGTTACAAATTTGGTAATGAAGGGTAAACAAGGCAATATTTAGCAAAATGGTGTAGACAAGAGCAAACAATTGAACTAAGTTTTAAACAGCGAGTGCCATAAAATGCTTAAAGTTAAATAAAGTTGACCATTCAGTGCAAGAAGACTTTCCATTTGTTTTCATTATTGAGACAGAAGAAGGATATTTCTCCTGCAAAACCATGTCCGTTTTTATTACGCCTAGCAGTCTAGCTTAAAGATTTGGCGTCAGGAATGATTAGGAAATTAATTGTTCTGGTGAATTTCGATCAAAAGCTTTTGTGACAGCCGAGTTACAAAAAGCATTTAAACGACAAAGAACAAGATCATCTACATAGCAATATCGATAAGAATCTATTTACACGTTTCGTTTAATTGTAAAATGCGTGTAAGCGTGCTGGACGATTCCGTTGTAAGACATTTGATACCTTCTCGCAAAATTGGAGCTTGGATTTTAAGCGCGCGTTTTAATCTCGCAGTATTATATCGAATAGGCAATAACATTGGCTTATATCAAATCATTAGCTCCGAAAAGCAATGATTTCTCCGACAATTTGCAAAGTTATCTGACTACAGGAATGAAGTCAAAAAAATATCTCCAAATTTTTTTAAACTGACACTGAAATGATACCAAGATATGCATTTAAATGTTAAAAGCCTGGCAAAGACTAACACGTCTTTTCACAAGGCGATTTGGAAGGCATTATTCCTCCGCTTACATAATTTCCCATCTATATTTGGATAAAAAATTTCACGTTCGGGTCACAGCTCGAGGTTTTATACTCTGAGCAATGCTGGACGAAAGAAAGCACAAAAGGTTTCTTTGGTCACCATGGTTCTGTAAAACCACGAAAAAACTCCGATTTTTTGAGTATGCTTTTCCAAATTTCAATTACCAAGCCCAAACTATTCTAATCAATCTTTTATTTGCTCTTCAATGGTTTCTCACTCCTCTTATAAACCATCCATCAAGTTTGTACAAATCCATTGCTGATTGGTTTCGTAATTATTCGTTAGGTGATACACTCTGAACCATGGGCTAAAGGGCGCATGGGCGTAAACTAAAGGGAGCATGGACTTATAATTAAACTTTATATAGACCAAAATCGTTTTTCTTCGAACAATTAGAAAGGTATCGCAAGACCTAAAGATATGGAACACTATTTACACTATCCTAAAGCTATAGACCTAAAGATATGGAACGCAAGACCTAAAGATATGGAACACGAGATCTTCGCGAGAAGACTTTCCACGCAACATTTCTTTCTAATGGCCTATCAAGCCTTTCTAACGAAGCTGTAGTTCAAGATATTTTGCTTGGAGATGAAAGGTTACTAAATGTTATTAACATTGAAATTATCAATGCTACGCTAAAATGCATCCAGACATTGCTAGGCTTTGATAACCAGTTTGTCCTACTCCTTCGTGAATCATTTTTCAGTTGTTTTGCAATTATAAAATCTTCAGGATTTACTCGGAACTGAAATTTGTGCTAAAATTCTAAGCAAATGATGCATTGCATAACCGAGAGCTCTACCTGCAACCCTCAACATCCTCAACATCAATTATTCTATTCCTGGATCATTCTGCATCTATTTGGGACAGATTTAAAATAAATTGTTGTTAACTGTTAACGTCCATAGGTTTCCTATGCACTTCCATGTTTTCTGTGGTATCGTTTGGACGTTGTGTCGTTTTAAATTGCCTTTAAAAAAGTAGGCCCGCCTAGTTGGCTTCTTTTAGTTATCATTCTACTAGCTTTTGGCGTGACTTAAAAGTCCCAAGAAACAATATCTTAACATTAGCAAACAAAAATTAAGCAGTTTTCAAAGGAATTATAAAAAATTTAACTGTAAGGTCATATGAGATCAGCGTTCGTCTAAATTCATCAGAAAAATCCCGATTACAAGCAAAATGGTAATTTGAAACTGTGGCTTGAAAATTACAGAAGATTTTTTAAGACGGGAAGAAAAAGGGAGGAAAATGTGGTGGGAATGTTTTTATTCTTTTTCAGATGAGCTTATCCAGATAAGGAATGGGACGACAGAAAAACCATAGTGAAAACGAAGTTAGGCAATGTAGGAGTTGTTAAGGATTCTGGGATTTGTGGCCTACGCTTTCTAGGCTGCAGGCTTAACCCGAAGCAGAAGATGCAATGCCTGATATTAACAGGATTCGTAACTGAGGGGACATCGGATAAACATGGCACCTTTTGGACTTATAATTAGTGAAATCGCATCAGCCGTATTAATCAATGTCTTGAAGATATACACTCAATTACTCCATAAGAAAATGCCGAATACTTTTAATTTTCATACGAGTTGAGAACTCAAAGTTTCTTGAAACTTTCGCAAATTTTCGGGTAAAAAGACAAAAATGAACCAAAGAATGACTGTATTGCAATAATAATTTACTCTAGAATAATTTGCTGGTTATCAGCCTAGCAAAAGTATATCCGAATAAAAAACAAAACCAAAGATGAGAACAAATGGTTCCGAGTATCAAAAATGTAAATTTTTTTAGTACAACTGATCGAAAATTGCCAAACAGTATCAAAATCAAAATTGAGTATTTGTGAAATTCTCTACAAACTATTGGCCTGCAGTCAAACTTAATTTTTGGCATGTTTCATTCAATTCATATTCACAATAGAGATACGGAATTCTGGATCTGTTACTTTTGAAAAAGAAATTCTTGCTAAATCTAAATTTGCTGTTTAAACACAGGTAACGAATTTATACTTTTTCTTTAAGACTTATTCGGCAACATTTGTTGCTCCCAAGATAACAAACCATTCAAAACAAAAATCAAAATTCAATCTCAAGTATAAAGCGACAGAAATTATCTTTTTGTATTAATAAAACTTAAGAACAAAAGAAGAAAACAAATCGGCATACATAAATAGATCCAATAACATATTAGGTAAGCCGTTCTTAATAAAACTTTTGATTGAAATATAGATGTTAAACTTTGTTTGTTTCTAGCTTAAGTGAATTCAAGGCAGCAGAACAGAGTTGGTAAGCCAAACAGGATAAAAAATGAGTCCAAAAATCCTAATCGACATGAAAAGAACGCTGTGATAACAATGGTGGCTGCGATAGAAAGAAAAATCATGTGATCGAACTGCTCTCACAAAGTACATAGAAAAAAACGAAAATTTGAATAAATATTGGTTTTGATCTGGTTTTGAAACGCGACTTTAAAACAACAAAGCATAAATCGATTGTGCAGGGAAGACTTCATGAAGGCAATTTATGAATGAAGAGATTACAGAGCAAAATCTGCTGGAAGACAGGTCCACGATTAAAGTGAAAGATAATGAATGGTAGAAAAAATGATTAACCGATGGTTTTGATAACGTGATCAATTTATGATTGAAGTGATTGAGGTAATGAAGTGAGTCACTGAAACTACAAAGGACCAACAGCTGATGCATTGATCAAAATCAGTTCGAATCAGCAAAGGTGGAAATACAGTGCTGGTCAGTTTTGGTTAGGTTGATTGTCAAAGAATTCAATTTGATACAATCAAAGCAAGATATCAATACCGGGGAACATGCCATCGCGAGCGATCGGCATAAGTAATAGGTAATCAGGTGAAAAAGCTGGCACTGTGGAAGAAAGGAAATCAAATCATCAGACTGGATTATCATGGATTAGCAAATCGAACGGCAGATAGAAATATCTGATAATCAACAGATAAAACTCAATCTGGTGACCAAATAAAATGATTAAACAGTTTATTCGAGGATTACTAATGCAAGACTGGGATATAAGATGAAAAATCTGTCAGTTGGATTTTTCTTAACTGCCAAGCCTATGGTAGATTGTAGCGATAAACTGTGATCTAAAATAAAAATATTTAATGAAAAAACAGAAAACATTTGAGATGTGATGTTTTACTACGATGTCTGATCGGGTTCTGATAAACGTCCGTGGCACTCAATACGAGACTTCGATGAAAACACTTTGTCGTTTCCCCGATACATTGCTGGGGAGAAAAGCAAGGCAAGTTTTGCCTGAGACCAATAACAAGATATCTTTTTCGTGCAGAGCAGAAACATTCGACGCTATTCTGTTTTATTATCAATCAAATGGAATATTGTCACGTCCTTCACTAATATCACCCGAGGAATTTCTGCGGGAATGCAGACGCTTCGAGCTTGACGAGAGGGCCATCAACAAAGTAAAACAACAAGACGGCCTGGCGATTCAATCGCACAAAACAGAAATGAATTTTAACTTCCGCTTCCAGGAACTTCTATACAGAACAATGGAAAGCGAGGAAACTGGTATCAGTACTGGAATATACTTAGCAATCAGTTCACTTATGGTTTTAGCTTCAATTGTATTAGCGTGTACTATAACAATACCCTCCATTGCACATACGCGGAAAGACATACTCTTTGAAGATCCATACTTCTTGACTGAACTGACACTGAACATTCTTTTCTTTATGGAATACACGTTGCGACTCATTGCTTCCCCAAGAAAGATGATCTTCATGGTTTCGGCTTTAAATGTCATCGATCTTACGGCGTTTTTGCCGTTTTTTGTTATCCTTGCCGTGGATCCGTCGCAAGTGTATGACGTCACTTTACTAAAGATCGTCCGCATCATAAGAATAGTCCGGGTACTGCGCTTGGCGGTGAAAAATAGTACCATGGCAACAGTCGTTAACATACTAAACAACTGTGTTCTTGACATACTAACAATGTGTATGTACATTTTATTGACAAGTGTTTTCTGGGCAAGCATGGCATTCTACGCGGAAATGGCGCAGCCAAACACGCGGTTTAAGAGCATACCGGATTCAATGTGGTGGGCAGTACAAACCGTTCTGACGATTGGTTACGGCGATATCATACCAGAAACATGGCAAGGAAAGGTAATTGGCTCTGGTGTGACAGCACTAGCCGCATTCACATTGACAGTGCCATTGTTGTCTCTAGGTGGCAAACTTTTAAATTTATATTCGAAGAAGTTTCATTTGCATGTCGGGCCAGATTTAGTTTCCGAATAAATGCTTGAATAACATTTACTGCGCTTAGTGGTATGTTTTTAGTTTCACTCTACAAAACAGTTTCAACAATATACCAAACTAATAAAAAAATTATTCCAACAACGCCATACAGACCATTAGTATAGATAGTAAAAAATTATTCTGATGTCAGAATGTTGACTTACCTTAAAATTTGTCCGAACCTGGAAAAGATGATTTCCAAATCATCAGCGGTAGTAACAGGATTAAGCTTGCAAACGAATAAAACATTTTCAGGGGGTTTTAGGTCGGCATCTGGTATATCTCCGATCTAAAGAAAGGAAAACTAAGCAGCTACAGCAACAACAACAAAAAGTATGTAGATGACTTCATATGATTTGATTTAAAATCGAAATTTAGTTGATTTTCCAATTACATACTCTCTAAGTTTCAAAAACTATGATTTATGATACAATGATCTATTAAATCTGATTTCAGAATTCTTAAAAACGATACAGTAGTATTCCTAAAATTTAGGTATATTGAGAAACACCACATATTTGAGATCACTTTCATCATATTTACAAAAGCAACAATTTCTATATGGCAAAAAGTAAAGGTGAGAGAGACTCTGCCTTGAAGAAAATAAAAAAAAGTCAATAAGAACTTATTAACGTAACAATATCAACAGAATAAAGAAGAAATCGAAGCAAAGCATGATCTAGCTGTTGCAGCAGAAATTATTTTGTTTTTAATGATCTTCCTTCCTGCTTTCGATATTTGCAACTGCTACGTATTAGTGACTCTGAATATCATATGTTTGAAGATGGCACGAAATAGCGGAAACATTGCATACTGTAGCACTATTCGTCAGACACTCTTCAGAGTATAGAGACTAAAAGTTATGACCGACCGTCGAAAAATGACTGAAAGTAAGCAGAAAATCTTTATCCAGGTGTGGATAGAAAGCAACGTGAGAAGAATTTGAAAATTATTGCGCAGGCAAGGTCGTCTTTTTATTTAGAAGTTTCGGAATCTGTTTTCATCAAAACAAAGAATCCTGACTTGTGTAGACAGAAAGAGTTCGTTTTCTCCTCTGGGGTCGTCACTTCAGTGAGAGGTTAGGGCCTGCTGATTGGTAAAAAACAAGAACCAATGAAACGCCTCTTTCTGTCTCTCACGTTGCTTTCGATCCCCACCTGGATATAAATTTTCTACTTACTTTCGGTCATTATCGACGCTTATGCTTTCAAGTGTGTCGAACAAGAAGTGCTAAAGTATGCTATGTTTTTAGAGTTTTGTACAATCTTCAAATTTTACAGTTCCAAAAATGAATTTGAATATCATCAAATATGAATAACTTTGCAGATCATAGGTTATAAAAAGCTCAATGAGCCATCTTTGAACAAACATTCCGAATATGAATATTTAAATCGGTTGAAAGAATTGACAAATGCAATACCGTCTGAAGAATCTGCGTGCCTATTTGGAGATCTTTGTCTTCTATGATTTCTTCCATTTCTTTTATCGTCTTCCCTTCGTACTCATCTATCTTTTCACCTGCTCCAATTCGGTCAGACTAACAAAATATGAAAATAGGTATCAGCCACTCAATTCTATCGATTATTGTTAGAATATTAGCGCAAAGTATTCAATGGATTCTGACTAGCTAGTTCATGGTTAAAACATAGTAACTAAACTAAAACATAACATGCATTCAATTTGTGTTATTTAACAGATAATATCCAGTAGGACACATTGGATTGTATGGAACTGTTCTACAAAAATATATGACAAACCATTATTTTACAATTAAACTTCGCTAGAGGTAGCCTGCAAGCATTGTATAACCAGTAGGCTAAGCGAAATTTATATTTTGATACAAACGCAATAACTGACTGTGGTTCTATAGAAAGAAGCCTTTTCTTGGGATGTGAATCAAAAGTCATAAACATCCTAATGGATCTAATTTAACATAACAAACAAAAAGGGACGTGTCGCCTGTCACAAAAATTTAATTGCTTTTAATAAGATATTGGGTGTGATAGTTAAATTTCCTCAGATAAATGCTTACTTACCAGCTCATTTTAAATACACCTATCTGAATTGTAATATATGCAAATAAAAATTTACAAAATACACATTCTTGAAATATTGGTATTCAAATTTGCCTGAGTTGATGTTGAACAGTTTACCAAGACATATAGTTGAACAAACCAATTCAGATATGCAAAGCACATCTCTCAGAAAATTAAATTTTTGCATATTGAATTGAAACTTGAACTATGTAGAGATTTGTTCCAACCACAAAGTTGTTAATGTTATTTGTTTATCATAATGATGCCTTTATCTTTTAAATGAAAATTAAACACTAAATATACAATATACATAAATAGTTATGCTAATGACAGACAAGATTGAAAGAGCACTTAGTTTTACCAAAAGTCACAGATATACTGCAAGCCTTGAATCCTGTCTTATGGAATCAAGTTTACACTGAATTAATCAGTATTCCTGACAGATCACATCAAGGCATTTCGTTTCATGCAGGTGATTGCCCCTTGCAAAACTACAGGTACATGCTAATCATCAACTTTGGAGAACTGTGTCTCCTCAAAAGTACTTATGGAAAAGTTAGCTCCTATAACATCAAATAGTTTATTGAAAAATTGACAGTAACAGTTGATACCTTAATACCTCCTCCACAATCCATGGAGGTCTTTATCTTTAGAAAAATTCTGTTGGGCAGTTGATGACCTTCATAAGACCACCTACATGGGCAGTGTGTAGACCTTGAGAAAATTTCCTTACGAAAATGGTCTTTTTAATCTCTTTCACAACATATGTGATATTTCTTATGACCAATAGAATTAAATAATTGCAACATTGCTTATTACAAACCACTGGATAAAACCAATCCATATAAAGAAGATGTTTAAAAAAATCATGAAATAGGAAATCAAAACAAAATCAGATCCACAAACCTGCAATTGTTCTTTTGTTGGCTCCGGTGAACGATCTGGAATGTCTAGACCATCCGGATCATCAAATGGATCATCAAGAATTACTGTGTGGCTCAATCTATCAAAAGATTAAAACCAATCATTTCAAAATCAAGGCTTTGTGCGATTTTGTTGGACAAATGATCCCAAAGTTCATTGTGACATCTTTTATGGCTAGAAAATAATCTTACAATATTCATCATACCTTATATCTTGGTAAGGTCTGTCATTGTCATCACAAATTGAATCATTGATCTTGTCTAGAACATCAAAACCCTCTGATACTTCACCAAAAACTGTGTGCCTTCCATCAAGATAGTCCAAGTTGTTTGCAAGTGTTATAAAAAACTAGAAATAAGAATGAAGAAAAAATTATAACTAAATTGAATGCAAGCCAAATTGAATATAAAAACATAATTGATATACAAGATCAAATATATTTGCATCTAAAGTTTCATAGGAATAATTGTTAGGCTCGCAAGCCTGATATTTCAAATTCTTCTGAATGAGTGACAGATCATCAGTGATCAAGAAACTGACTTTTAGACATCATCTTTGTTATTTATATGGGAGTAGATTATTACCCTTTATGACAGAAGTTTATGAAAAATACTTCAAAGTACAATGCTTTGAGGTGCATTGAAGAAATTCTTAAGATGTATTCTAATTAGTAAAAGCCATCTGACATATACATTGAGTTATATCTTGACCTATTTGCTAGGTGGACATACACACAGCCCAGTCTTTGCAATATGAAAATAGGCCATGTGCAGCGTTTTGCACGTCTTGATTTCTTTGCACATGCAATAGAATGCGATCCGGATGAGGCTAAAATATCAGCTCAAAGCTTCACTTTTCATAACAAAGCTCACTTGGCTTGATAGCATATTATAATATGTTGTTTATTGGAGCACTTCAATGATCCAGCCCATCAGAAGAATTCTTAAAAAACAACAGGAAGAAAAAGGTGCATAAATTTTGACAAAGATCTGGCAAAACAAGCACTTGGTGGGATAATTTTATCAATGATTTTGCAGTGCCAGATCTTGACTGAAGACTGAAAACTTGCGAATGTGCAAGGTAGGTTTCATCAGCCATTCGTTGAGAAAAATCTGTTGTATCCCTACTTGGGTAAATCGGAAGTATATCTGTATTGAAAGTTGTAGGGCACCATGTAAATGTGATCCTCCGTATAACTTTTTATCCATCATTGTGGAAATGCAGCCTTAAGTAGAATTGGTAAGATAGTGGATATTATAACAGATTCATAAAGCGTCTCTAAGTATGAGGAATTTCTGTAGATTGGGGTTTTTTCCCAATCTAAAGAATATTAAAGTCTCTCTATGGAGTGAAAATCCTTTGATTTTGTGGCAAACCTACACTTTTCCTTCGATCAGGAGAAAAACCCTGGATCCTCTTATCGAGGGATGGGTGCTTTGCTGTTTGATTGGGCTACTTTTCCTGATAATCTGGTAACTATAGAATATACAACTACTTCTGGACACCATTGACAAATCTTGTATGGGAATATTTTGAAACCCTTGGAAACCGATAGAACTGCCTTTAAATTTTGTGACTTTGCCTACCTGCTGCTTCAGAAATCTTTTAAAAATATTTTCAAACTTCAAGGCTTTTTCTCACAAATTTCTTGTTTTGCTTGTGTGATGTTTTGTTTGTCTCAGTCAATTTGGGTGTGTGTCGAGGCGATTGCACAGGCAATTGCATGCCTCATATTACAAAGACTGAGACATTCTAGTACTGAACCAAAACAAATTTGTCAAGGAAAAACAAAAACATTGATTAGATTATCAAAGATGGCCTCAACAAACAGAGTGCACTCGTAGCTAAACTATTGACGATTTTCTGATCATCTACACAACAAAATAAGGTTCAAGTATGATAATGAAATTTCAACGATAAGGTAATGTTGCAAATAAGATGCTACAAAAATTCATAAAGATTAAGCTATATGGAAGGCTTAAATACCTGTGAACCGTGTTGATTATTTCCATTATTTACAAATGACACCAACCCCTTTTTTGTATGCTTTATTTTAGGCTTAACTTCAATGTCAAAATATTTTGCTTGATCACCATATACATTCCTGCAAAAGTGAGGAAATTTTCTAAATAAGTTTCAAAAAGTAAGAAGCATTGGCATGTGAGTTGTTAGGATACCTTGGGTGATACAATGGCTCAGTGATAAGGGTCAGGGCAGGAGAACCAAAAGGTTTTTCAGGCCCTTGGGCAAAGCCAAAAAAGGAGCCCCCTGTGAGAAGAGCAGACGGAAAATTGTTGCATGCCCTTTAGATTAGCTTCAAATACAGTTCAGCATTTTTCAGTCTTCTCCTTGGCCACTTTTCTCCTCTCTTAGTTCCTGCTATGACAAAAAATCACCTTTAGATGTAGAGAGTCACCAGCTTTCTGTAATTCCAGGCATGAGAAATACTGTGTTTGATCACATCAAAAGCAGATCCTGGACACAGATCAATAACCTCTCTCTGTGTCTTTGTAAAACTAACTTCAGATGCTAAGTAGAAAAAAAATCAAATGCAGACAAATGAAAAATCTTTGGAAGTACCCTGTTAAAATTCTTTGAAAAACATATCCTGTAGGGTAATGTTGTTTCACTCAATCACAGAAATGGCAAAAAGAAAAGAAAATGGTGCCAGTCATGTGCTTGACATGAAAAAAGGCATATGAATTCAGTATACACAATTGTATGTGTGAGTGTCCTTGAGAACAATGATTTGGTAAAAAATAAAAGTTCCTCCTAACAATAAGGTATGTTAATAACAAAACATACTTGAAAACTGATTCCCCTCCTCTGCCAGTACCAGTGGGATCACCAGTTTGGGCGACATAATTCCTCTAAAAGAAAATTGTTACATAAAATAAGCATAAATATTATTCTCAACAGATATGGTAAATCAAGTAGCAATGGTGCTCTTAAAATTTTGAGTTACCTCCATTAGTAAGGGTGAGCAAATTTTGACCTTAAAAATTCTACCAAGAGAACAGTACCTAGCAATTTCAAAGCACTGTAGAACTTTGACTATTATCATTAGCACAAGTACACTACATAAATCATAAACAACTTTAGTCTAACATGCAATGGGCTGACAAAATTGCTTACACATAACCGATTCTGTGAATGAAATACCTCTAAAACTAAACTGCAAAGCAGAGTAGAGGGCAAACATACATTTAAGCAGTTAAATTTGGTATTGAAAAGTGAAATAATAGAAGACTTGCTGTTAGATTGTGTTTAACATTTACACTATCACCAATTTCTATTTGATTAATTGCTGATGTGAATACATTTTACATGTTGTCAAGCATCTAAATGGGTCAAATTGTGCTCCCATCTAAAGAACCCCTGCATTCACACAAATGATGAAAAAAATACTTAGAAAAATATTATTCAAAGTTATTACCTGGACAGAAAAAAATAGACAGTAGTTATAATATTTTATCTTGCAGAGCTTCAAAAAGTTCAGAGCACCTAGAATTCAAAATAAAACTGATTAGACAATTGAAAAAGTATTTGAGTAAAGAAATGGCATGTTTATTATCCATGCTTTAATAGCAACTGTTTAAATGATTTGCCTGTATCCAATAGTAACTGTAATAAAATATCATTCCTAGACTAGACTAGACAAGGATCCAGGCAAATACCAGCAAAATTTTCTCAAATGGACTGTTTTCAAAGAATAATTTGTACGGGTGCACCGGTTTTTACCTTAACTACCCTAAGCTTAAGACGAAACATCAACTCGATATGCTTACAAGTACCCTTTGACTTTTTTTGCCAAACTCAAGACATCAACAGGACAGATATTTCCATCCTTTTATCAAAGTTCATCTTAGCAACTGAATAAAAGTTCTGCAGTGGATCAATTAAATCTCACAGTCTTATGGCTTCCAGATTATCAAAAACCTACAGATCTTATAGCTGATAGCCAAGGGTGCATTACATGTAAACCTCATGCTGGCTTAACACACCAAAGAAAGGTCAGGTTTAAACCAATGCTCATATGCAATCATTTTGCTAACGGGTCATTCCATGTCAAACTTAAGGTCAGTGTCACCCACCCTCTCAGATTTTGATGAATTTTACAATATATATTCAGTCCCAGGAGAAACCACCTCACCCAAAATTTCAGCACAATAGGTTAAGGCGTTCCAGAGATACGGCCAGTCAAAAGTTGGCTCATTTTAGGGTGTGGTCCGCCCAAAATTTGTGCCAGCAATAAATAATAACATTCAAAGTCCTGTGAAAGTTTTTTTTATCACAATTTTTACATCAAATTATCAACACAGTACATTCTGATAGTGCAGATTTCAAATATGACCACCAAAACATCAACAAAGCAAAGCTAGTTACTCAAAAAGTAGGTTAAAAGTTTATATTAGACTTCTTAGATTTTGTGACTAGCCAATTTGAATGTCATTTTTTGCAAAGTCTGCAAAATTTTCAAGAATTGAAAATAGTACCAGCTGAAGGCTCTTGAATTGGGCTTTTTAACCATATAAATATTATCATTTGTATATTCAGCATTACTGAGATTATTTTAGTTATAAAAGAGTAATAAAATTTGCGAAACTTGCCTCACAACCATTCTGTATGCCAAATGACTGGCAAAATATTTGTCAAAACATATAGCATTTTTTTCAAAAACAAATAGAAGTAGATGCCTAAGATGAAAACTATTACTAATCAACTTCAAGATACCATTTCTTATGTTAAAAACTTCTGGAATGCTTTGTTAATGTTGTTTAAATAAGTAGGTTTAATGGGCAGAAAGCTGCAATTTCAGTATGTTCTGCTCTTTCAATTCTTTCAGAAAGTTGTTATGATATCATTAACTCTCTATTTCCTGTTACCTACACCAAAGCTTATATAAACAGGAAACTGTTCTGTGGGCGTGGAAATATTGTTTCAAGAAATCTCCTATGAATGATATGTTATTTCCTGAAAGGAAGTTGATTGCTGTGTAGAAAAGCTTGTATACCCTTAAAAATGTTGATGTTCTAGTTTACCTTTGACTTTCAATGCTGAAACATGGTAGATCTGGAAGCTCATAGTTCATGTGACTTTGGAAAGTATTTGAAAGAACCTTGTCATAAAACACATTTCACTACTAAAATTGGGTTAAAAGATTTTAATGACTATGATGATGACCTGAAAGAGATTTATTTGTGGAGAGCTGGAACATTATCTCTTGAGAATGAGCTGAGGGTGATGAGCATTTGCTTTCACCATGAATGGAAACTGGGAGCAGACTTTGAAAGGAGATTTACAAAATGCTGCAATTTACTCAAGAATAACAAAAAAAGTGTTAAAGGTGGTCATAAAATTTCCCTTGCACTGGCTAGACAGCTAAGAGCAAACAAGTTTGTGTGTGTTCCAGGGTGGCAGCTTTGTCGAAATTGTTTAACAAAGTTGGAACATTTGGAGAAAGATAATGTAATGACTGAATCTCATGATAAAGAACCAATGGATTTTGGTGAAACTGACCTTGAATCATCCTTCAGCAGATTTGAATCTACAGAAGCTATCAATGAAAGTTTGGAGGTTTTGGGAGAATCACCAATAAAGCTGCACAGTGTACCCAAGCATCGTCGTCTTGCTTATGCCAACTCAAAATTTGAAGCAACGGTTACTTCATTCAAGCAATCATTTGCTGCAGCCGTTGGAGTCCAAAAGGAGAAGATAATGGAGGCAGAGGCACCCCATTTAAGCCGAATTGTAATGACCAAAGCTAATGACTTTGATAAACTGATGGAACAGATTCGTGATAAATTGTCAACTGCTTCTTCCAGTGAGAAAGTCCAGCTACTCACACTTACACCAGAATCTTGGAGCATAAAGGAGACGTCTTCTTATTTTCAAATATCTGAATATTTTGTAAAACGTGCCCGTGAACTTAAAACAGAGCAGGGTATCTTAGCTTGCCCAGGAAAAAAGAAGGGCAAAGAGCTTCCCAGCAGAACAATTGAGGCAGTAAATTCATTTTTTGAGGATGATGAATTTTCAAGAATTATGCCAGGGAAAAAAGATTTTGTGAGCATCAGTCATAACACTCACAAACAAAAACGCCTTCTTTTGTGCAACCTTAAGGAGTTATATGCAACCTTTGTTAGTCAACAGCCTGACATCAAAATTGGATTCTCGAAGTTCTGTTCCCTTCGTCCAAAATGGTGCATCACTGTTGATTCAAAGGGATCTCATTCTGTTTGCGTGTGTGTCACACATCAAAATGCAATTCTGCTTGTTGATGCTATAGATCTGGACAAAACCTACAAAGACTTAATTGACATGATAGTTTGTGATCGAGATAGCAAAACCTGCATGATACATAGGTGTGATGATTGCCCAGGTACACAGTATCTTCAAAATTTCCTAAGTGAAACTCTTACAAGTGCAGACGAGGAAATATCTTTCCAGCAATGGCAGAGTACTGATAGTACAAAACTTATAAGCCAGACTCTAGATTTAGAAAGTTTCATTGACCATGTAGTAAAAACCATTGATAGATTGACTTCACATTCATATCTGGCAAAATGTCAAGCAAGGTATTTGAAGATTCGCAAAGAACAAATTGGAGAGGATACAGCTATTGTATTAGGTGATTTTGCAGAGAACTACAGTTTTGTGGTGCAAGATGAGGTCCAGTCTTACCACTGGAGCAAACCATGCTGTACCTTGCACCCACTTGTTTTATATTTCAAAGAAGATGAGACACTGATGCAGAACTCCTTCTGTATTTTATCAGATGATCTGGAACATGACACCAGCTTGGTATATCAGATTCAAAAAGAATTAACACAGGTCATCAAAACTAAATTGCCAAAAATATGCAAACTAGAATATTTTTCTGATGGTTGTGCTTCCCAAAACAAGAACTACAAAAATTTCTTGAACTTGACACTCCATCAGCAAGATTTTGGGTTATCTGCAAACTGGACATTCTTTGCATCAAGCCATGGCAAGTCCCCCTGCGATGGCATCGGAGGAGCAGTTAAGAGACTGACAGCTAGGGCAAGTTTACAAAGACCAATTTCACAACAGATTTTAACTGCAAAGGATATGTTTCTCTTTTGCAGTGAAAATATAAATAACATAAGTTTCATTTTTATAACAAAAGAGGAAATGATGTCAGTCAGAGAGGGCTTGGAAGACCGTTTTGCCTTGGGATCAACAGTACCAGGAACAAGAAGCTTTTGAACCAATTGGTCCCTATGAGATTGCTTACAAGCGTACATCAGAAGATGACAGTTTTTCAGGAACCCACAATTTCAAAGGAGAAATATACAAAGCTCTAACCTTAAAGGATGTTCAAGAGAATGATTTTGTGGCATGCGTTTATGATGACAAGTGGTGGATTGGCATGGTTGAAGTGATAAACAAAGAAGAAAGAGATGCAAAAGTAGACTTTTTTCATCCCTCAGGCCCAGCACAGACCTTTGTATGGCCAGCTAGAGCTGATGTTTGTTGCATTCCAGAAAATGATTTCTTGGTGAAGATTGATGCTCCAGTAACAGCAACTGGAAGGACATACAGCATAAAACATGCTGATTTAAACAACATTAACAAAACATTCCAGAAGTTTTTTAACATAAGAAATGGTATCTTGAAGTAAATGAGTAATAGTTTTCATCTTAGATATCTACTTCTATATGTTTTTTAAAAGGAATACTATATGTTTTGACAAATATTTTGCCAGCCATTTGGCATACAGAATGGTTGTGAGACAAGTTTCGCAAATTTTATTACTCTTATATAACTCAAATAATCTCAGTAATGCTGAATATACAAATGATAATATTTATATGGTTAAAAAGCCCAATTCAAGAGCTTTCAGCTGGTACTATTTTCAATTCTTGAAAATTTTGCAGACTTTGCAAAAAATGACATTCAAATTGGCTAGTCACAAAATCTAAGAAGTCTAATATAAACTTTTAACCTATTTTTTGAGTAACTAGCTTTGCTTTGTTGATGTTTTGGTGGTCATATTTGAAATCTGCACTATCAGAATGTACTGTGTTGATAATTTGATGTAAATATTGTGATAAAAAAAACTTTCACAGGACTTTGAATGTTATTATTTATTGCTGGCACAAATTTTGGGCGGACCACACCCTAAAATGAGCCAACTTTTGACTGGCCGTATCTCTGGAACGCCTTAACCTATTGTGCTGAAATTTTGGGTGAGGTGGTTTCTTCTGGGACTGAATCAATATTGTTAAATTCATCAAAATCTGAGAGGGTGGGTGACAATTCATGACTTTTATATAAAATTTGACATGGAATGACCCTAACCCTACCTCCTCCCCCCATAATTATCAGGCAATTTATACATACAATATGATGCAAAAGCGTACACAAACAATCAAAAAGAGCATTCAGCAGCACCACTGGCTATTTCACAATTTTCAGTGCATGCAACGCACTGATGACAAATGCTTGTCTCGTACCAAAACCACTTCATATATAATTTATTCAACTTTGAAAACTTAATGTGATTTGCTACAGCAAATGATTAAGGGATTATACATGATTTATTAAAATAACACGGACAACATGCACTGGCTTGTTAAAGAGGGGGCTCAAATCTATCTTAGGACAAGACTAATTAATTAATAAGTGTGACTGACGACAAGAAATAAGTTAAAGTTACAAAACAACACAAAATGCAATATCAACTTGAAATATAGAGCACATTTCAACTTACATCGTTTCCTTTCATTAACATACAAGTCAATGACAATATCTCCAACTGTTGTCTCCAGCAAAACAGACATTTTAGCTATTTTTGTATTGTTGTATGGTGTTTCCCGCTAATTTGACGATTGGGCATATTGCTCTTGACTCGATTTGGCTATGAGGCTGTAATAACAGCGAGACTATAATTGCCGCCATTAATTTTTTCGAGCAGGGGAGCGAAATTTCCGGTGATATGAAATTACTTTGAATTCGGGTGAAAAGGTTTAGTAACATGTCAGACAACGATAGTGTAGACATTGATGAATGGGATGACATTCTGTGCGCTGAGCCGGAAAAAGAATTCACAAAGGACAGAGATGCGGGTACTGCTACAGGAGGAGAAGATGACGAAGAAGGGTGGAATGATGCTATTGCCATTGAAGTTCAAGAGGGCTACTGTGGACAGCTTATGAAACAGATGGAAATATTTAGGAAGCAAAATCTACTTTGTGATGCAAAGATTATTGTGGATGACCAAGAGCTTCCAGTTCATCGAAGTATCCTCTCTGCGTCAAGCTCGTTTTTCAACGACATTTTTTCGAGAATCACAGGCGAAGATGAAAATAAGATAACTCTTAAAAATCTCAACGGACGTGCGATGGACGACATTCTTCATTTCATCTACACAGGTGAAGCGTACATCCATGATGATAATGTAAGACAGCTTCTTGCAACTGCTAATTTCTTGAAATTGGATGGACTTAAGGAAATGACAATTGCTTATTTGGAAAAGAAACTGAATACTACCAATTCAATCGAAATACTGATGCTTGCCAAGAAGCATGATTGTGAAAATCTAGCCCAGTCTGCTGAAAGTATGATATCAGATAACTTTGTTGTGGTTTCAAAGACCGAGGGTTTTAGGAAATGTAGTTTGGAGATTTTGTTGGACTTTGTTCAAAGCGAAGACCTCAAGGTGATGAAAGAAGAAGAAGTTTTTGAGGCTGTAATTCATTGGGTCCAGTTCAATTCTTATGATGGGGAAAAGAATCTATACAAGATTTTAAGGTGTGTCCGCATGCCTTTGATGTCACCATTGTACCTATCTGAAAATGTAGAAAAGAATCAATTTGTCAGAAGAAGTGAGGCTTGTGTGGGTCTGGTACAAGAGGCTCGTAATTATAACTTGCCTACAGCTGATAGAACCCTTTATGACAGCACTAGAACAAGGCCAAGAAAATTCATGGGGGTAGTTTGGGGCATTGTTGCTGTTGGGGGTTGGTCAAATACCAAGCCAACAAAAGATGTGTATGCATTTGTCCCTTCTGCTGGGAAATGGCATCCATTGTCTCCAATTTTTACACCAAGATATAGTCATGCTGTTGTGACATGTGATGGATTCATCTATGTCATTGGGGGCAGAGACGACTCAACAAAGTTGATTGCATCTGTACTCCGGTTTGACTCATCCTCAAATAGATGGTCATATGTGTCTTCCTTACCATACCCAATGGCCGCTCTAGGAGCTGTAGCATTTGATGGGCAGCTCTACACTGTGGGAGGCATGTCTGCAATCGGCTCTGTCAACTTAGTCATGAAATATAGCACAAGAAAAGACTCATGGCAAAATGTCTCACCTTTGAATATGCCAAGAGGAGGAGCAGCTGTTGTTGCAGATGAAAAACATATCTATGCCCTTGGAGGCATCCATAAATCTGGGACAGGAACCACAACAACTTGGAAGTATCTTGACAGTATGGAAATATATAACAAAGAGAAAAATTTCTGGATGACCTCCACCCCACTACTCTCTCCTCGAGCTTATGCTAGTGCTGTATACATGAATGAAAGGATTTATCTGGTTGGTGGGCAAGGGGAAATGCTAGGAATATGCAAAGGCCTGGATGTATACAATATTGCCACAGATGAATGGATTTCCTATCCATACCTTGGTATACCACGTTCAATGAGTGGGATTTCTGTCAGTGACACCAAGTTTTATCTTGTGGGTGGAACAAACAAGGATGGTGACTGCGTCAACACAGTGGAGACTTACGATGCTTCTAAAGATCGGTGGACAAAGATCACCTCAATGCCAATGAAGATTAGTGCAATTCAATGCTGTACTGTCCAACTACGCCTGGCTGTATTACAAGGAATGACAACCTCGTTGTCTGAATAAATATTTTGTTGCATGCTTACCCATGCAGATTATTGCGTTTTCATAATAAAATTTCAAAAGGTTCTCATAGTGATATTATTAGTATTTAAGGTGTTTATTTGCATTGCTAGTTCTTTAAGGGCAAATTTTCAGCAGTCTACAAACAAAGTTGCTCATTTGAATCTTTTGTAAAGCCTGTAGAATCACCAACTGACAGTTTACGGGTTAAATAACTCAATATGGTAGCAAAAGTTATATGTTGCTCATAAAAATTTCGACTAAAGGTTTCTTCCACACAAGGCAATTTCTATGAGGAATCGTTTCTTTACATTTGAATTTCAATTTGCAGCTCCATAGAAGTTCCATTTTCCAGGGTGAAATATTAGCTATCTATGATTTATCTGTGTTTGTTGTTGTTTATTCTAGGTGCATTGCCATTTTCATTATTTTCAACATTTTTTCAACTTCTTGTCACATTTATTAATACATGGTAGTCTATCAAGCAATTTGCTACTGTGGCCAATTTGCTACTCGTTACTTACATATAAAAACTAGAAATACTTGTAATAAATACTCATCTTGTGAATTTTTGTTTCTAATATTTATACTTTTTAATAATTTTGTTATACGGAAATGCTAAAAAAATTTCATGTTTTCCTTTGTTTGGATATCAAATGACTGTATAGCATTTTTTATAATCTTTCAGTTAATGAAACTGGAACAGCTTATGGTATTATTTATTTAAATTCAGTAAATATAGAAATTCATAAAATTAATCAATATTGAATTACTTGTCAATCAGATTTATTGACTCATTTTTGTAGAAATTTAGACAATTTTGTAGTTACATGATTTTTTTAAACAAAATAAATTGCTGGACATTCAGATTAATAATCTTTTTTCAGAAGTATGAAAAAATGAAGTTTAAAACCTGCTGCATTTTGAAGCTCTGTTGTTTTTGTTTTCTTCAAGTTACTTCTGCCTCAGGCAATGGCTGTTTGACAATACAATAATTGAAAATAAAGAATCACTCAATAAGGGTGCAACAAAGTTAAGTTATTTTATTTGTTGAAAGTTACAAGCTTCTTGTTCTTGCTGAATAACTGAGATGTAAGAACCTGTTCATGCTGAGCAACAGCTCATGCCAAATGTGGATGCATATCTTATCAAAGGCTGAGTCCCAATGCTAGTAGCATAGATGCAATCTTAGAAGGATTAAAACAAAAACAATCATCTGTCAACAATCATCTGTGTAACAAATACAACAGCATTTCAAACTAGAAACAATTTAAATCATCTATTTATATATATTAAGTCAGTCTCAAATAAATTTGAAATACAGCTATGAAATTCTTGAGAAATAAATTATATAAAGCAAATTTTCATTTCTATTAAATTGCATAAAGTTGGCAAAAATTCAAAGCATATATTAAGAACTATTTTGGAACATTTCTGTACTTAAGTACAGTAGAATCCCGTTATAACGTACTTGGTTATTACAGACTTTCGGATATAACGCACTGGTGTGCTGGATCCCAGCAAAAGGTGTGCTTGGTTTTAATCAATTTTTACTTACCCTTGTTACAACGTACTTCGGATATAACATACTTAATATGCTGGTCCCTTAAAGTACGTTATAACCGGATTATACTGTAGGTAATAATGCTTAGTCATTTTGAAATTGTCAAAACAGAAGTTGTATCAGCAAGTATTGGCAAACAGGCTTGAACTCTGTTCACACCTCCTGGTGCAGATTCTTCTGAATAAATGGCACAAATTTATTGTTAAAATGCTGACAGCCTTTTGAGCAGGTGGCAAAAACCACAAGACCTTTTCAATGTCTTTTATTTTGATCACTTATCAATGAAACAAATAAACTAGCTGTAAAAGGACAGCAATACAGGGATTTACTTGAAAAATTCAGCTTCTAATGGTGGGGAGTAGAAAAGCATGCATGGAAGCTGAAAAAGTTGTGCATGGTGAAGTGACTGAAACCAGCAGCATCTTCACTTCATTCCCATGAAAAAACCTAGGCATGCTTCTACAAACATAAAAAAATAAAATTATGGGAGCCAAAAGCCATATTTTAGAAAACCAAAATTAATATTTTTTGCTAAACTCTCTCATCACTGTGAACCATATTTGAGTAATAAATCAATTAAAATGTTCTTTCTTTGCTGCAAGCTCAAATATAACACTCTCTTTAAATTTGTTGTTGTTTTTGGATTCAAACGTAGAAGATCTTGCACTACCACTCTTTGCTCTCTTCTGAATGAAAGGATGAATACCACTGTTGCCATTAATCACTTTTGCTTTTTCAGCCGGTTTTACGTGCTGGATGTCATCTACATTTTGAAATTCTTCATTAGTTAATGACTCTTCCCTTGGGTCTTCAATACCTCTTGAACGGTTTGTCAAAACGCGATACACCAAACGAACAATGTAACATGACCAGTAAAAATTCATTCCAAACAAAATCCAAAGTAAGCCATTGAAGAAGAAATAAAAGGGTGCATCAGGCAGGATTTTTCTTCCTTCGTGTCCAGCAGAAAATAAAACAGAAATAGGATAGACAACCATTCTGCATATAATCCTAAAAACAATTGACATTTTGGCTTTGAAATTTAGTTATAACATAGTAGCTTTCCTTTTAGGGGAATGACGGAAATGAATTATAAAAGTACAAAGCTACCAATCTATCAATCAATTTCATTCAACAGCAACAATTGCTTACAATATAATACTGTATATATGTGGATCAATCAAGCATATGATTCTAGCAATGAAGTTTAATTACAACAGTACTTTTGAATAATATAATGATATAAGCTGCTGTCTACCACACCGAGATAAATCTTAATTATTTTCGAGCCCCGTGCCCTAAGGCTTGAGGTAAATCGGTAATGATTTTCGTTTTCGTTTTAACTAACTTTTGAGTTTAGCATCTGTGTGTTGACTTTTTGGGCCTTGACATCAGCACATACGCATATTTGAACAACGATGTCTCGATGTTTGTTATTACCAACTGAATTGCAACTCGAACATGGGAACTAAACTGTTTCTTCCCTAATTTTGGGTATCTTAACATTCCTCTTTGTTCTTACTTGAACTAAGGCACTCAAACTTGCATGTCCATGTTAATTGTTTAAGAACTGAAGCAAGAGCCACGATAAAGGAGGGCTATTGGGACTCAAGCATCACTACTGAAAGAAGGAACAACTTTAGAACAAGCGGAATAACCAGACAACAAACGGAACACACCAAAAACAAATAATTTTGAAAACAGAAGTACTAGATTGTGGGAAGGTTAAATTTATGTGCTCTTTTGCAACAAAAATAAAGAATGAAATTAAAGATAGAAATGAAACGAAAGTTTCTGAGGATGACAGCGAGTGCAAAGATGAAGAAAAATTGCACCTTATGTCAGAGAAAAGAATAATATCCACAGTATTTCCAAATTTGCAAAATTCCAAATCAAACAGAATCAACTGTCAAATACCATTTCATATGATGCAGTACAAAAAAGGGGTGTCATAAGTTTCAGCTATCAAACATGCCTCAGTGTACTACCATAAGAATAGAGATCAAACCTTCTGCTGCATAGGTGCTAAAAGTTGCAAACAGAAAATATTAGATGCTTCCTATCCTAAAATGACATTCATATACAGTGTTTTTGATAAGTAAAGAACAGCTATAAAGAAGTTTAAGACGCATAAAGCCATGATTAGCAAAGAGACTTTGTGCAGATTTTGACTTTCCTTCCAAAACGAACAAAAGGCTCTCCGTGGAACTTGCAAGAGCTTCCCATAGCAATGCTATGATAGCATTCACAAGGGCTAAAGAAAAGTCGAAATTTTTTTATGAAAACACACTTTTTTTAACAACAATAGCATGTCGAAGTTTGCCTTTTCAAGGTCATACTGATGTTTCATAATATTTTGAAGCTTAGAACTAACGGAAATTCTGAGATAATTGAGGTTTTAAAGATGCTACCAAGTGCAGCTGATTTCATATCAAAACTAACGGAAAGTTGCCTTAGAACCAAGAGGAAAAATTCAATACAATAGTGATTTATGAAACTACTGATGAAGTGAACACATAAAGATGTCTCTTTGCAATAAAGATCTAAATGAACAAAAAGACATGTCGATGTCGACAAAGATCTACACAATTCGTTTGAGATGCTTTCTTGTAATGCAGATATCTTGGTTAGTAAATTAGTAGTAAAAGTGACCTTTGAGTTTTGACACGTGACATCTCATCATGTTTTGATAGCTTTTAACGCAGAGATGCAAGAAAAGAGAAAAAAAGACTTGAGCTAAAAATCAGTTTGTCTGTTGATTTATTCAATTTTGAGGCCAAAAAACGAACAAAAACAATGGGCTTCTGGCCGAGAAAGCATATCAAGATTTCTGGGGAAAAACCCGGAGGCATAATGCAATGGACAAATAATCTTGCATAAGGCAATGGGGACTGTCAACTTCGGAGAATGCACCAATGTCGCCGATAATTAGAGAAATTGGGAAATGTCTGTCAAAGTTTTCGCTGATACATTTATCACTTTTATAAAAACCATGTCGGTATTGGTATCAAGAAGCTTGTCAGTTTGAATCTTTCCCAGAAAACACTTCTTCTGAACACTTCCCAGAAAACACCTGTTGAACTGACTTCAAAAGGAGACAAAACTGTTGCAGAAGGACACACCTTTGAAAACATGACAGCGAAAATATGGGCATCCATGAAAATAAACGGTATTTTCTTTGCTACTCGGCACTGGCGAACACAGAATTTTCATATGCCAAAACACCAGTTCATCCAACCAAAACAACTTTATCTTTCATCTGATCTTTAGATAAGAAACAACAAGGGGTGTAGCACCAAGCAATACAGAAATTCATTAAAGGATTCACTGGCAGAATTTTATACTTGGTAGCAACATGCATTAAGAAAACATTCGACCAGGAAAGTTATAACAAATATATGAGCCTAGAGAAGCTATTGATCAATGCTTCGAGCAAAAGATCGTTCGAAAAGGAACTTGATAATGCATGTGACTTAGGTGGACGAAGATGGACAAAAACATGCTGCAATCAAACCTTATCAAACTGTATACAAACAGACCACCCAGAGAAGGTTTATCCTTAAAGGCAACTTTAGATTTAGAGAAATTTAGAGCAATGTCCAAGGCAGAAAGTTTGTTACGCCCTTAAGGTATGACAATTGTATTGGTAATGCCAGCGACCTATACCGTTGGCATTAAGAATTTTCTCTGTGCTGCGAAAAACGTAGTCTTATTTAAGAAAAAAATATTTTACAAGCAAGTTAAAATCATATGATGTTGCTAGATGTTCCCAAGGACCCCATTCACAGCTTAAATCTAATCTAGGTAAGGGATATGTTTGTATAAATGAACGAAAGAAGGAAACATCATTTGGGGACGGTTTAAGAATTCAATTATGCTCAACACTATCGTTTTGCGAATCTATTTCGATTTTAACATGTCAAACTTGTGCGATCTTCATACCGTTTTCTACTTTTTTCCAAGTGAAGCTGTTTGCTAGAAAGTCTAGTTTTGACAGCCACATCCAAATGTAGAAGTTCGTCATAGAGTTTATCAGGGGCGGCTGGGAGTAAATTTTTTTTGGTATTACTTTTTCAAATGTATGGAAAATGCATGAAAAAGGAAAATTAACAATTTCTTTATGAAGGAATTTTGAACCTCCTCAGCTGGAGGGTTATAGGGGTTTTGCAACACCCCCCCCCCCCCCGATTTGGCCCAGCCATACGTTGGGGAAATTTGCATATCTTCAATTGACTCTAAACAACAAACAAAAAGTCACTAAAAGACATAAATTGGTCGGGTATACACATTTTTGTAAACAACTAAGAATCTGAGCGAATGCTGAAAGTTTTAAATTAATTGGCAATTTTAGTGCTGTATCTCCTAGAAAATAAATGCAGATACTTCCTTACTAGCATATCAAAAAGAAATCTATGAAGAGCCTGATTTCCTGTTGGTGTTTTTAAACAAACTGGAGGGCTGTAACATTTGTCTGAAGGGCTTTCGAGTGGTGATTAGTCGTGAAAAATATTTGGCGGCCCCTTCCTCTGAGCCACCATGTGGGCCCGTTATTAGACTCGCGATTGTAATAACGGAAACCACTGCGTGAAAGCCCCCTGAATACATTCAAGGTTCAGTTCAGTTCATCATTCATTTCAAATGCCTTTACATAAGCAACTTGCAACATTTTGAATAGCTACAGTTTACAAATGTACAAATAAAATTTGAAAGGATGCAGGCTAAAAATTTATTATAGAAAAATACATGAGGAGATATATCTGGCACGGTCTTTCAGTTCAAGACGTTGCTAGTGAGTTAATTCCACCTGTTTCAAAATAATTAGAGATACAAAATAATAACACTTTGAACACCCAGACGATGGTCATTCACTTGATCTTTCACAACACGATTCATTTTGAAACAGCTAACTTACAAGCAAAATCATAAAACAGCACGGGCAAAAGGTAAATGGCCGCGTTATTAGAATCCCAGAAGTAATAACGGGGCTGCTAGGCTCCTTTATTTCAAGGACCAAGAACAATTTAATTTTACGTCATCGGTAAGTCCCGTGACAAAGACTTTGCTGTTTCCGTTATTAGAAACGCGAAAGTAATAATGAGACCGAGAGCCTCGAACTAGCTTTGAACCATTTGAAATACCATTGAAAAACATAATAGGCTTCCTGTGGTTAAGGATTAGCAGGTAATTATCATCCCCTTCAGATGAATAGAGGAAAGATACCATATTATTTCTACGTCATTGGTTGTGTCTAGCAGATGAATGCACCAAACTGATAAAGACTTTGGAAAAAGTGTTATTACAGTAATAACGGTAATAACACTGCCCGCCGCCCCTGGAGTTTATCATAGAGTTTATCATAATGTATCCTTATACGCTCCTTAACCGGAAATCGCATCTGATTGGTTAACTGTGCCGACCCTTGGCGACGTGGTAGCAACCGATCTGAGTTGAATGTTTACATACGGCGTTTCACTGTGATCGAAGATAAAATCAAATTCTAACGTCGAAATTCTCAATTTTATGTAGTTTTCTTGTGTCATTAATCATCATTAAAGTCTTATTATCGCTCAAGGCAAGCAGAATTTGTGTCAAATCGTTAAACTTTGTTACTTTCCCAATTTGTTTGCTTCAAAACGCTGGTTGTTCAATTTGAGAATAATGGATACTGAAATTATCACGTTAGCGGAAATCTTGGATTTTTTTAAAGATGACACAAATACTGTCAGGAAAGGTGAATTGAAATTCAAGTCTGACTTTGTTTTGGACTTAAGAATCGATGAATTGACAGTCAATGCAAAGGTCAGAGCAACAATGAAGGACAAAAGCTACAGCGTTTCCTTGACGATTGATGGATCTGGTGGGATCAAGCAGGCGATTTGCGAATGCCCCCGTGGAAAATGGATCTGTAGCCATATGGCAGCAGCATCTATTTATGTCAATAAGAAGGGATTCTCAAAGACAGACCTCCCAAACTCATGGATTGCTCGTCCTAAAAAAGCGGCTAAACAGGAGGTGAGAACAATCTCTGATTTATTCCCCCATCCAAGGCCTGATTACAAAGCAGCTTCTAGAAAAGTAGATGAGGCAGATAAACAATTTCTCTTTGACCAGCTAAGTAGATCAGCTGCCTGTCCTTTGCAATGGATCATTGGCCCAGAACCCCCAAGTACATTATTGGATGGGGAATCTTTATGTGAACCAGTGCAAGTTTTTCAGCTACTTGGGCTATTTAAAGAAGACCAAAATAAGTTTTTTGAAAGGTGTTCAGTCTCAAGTGAGCAAATTGCTTGGCTAGCTGAGAACACAAAAGACCAGTACAAGTCAAGTTTATGGGGAAAACACAGGTACCTTCGCCTGACAGGAAGCAGTTTTGGGCTGGTTCTTGCAGCATATGAACGACATGTGTTGAATGGTAAACCATATCCACCATCTCTATTCAAAACACTTAAAGGTGAATATTCATTGGCTGGCAAGGACTCGATAATGTGGGGACAGATGCATGAAGAGAAAGCTCTTCAAGAATATATTAAACTGACAGGTAACACTGTAAAGTCTGTTGGTTTAATATTATTACCTTGTGGTTTTCTTGGGTGTTCCCCAGATGGAATAATAAATTTAAAGGATGTTGCAACTAATGATGTTGGTGTATTGGAAATTAAATGCCCTTGGAAACATCGTGACCATACAGTTGCAGAGATTATCAAGGAAGAGGTGGAAAATAAAAGATCTACAAGCTTTTACCTTAAACTGGATGCAACTCTTAATGAAAGTCACAGTTACTGGCACCAAGTTCAAGGTGAAATGATAGCTGCAAATGCTACCTGGGCACATTTTGTTGTTTGGACAACAAGGGAAATAAAAGTTATTTATGTTAGCCGTAGCACATCATGGGCTGAGACTAACATTCCAAAGTTAAAAGATTTTTATGCTAATGAATTTTTACCACAATGTATAAACTAGTTTATGAAATCTGTTGATTCATTTTTTAGCAACAAGAAATATGTATTTATCAAAAACACCATTAATTATTGCTGATTGCAAATTTACCAAAGCAGCACATGTCTGCACAAGTTTGTTACACCAAGGTCTCAAATTTGTTGTTATCAAATTAAGTATTTTGTAATTTCTTAATCTTTCTATTGCTCTCTCCACATGTATGCGCTGACTGGCTATTTTCTTGCAAAACATGGCTTCTTCTTTGGAGAACTGTTTCTTGCCAGAAAGAAAAGGTGGAAGATTTAGAAATATTCCCTTTGGTACAAGGTCATGAATCATGAAGCCTTTGTCAGCCAATATTAGGTCACCAGCCTGCCAGAAAATTGAATTGACTAACTTATTTAAATGAAAAGAAACACAGGATGATGAAATGATAGAAGATAATGTTACAAATATGAAACCTTATGAGACCAGTTAAACATTAAACACACCAATTAATTGAAGTCTATGTCAGGTAAATGATACAAAAGTTTTGACTTTAGATAGCAATAATAGGCTGAGGGAAATAATGTATGTATGTTGGTGTTCCCAGTACCCAGGCTTATTGAGATAATTCAGTCAAATTGTTCAGACCTGAGTCAAATTGTTTAGACTTGCAACTATTTTATTAATGAAACTGCCACATCTCTGGCTGTAATTTATTTTAGCTTCACTAATGGTCTTTGACAATTGGATGTTCTTGGTTAGCATTCTTCCCTAAGACTTTCGAAATTAATGAAAGCCCTACCTTCAAACTTGATATGACTTGTGACTGATCTGTAATCACTTTGTCACTTGTGCTGCCTGGGTAGCCATCACTTACAAAAGTAATACTTCCATTAGGGGCAACTGCTATCAGATACTTAGCAGTGAGCCTATGCTTATAATTACTGTAGCTTACAGCTGCTGCTTCCAGGTCCTTTCTTGGTGTATCAATAAAAAGCTCTGTGCAGTCTATCAATGTTCTGCAATTTGGTATGTCTGCAAAAGATGCTGGCATGGTACATTTATTTTTCTCTAATGATGGCATCTTGTCCATGCATCCAGTAAAAAATGTTTCATGAAAAATATTCAAGTATGTTAAAAAAATGTTTTGTATTGTTGTTGTGCTTACAGAATACCTTCTTGCTAAATCAAAATATGGAAGATCAAGCTTCAGCCTCATTAAAAATATCAAGAGTTGATCAGAACCACTAATACTGGTAACAGCTTTTCCAGTCCAATAATTTAATGGCTTGAAACGATCGATCATCTCTTTTACTGCATCGAATTTTGTCTTCTCTAAACCCGTGTAATTTTTAATGTCCTCAGCACTCATAACGTCATATTTAAACACAGCAATTTCCAAAGCTGCTACCTGCTTGTTGGCAATTGAAAGAGCATTTTTCAGCACCTCTAGTTGATTTTGATGTGCATTTGAAGTAGCTTGCTCATTATTATCCCATTCCATTGAAACCGATGCTGCTGAAGGCTGAGGTATAGGCAAGGGAAGTTCGATAGAGGTAGCTGGGTTCTCCGGGCACCTTGAACGTTGTGAGACAAGCGTTGTGCGAGTAGACAATCTCTGATCTCCTTCAGCTCCTCTAAGATTCCAACAGGGGATTGATCCTTTCTTGAGGGTCTTTTTCTGGAACTCACGAGGAGTCGTGCTTGAGCTGCATTTATTGAAATCCTCCTCAGAGAAATGGAAGGAGCATACATACGACGAAGCACTAGGAGTAAAACCTTCTCTACGTATTCTGGCAATCCATGCTTGTCTCAGTTTAGGATCTTTTGGAAACTGGTGGAATGAACGATTCTTCTCATTTTCAGATGTAGCGCTACATTGATAAACAGCACAGGATTTGGGCATAATCGTTTCACTTTATTCAGGCCCTCTGATAACAAATGAGCGTAAAAATTGATACAACAAATATCAAACGAAAGTTCTGCTTGCCACTAGTGATGATAAATGACACAAGAAAACTACATAAAACTTGTGAATTTCGACGTTAGAATTTGATTTTATCTTCGATCACAGTGAAACGCCGTATGTAAACATTCAACTCAGATCGGTTGCTACCACGTCGCCAAGGGTCGGCACAGTTAACCAATCAGATGCGATTTCCGGTTAAGGAGCGTATATTTAAAGGTTCCAGAAAAAGAGTTGAATAGACCATTTCAGCCTTTCCATCGGCTAGAAGATTCATTTTTCTTGAAGGAGAATGTTCCTAGACTTCTAGTATTGCATGCCCTCGGAGCACATGAAAGCCCACCTCCTCCGTTGACAGTTCAGAACCTATCTCTGACCCCGTGTGAAGGCAGTGTGTGAGTTAGGTAACAGATCTGCGACATCTTGGAAAACTGAAGGATTGTGTGATGGTCTTGAAAAAGCATTGAAGAGATTTTTCAATTGAGTATTAGCAATATAAAGTGCCAAAAACATGCAAAACTTACCAAGATAATGCAAAGCAGACAAATCCTAGTGTAACAATGTGACCATAAATTGGTTTGTTACTGTTCTTTCGGTTTTGAAAACACTTTACAACTTTTGTGAATTCCAAGAAAACATCGGCAATGTCGTGTAGAAAAAGAACCACCAGACCCATTCGGTGATACCTGGAACAAAAACGGAAAGCATAACTAGAGTAATTATTAGCAAAATAGAATAATTAAAATAGAACAAATAAAAATAGAATAATTATTAGCAAAATCTCTGCTCTTTTTAGACAAAAAGCTCTTGTTGTTAGCTATTGCAAAACTGGAAATGATTTGTCATATTTAACTAGCTGTGGCTCATATTTAACTAGCTATTGCTATTGTTTTAAGTGCAAAACTTTGCAGCAGATTATAAAAACATGCCAAAAATATATCAAATTTCAGGCTTAAAAGTCACTTGTCTGCAGGGCTGTAGAAGAAGGGGTCTCAGGGGGGGGGGGGTCATCCCCCTTCTACTTTTCGAAGAAGTGATCAGTGTTTGAACAAAACATGGGGTAGAAAATTTCCTGATAAACCATCATCTGTTTTTTACTCTGGAAAGTGCCGTACAAATAAGTACACTAAGGTTTATAAATTACGATTATATACTAGTGATGCTTCTCTTTGTAGATTTATAGCACATAAGGATACTTGCACGACTTTGCTGAACAAATCCAGCTAACATAGAGTGGCAGAATTTGGTGAGATGCCTGGATTAAAACAGACTTCTAATAATCTACCCAATTACCTCTAATGAAATGATTTGTCATATTTAAGTAGCTATGGTCCTCAGAAAACATTTTTTAATTTGTTGCTTGGCTACAGAACTACAATGAAGTTGACTGAAACAGGTGAAAAAATTATGTTTCAAACAATTTCCCAATAATTGGATAATTGAATCCCGTTTTCAATGACCTAGTTTCTTGAAAATCTTTAATTTCCCCAGAACAACTACTTGCTAGTTAAATTATCAATTGTTTTTCGTGGGCGTCCTGCGAAATGAATAAATGACAGGTCTTGTGCACAAACATGGAAAATATTGTTGATTGCATAAAAACTAAGAGAAATTCTCATTGCAAGCATGGATTTTTCAATTTCACAACAAGCTTGCGAACACAAATCAAATAAAGGGCGGACAAACGAAAATTGCTTTAAAGGTTCCATTTGCAAGCTACTCCTGGCTACCTTATGCACCAGATCCCTAACTTTAAAGTAAAGGGTCTGGAACTCACGGATATTGATACCCACCCTACTTTTGGTGGATATTGATAATTCGAAAGCCAATAGAAAGAGCTTACTGATGATAATTCATAGACTATAACGTGTTTAGAGCTGCCAAAGGACCTCTTGACGACAAACCAAACCCCAGACCTACGATGCCTGCCAAAAGTCTTGGAACACTGACATCAATTTCCAAGGTCAAAACCAATCATCCCCCTCTCCCCCACGGAACAATGCTGGTTTACTATCAAACGAGTTAGGATTTTAGGAAGCACTTTCTTTTGCGCTTCTTTTATGATATTTCTCTAAATCATCAACATTGTTTGAGGGGGAAGGGGGTGGAAGTAGCAATTTTTTTTCCATGAAAGGAATAAAAGATATCAAATGCAGCGTAAATTGGTGGGTGTTACAAGTACTTTTGGCAGGCATTGTAGGCAAACGGGAGCCAGAAGAGCCTTTATCTGGCCCGGTGGAGGGGATGTGGGACAGAAGGCAACCCTGCACCATCATCCAGTGGAGTGACAGAAGACAGTCCACACCTGGAAAACCAGCTAATGTAGGGGCAGGAAATGATTAAAATGAATTGAGTCTTTCTGAAACACACTGGAATTAAGTATACCCAAAGTAAAAGGTTAGTTGGAGTCATCTATTCAGGAGAGATACAAACCAGACAAGTAACGACATTTGTAGTAAATGAAGGAACAAAGAAGTCAATGTTATGGTACCATACTGAAAAAGAGCCAAAAATGATGATGGAGATTCGAGAAAAAAGCAACAAACCACTTCTCATAGAAATTTGTCTTCTTCATAGCAGATGAAGAAAGAGAGCAATATTAATTACCAGAGGGCAATAACAGAGCTACGATAAAATTGTGAAATTTCAATACTAAAGTAGACAATTAAGAGCAACAATTCTTTTGGAAATCTGGACCAGGACAACTTCAATGGAGATTAATTGAATTCTTTACAAGATATCGATTGATTGATACAATTACTAGGTTTGAACAAAAGGAAAGCGCCAGGAATACATTGATATCACAAGATGCTAGGACAAAGAATCTTAAAAAAGGAAAGGTGTTCCCAAACAAAAAACAGACCAGGAGCTGTATGTAGATAAGACCATGATCCAGCTGTCATAGAAATTAAAACAAAACTTGAAGCAGAAAAGGCAAAAGGTTAAAACGTGGAATATTAAAAAAGTAAAATCAAAGACACTGAAAAAGTCCACATCTAAGCTTGCAAAAAAGAAAAAAATTAATTGTGGCAAAATATTAAGGAATGCATTCAAATAAGAGCAGAAGAAAATTGAACAAAAGATAAGGAAGAAATGAATATCAAATGCAGGACAGCTGAGGTCTTGATGAAGATTGAGGCTTTGAAAAGAGAAGCTTTGAAAATCGGGCAAATGCTGACAGTAACAACGGACAAAATAGCTGAGCTGGAGAATTCAGCAATGGAAGAACATTTAGACAAACTGCACGGCCTAAGCTTGTAGATAGATAGATAAAAGACCTAGCATTTAAGACTAAAAATGTTCTGCTAGGAATCAAAGAAAATATTGGGAAAATGCTGTATAAAAAAACCATAAAAACACACAGGAAAGGTCTTTATAATGTTGAAAAAAAGCTGACATTAGATACTGAATAGGTCAACGAAGTACAACAAAACAGAAGAAGAGTAAAAACGGGAATTATCAAAGGCCTACCAAAAAATAAAAAATGCATAAGCGCAGAAATATTGGAAATTATCGACAAATCTGGAAGACAAAGAAATTTAAACTGAACTTCAGTAAGATCTACAATATACGAGATCGTACCAAGATTTTTCAAGAAAACATTCGTCCAACTACCGAAAGTTATTAAAGCTATAGAATGCAACGAAGACAGAACAATTAGCCTTATATTTCAGGAAGCAAGATTCTTTTGAAAAACGTAAAAAAAGGACTACAAAAATAACTGCAAATTTCCATAGGGAACAGAAGGCCAGGATAAGAAGCGACAAAGGACTGGAATTACAGGAGGCATCAGACAAGGCTTCATAGAAGCACTAACCAAACGACATGGGGTTGAATATCAATTGAGAAAACATCAAGAAGACAGCATTGCAGCGACAAATTTTTGATTGCAGAAAGTATGGACGGATTACAAGAAATGATAAATGCACTAAATTAAATATGGAACAAGTTTTGATGCGAGGAGGGCAACGAAACTGATGATAGCTAAGAAAGATAAGGTTAAGTGAGCAATAAAAGTAGACGACAAAGAACTAGAACGAGTAATAGAATAAAAATACCTGTGAAGCGGAATGGAAATGGAAAATTACTAGGAATGGAAAATTTGAGAAAGTAAAAAAAAGACGTAGGATGGCGGAAATTCCCTTGTGGAAGCCCAGAGTGTATTTGAGAAGTAACACCAGACCTAACTTGACATTAAGGTTGCTAAACACTTACATAATTTCAAATAATGGAGAGAAGCTTGATTTTTCAGCAAAAGGATTATCAATAGAATTCATGCTTTGGAAATGTGGTGTTACAGAAGTAGCTGAAAATAAGTTGGGCCGTTTGAATGTGCAATGAAAAGGTTCTTGAATGAACTGATAATCGTAAAGTTTTGGACAAGGTAATAGGAAAAGAACAGGAACGTAGAAGCCAGGAGTGCTTAAGGGGCACGTGAACCCAACGTTTGGAAAATCATCCAGGTACTTACCTAGGCTTGATCTTGAAGGTGTGATAGAGAGGAAGCGAGATCGGGAACGATAGGAAAAAATTCGGAGACAGGGGGGGGAGGGGGTGACAATAAAAAGATGTTCGGGAGTAATAGCACTGGGCGAGCTAAGATGGTGCTTGATGATGGAAGTAGGTGGCGTGTTTTTCTATTCTTTCAGCAAAATGTCCTTATATTTCTCTGAAGCTTTTCCCCTAACTGTGGTCTTCTTTAACTAGCTCTTCTCCAAGTACATCATTGCAGTTCTCTACTATCTCCAGATCTTCATTTGTATCATGATTAAATTGATCTTTAAATAAATTTATCCAGTTTCCTATGTTCTATTGATTCTCATCTCTATTTTGAGCTTTCAAAAGTCCTCTCCTCTTACCAATTTCTTTGACCATACGCATTTTCAGCACGAAAGATATGATAGCTACGTGCCTTTTTACCAATATGATCATTTAGATCCACCCCAACCAAGATAATCTTGCCCCAACCAGTTACCAAAGAGGGTAAGGCAAGTGCGGTTGTGGACAACAATTTTTCCTTCGCTTAACTCACAATGGCCCAAAATCTTACCACCATGGCAACAAACATATTTTTGACCTGTCTACAGCAGACAACAGACCCTCCATGCTTTGCAGAAACGCAACTTTTATCTCCTCGGAAAATGCACTCTGTTAGACATAAGATGCTGCGATAGTTTGGAAGATCTTTATATAAGGTCTTCGATCTTAACCAGGCTTTTAGCCTGGTGTTTTCGTAGCATGATTTTCTTTGTACTCAAGACGTACTCAATTTCTCTGAAAATGATACGTACTGAATTTTTCTGTGATCTCTTTGTTTTAATAAATACTATACTCTTCTCTTAGCTTTTGCCGCTCCTTCTGGACCATTTTTCTTGTTGCATTCTAGACCAGTCTTTCTAGGCCAAGATTCTAGGTGCTAAAGCTGACATCCACTAGCTTTTTAAGCCACGTAAAACATTATCTTCATTTTCAGAAGTACAAACAGCAAATCCAAACATAAGAAAGAGAAGAAGTTTCGTTGAGACCAAAAATCTGTCAGTACATAAAGTTGAAAGAGGGAAATCTCATCGTTTGTCACAGATCTTCAGAATCAGTCAGTCACTTATCAAATTGGCTCAAAAAGTGCAGCACAAAATCTGTACATGAAATTGAATGAAAGAGAAAAGGGAGAAAAAGACTCAAATTATTCACAGACTCGAGAGGTAGTGATAGTTTGAAGTGGGTTTTGTTGATGAAAGTTGGGCATTCATGGAACATGTGTTATCACACTCATGCAATCAAGTAATTGTTAGGTTTTTCAGTTTGTAATTTAATGTACACATAATATCCTATTTTGCTTGCAAAACAGACGTTGTCTGTCCTAAGCATATATATTTCTCCCTCTATCCATAACAACTCCCTGAATGATTCCTGTACTCCCATGGTCTTTCTTATAACATTTGGGCATCAAAATATGTATCCTGAAAGTCCATTCCGGGACATGCAAGCACTGCAGCATCATAATTGCCCTCCTCTACATGTGTGTACTATTAACCAAATACTAAAATTGTATGTTGCAAATGCAATGCATCATTTATTGATTCTGTTGTGCTGTTGACATCCCATTTTATAGGTTCTCTGACAGGCCAATGACAAGGTCAAAATTTTGACGAACTAGTTTCCACCATCTACAGGACCACATTCATGACTATTGCTTCTTACCTGATAGAAACAACTACTGCTTCATTTTGTCACTGTTGCTGAAATTTGAATGGGAAGGCACATAGAGTACCTTTGCAAAAATCATTAAAACGTCAAACAGTACCTGGCTCTCAACTGGCAGTTGATATAATGCAAGAGATGTGGCAGTAGAGAAGGCCATTTTTGGGACTGACAGACATCACTAAGGTTTTGAGTGACATGTTAACAAATGTAATGTTAAAGTTTTTGCTTACTTGTGTTTAGTTTATCTTTTTGCTAAATGATTACTTGTGTTTAGTTTTGCATGCATTGCTTATCTGTAAGTTTGTCTTTCTCCCCCACTGGCTAGGTACAGCATCTTATTATATGGTGTTCAGAGTACAAAAGTGTTGCAGTATGATATATACTTTGCATTTTGTGAAGCATATCCTAAATTCTGCTTCCTGACAAAACAAAGAAAGAAAATCCCTAACATTTGCTTTTTAGGAATGATCGAAATTCTGAACATGATGCAAGAGAGCAATATGGATCCAGCTTCTCATGAGTAACATTTAGCTTTGAACCAGTATCTCTGTGTTTAAACTGCTAAATTCTATTCCTGAGCACTGCTGTGTTAATATTTTGGGTGGTCTCAATTGATCATCAACTCAATAGCTTTGAACCAGTATCTCTGTGTTTAAACTGCTAAATTCTATTCCTGAGCACTGCTGTGTTAATATTTTGGGTGGTCTTAATTGATCATCAACTCAAATAAATCCTTCAAATGAAGCACTAAAGGTTTGCTTATATACTGCTTGAAGAGTTAGCTGGAATTTTAACTGATGATCTAGTTGAGCCATTATTCCACATTTACATTAGTACGCAGGAGCAGACAATTGTTCAAATATTTGGGGGGGGGGGGCAAGCCTATTGTTTTGATAAGATGGCAACAAATTTTCTCATTGTTTTAGAACAAAAAACCATTGCCCACAAAAATAGTGGGGTTGACCACCCACTTGCCCCATCATCCCCCAAAGTGTCTGCCACTGTTTTTTGTGCAATCTTGGTGCTGAATCCTGTTCCTATTTGATTTATCATTTTCCAGATAAATGTATGTACAATCTAAATTTGAAAGAAAAATGACAAATTAAATTCTAGAAGAAAAAAGCACATAAACTGATTGGATAGTTAAATGAATTAATCTTATATAGTTTGTACCTGAGTCCCAATGAGAAAACAATCAAGCAAATTGTTAGGATGTGATGCAAGACCATCAAAGTAGAATCATCCCTCCATACATCCAAGAAAAAAACTCCATATATACCATGGACATAGAATCCTGCCTCTGCAACATAAATCCAGTAAATTTCAGAGGACACTGCCATTCCAACATGCCAGCCTAAAAGAGGAAGTACAGTTTACAATGAATACTAACATTAACATAGACATACAAATCATTTCAACAGTGGAGACACGTGTAGGCAAAAAAGGGGCACAGCTGTAAGCTGCAAATAGGTATTTTAGAAACTGTTTCCAAAAATTGGTTGTAGTGGCATTCGGTTCCTGTGCCAATGGACCAAAACTGGTGAAACATAACACATGGTGAGCAAGACTCCCTGCCTTACTACCCTTCCCTCTATGCTAATTAAAAATTTGCTAAAAAAGCATACACCATCATTCTTTGTGCTGAATTTGGTCTCAGATCCTAGCCAGTTTGACATTTAAAAATAATCCAGGAGGAGACTGATTTTTTAACATATTTTTAGCAATCTGGAGAATTTTTTATATAAATCAAAGGGAAGCCAAAGACTTACCTCTCCATGGTGCCAATGGGTCTGTTAGAAATGTTGGATACAACAACAGCAAAATGACACACTCTATAGTGTAAAATATGAAATACAACAACAGCTTAAAACAACTCTCTGGGAAAACTAGCTTGTCCTTGCTTCTGAACTTGAATTTTTGTGCTAATGGCTGCAAAGATAATAATAATGCTTATTCAAATTCTCAATTGAAAGAAAAATGTGAAAAGCAAAATAGCCTTGAAAGTTAGTAGATGACTGAGATTTGGATGCTTTGAGTTGACACTATCAAAAGAGCAATGAAACATTTTTGCAGCAAAAAAATATGCTTAATCTTTTGTCTTATGAAATGGGAAGAAATGAGAAACAGAAATGAGTATTTTATGCCCTCTACAAAGATATTTTCTAACAGTCTAACTTAGTGACTTGAATCCTAAATAACCAAATGGACAAGGTACATCAATTGAACCTCTGTAGGGGAAAACTACAAAATAATTGCAAAACATTTTGTAATAGTATTCCGTTAATTGGCAAGAATTGGAGCCCTCAACTGAAAGGATAGCCTGATACCCAGATGGGCTGAGGCTACTGAAAGGAAAACAACTCTAGAAATATATTTCCGCAAATAAAAAGCCTTTGAAAGACACTATCGAGACCTACCAAAGCTTTAGGGAGTTTTGGTTTAGTTGTACTCTGGCTCACTTTGTTGTACTCTGACTCTGGCTTACCCTTATTACTGTTTAAGCTGTTTCCAGACATAAAACGTCAACAGATGCAATTACGGTTAGTGCGGTCATAAAGGTCATTCTATAATCTGGGTTTTTAATAAGGCCTAATATGTTCATCGTACGAAAATCAAATTTCATTGTAGTTGAAAATTTGAAAATCAAACTGTTGCTGAAAGAAGCTGATACAACAAAGGACCGTCGATACAGTTCAGTATAAAGGATGCTGTTTCCTTACCTTACGGGATAGATTATGAAGCTGGTCATAAATCTGTTGACTAAAGATTACTTTTGCAGGAACAGAATCACGGAGACATGATACAATATGCGCGGCAGCAGGTATAAATAAAGTAGCTCTTCGTCAAATTCAAAACAAAATTCTACCCTAACCTTAAGGAGCCTGGTAGCTGTCTGTTGTCGGAACAATGAAATCATGAGTGCAAACAAAAAGATGAATCCAAAATCTTGTTTCTGCAGTGTAAGATAATCCTTCATCTCGTACCAGAATTCGGCTAGGAAGTCTTTCGATGGTCCTCTGTTGTGCCATTCCGATTTACACGTCTCCCAAATGAGACTGAATATGGACAGAAAAGAAACCATGATTCTGTTCAAGGACTACCTTGGCTCATCCACTTTCCAAATATTTAGCAGAGCTGCCAATATTTGCCATCCTCGTGTGGTGGAGACAGTTCCAAATGGCCTATTAGAAACCACTGCAATGCTCGTTTAATCGTCTGATAAATTTTCGTGACCCCTGACCTTTTGCACTTTGGAATTTGCTGCATATTACCTCCTTGCCAGCGTCCGCTACAGGTATTCCTCAAAGGGGGTAGGCGATCTCTATGAGACAGGCCCAGAAATCGTCGTTAATCCAAGGTTTCTCCTCCCTTTAGTACTGGTCACACAGTAAAAAGAAACTTAATACTAAAATAAATATTATATTTTACAATAGTTCTGTTATATGCCTCCAGCAGGAACAAGCGAAGATTTACATTTTGAAAAGGTAATTCAGTGCCCAAATTTCTAAAAGGTAAATTTTTAAGGGAAGAGGAGTAGCGACACGAAGGCCAGGGGGTTTCAAGTCTTCTCAAGAATTTAGTATGAAAATGAACCGAAGTTGTTGGTCATTTTCTTGACCACTCCTGCTATAACTTCTGTCAAGGCCTTTTTGATTTGCTTTTTAATTGCAGTCATACTCCAGCTGTTTCCCAGCAAGCGTGATACGCCGATAAAAACCTTTGAAAGGCAACTCTCCTTGTCAATATTGACATTCAAAGCTATTGTGCATTCAATACATTTCTTTGAAGTGAGTATCTGAAGCCGTTTTTACGAAAATTCAATAAAGTAGATTTTTTTCAATAAATTTGAAAACTTTTCAAAAATGAAATAGAAAGTCTACTAAAAGTCAAGAAACTGTTCCTGTCTAAACTGGTCTACACGAAGAGCCTAGGCCTCGGATAGGGAAAATCAAAATCGAGAAAGGAGGGAATTTGTCTTGGGCAACGAACAAGAGCTCGATCGGAATCCCAAAAGATGAAGTATCAACGAGATAAAATAGGGAGCCAATTGAAACCGTGCAAAAATTATCAAGGTGAATCTTTAGATGAACTTATAGAAAACTTAACTTTGGTTCTACTGAATCATTTCTGCCTTATGGATAAGAATCTACTTTCTTTGGCACTGTAGAAAACGACATTCATCAATGCGTAGGAAAGTTTTCATGAGCTATTCACAACACAAAAGCAGCTCTATTTCGAAGCAAGTTGCTTTTGATTTCTCGGGATGCTTTAAAAAATTTGATTGAGCTGCCTTCAAGGACGAATACAGCCTGCAGAGGCTGCAACACATTTCTAATAATGGTATTTTAAGCACTGAAGATTAACAACCAACACTGCTATATGAGCTATCAGTAAAAGAAGATACCTTCTATTTTTGGGTTTGCTTATTAACAAACTGAATGAAGTGTTGTATTCAGATAATAATAATAATAATCAGGAAGAAGTTTAAAAGCGCTTTCACAAGCGTACAAGAGTCCATCAATGTGGATTCTGGATTCTTCAAAGACAGGTTCCTAGTCCATTGTTATTAATTGTAATAGTTTTATTTTCTATATTGAGCAATATAATTTGCAACCGATAATTTTTTGCCACTTAAATTTTCAGTTACTGATATCTGGATAACAACGAGTTGCAAAATGTTTGACAAAGCCAAAGAACAGCTTGTAAAATTGTTTCCTGTTAAAAAGGTTGTCATATTTGTTAAAAGATCCCTATACTTTGATAATACGACATAAAATTGGCTTTACACGGTCGCAAAACTAATAATAAATAAGCAAAATACAGCTAGAGTCTCGAGGTTTGTAAGATGAAATAAGTTCATAGTACTACACGAATATATGATGAATTCAATAAATATACTTTAAGTACAAAAATTAGTTGAATAAAATAACACAAAAAACTACACGTTTGATCGCTATAGTGTTGAAACTCAGTTACAACAACGAACGTTTTTTGTTAACCACTAACCACAGGCCTTAGTCTTAAAGCTTAAGAGAAACTTTTGTTAAATTTTGCGAAGAGACAAAGGTTTTAGCGACAGGATTAACTTTAGAAAAACTTTCATGATAAGTATACCTAATGAGTTCCGAATACATAGTAAAAGTACAAATATAATAAACGGGTTACAGGTCCTTGGAAATCCGGTAAAATCTAGTATTATGTGTAGTGTTACAAGGGTTCTGATGCTTATGAAATATTAATTGGAAGTTTCTTTTTAATTTCTGTGTCTTAAGTTGCCTAAATCATTTTTATGCGAAATTAAGGGCAGCCTCATTTTGCTGCATGCAGGCGATATTTCTCTCCAGATATGATTCACAGATTGTTCTGGGAACTGTGCCTTTTTTAAATCTGATTTTGCAAAGGGGTAGGCATGTAGTTAGGGTGGCGTTGATCGAAGATATTGCGTCATCGTCGATTAAATTAACTATTTATCAAAAAATAAAATATAGTTACAATTCGCTAAAGAAACTGATGTAATAAGCGAGGTTCATAAAATAATTTTACATCCACGATAAAAGATGTCTTTCACGGCGTAGGTAAATTATTTACGGCCATTAAAAATACAAATACTGGGTGTTATTTGGAAACACTGAAACTAGATTTCGAAAAAACGATGTTTTCAGAACTGCTTAACGTAGCTGATAAGTAGAATTTACAAGCAGAAACAGAAAAATAACTACAAGCTTTTCTGCGATATGAAACTAAGCCCATAAATATTTCCTAAATATTTCTTAAATGCCAAAATGGTAACAAGCTACTAAGAAACACAGAAACGGATTATAAGAACCATAAATATACAACACCTCGTGAGTCGCAAGGCGCATTCTCATTTGTTAAATATGTTAAACATGCATAAGGTTTTCCAAGTAATTAATTAATGTTTAGAGTGATCAGCATCATGGGATCTTAATTTTTGGTCACTTTTGGGCTCAGTTTCTTGTAGACAGTTCTTATGAAAAAATGCGTGTTGTGCGCGTTATGTAATTGTATGCTGCAAAGTTTATACGCCGCTAAGTCCTCCCAGTGAAAGGAAAACTGAGGGAAAACATACTTATACGGTTAACATTAGAGAGAGAAAGCGAGGGGTAATACATAGATTGGGTAATCACTAGAATTGTCACTATGTTGATAATAGCCACTGACCAATGACCGAACAAACATCATCAGTATACTTCCATGTAGACGTAAACATACTTGGGATGATCATATGTTCAGCGTGAAATAAGGTGTTGGGATTTTCCATTCATGCCAGCGCGTTTAATATAGCACTGAAGCACATGCTTTTCACATAGAGATTTGTTTTTTCTTCTTGTTAATTCATATAGTTGCTTGCGTAATTAATGTTTGCGTCCTATCCGTAATACATTTGGTTAACGGCGTGCTGGGCTGACTCAGACTAATAATTGACTATCTCAAGCTATTTATCTATCGATCTATTAGCTATCTATCCAAACAAACAGCTTAACGACATTTATTAATCCGTATATGCATTTGAAAGTTATTCATAAAAAGTCTTTGACGTAAAAATTGTAACCTGTTTTTCTAAATGCTGATTGGTAGACATATTTAGTTTGGGTAGATTAAAAGTATATAAAACGTCCGATTTTAAGGTAGAGAGATAGATAATCAGTACCGAGGTGTACAATGAAGAAAGATTGGATACAACTGTTGTGTTTCCTTTAGTTTTCTCTTGGCACTTTAACTTTAAATCTCTGAACCAGCAGATAGTTTTGGTATTGGTTCACTAGATAATTTCTACATAAGGCTAGGATTCTAAATCTGAAAGACCTGTTCTGAGATTGCAGATGAAAACTCGCTAAAATTGCTTAAAATGTAACCGTTAAATTGTTTAAATAACAAAAATTCTCAAAGTCAACCTTGAATATACACGTACAATGCAATTGAAAGTGACGAGTAAATATGCGTCCAACATTAACCAGATAAATAAATGTTCAATGATCTGGCATTTAGAATACAATTATTTTCCACCAGCAATTTAAAAATTTACTACAACTGGACTCCATGTTATCCAGAAACATGTCACCTTCTAATTCCTTTTCCTGACACCATTTTCTTGCTTTTGTGCTGGAGAAAGATAAAAAGATTTCATAAATATGATAGCATTATGATCAATATGGGCGTCATACTTAGCTAGCTGTTAGTCTAATTGCATGTAATGACCATGGGGTTGTCATTGTATTCTGCTCTATATGGTATCGTACCTGTAGTATCGTAGAGCAATTAGAAATTATAGCAGAATGTAGTTTGCTTCGTAATATTTTATATGGATATAAAAAAACAACAAATATCTAGGGGCTAAGCCTCCGGTCCCTTTTCATCCGTGTGGCAGTCAGGATTAATTCTGGATCCACCCCTGGCCTTGATATTACCTAGCAGTCCAAGAATTTTTCCCAACCTTTTCACAAAACTTAATTTCATACTTGCAATTTGACAGGAAGGATTTTAAAATATTGATTAGGTGCAACTAAGATTACTTTCAATTATAAAAAGTGTGCAAAATTTTTCTTACCTCCGTTGTGATGTTTATGTGCTACACCATTCTGAGTGACACCATTTTGGAATGAACCGTTTGTCATAGCCTCTTTCTGCTCACCTTCATTTGCATTGGCTTCACCAGTTTCACCTAAGCTATCCTTCTTCTTTGAATTCAAAAGCTGCTCCTCCGTAACATACAATTCTCGCGTATCCTCAATGCTTTTAGACTTGCCAACAATAATGCGAAATATCAATAATATGATGAAATATGACCACCACACATTCATGCAGAACAAGATCCACAGTAGGCCATTGAAAAAGAAGTAGAATGGAGCATCTGGGAGCTCATTTCTAGCCTCGTACCCAGTGGAATACAAAACAATCAGAGGATAAATGAATATTCTACAGCCAATCCTAGAAGAGAAAAAGTATATATTTCACGATTAACTGTCTTTAAGGTTATTATGTAAAGGTGTTTTGTGGAGAGAAGCACATTATTCTAAAAGTAAAACTGTAGTATGTCACTTTTCTATAAAACAAATAGGAAGTTGATTAGCTTATTTAGGAAAACCCAGCATCTTATTGGAACAGATACTGAGATCAATTTATTTAAAAAAAATTATGGTAATTTTGTTCAAATCCTGTAATATCATTTTACATGGCTCGAATTTAAAGGAAATTTCTCCATTTTCTAACTACTCAACCATTTAAGGCACTTTGTCCCGTCAGTCAACCGTGCAGCGTAAACAACAGGCTCTGCAGCACGTTTATGATCAAGAAAAGATTGAGAATTAGCCGATTCGATACGTGAGAATTGCTCTAATCGCTGGACGCAAAAATAACTTTTTGTGATGCTGTAAAGGGCGTGATATCAGATAAACTTGTTTAAGGAAAGCCTACCCTTATAGGTTTTTTTTGACGATTACTCTACTTCCAAAAATCTTACGCGTACGGCCTTGGGTATCTACATACTTTTTCATCCCTGAGAATATTATGTTGTCAAACTATATACAAATTATGTAATATTTTCTTTTTTATTATGTTGTGGCTTCAGACTGCTGCTATTAACACACAGTCACAAGATAATATACAGTATGAAGCTCCAGGCGCAGATCCAGCCTAAATTCTGACCTATGCAAAGGATGTCAGAAAGAGAAGCAACTCCCTTTTGTATTGGAAACACCAACATTTCTGTGAATAATATCAGTATTACTGATATTGAAAAAGGGGGTCTAAAAGGGAAGTCGAGGGAACCGAGCCACAAAGGGATTGAAGGCTGAAATTAACTGCAGGAAAAAGCAGGGGCACCAGAGCAAATTTTTGAGTGGGGGTACCAGGCAAATTGAAAAGTTTTTATGGTAGTTTTTCCCCATTATCTTTAAAGTCACTATCTGAATATCATAGTTCCAAAAAAGTGAGATACCTACAGCTCCCCTCATCAGTTCCCAGGCTCCAGCGTGCCTGCAAAGGCTGAAGGAAAAATCCAAAACGCCTCTGGATTCAGTAAACATGAACCAGATAAATGCCTAGAATGCTCCACCCAACAGTTCTGTGCAGAGGCAAAGACAGATTTTCCAAAATACACAGGAGAGAGTGTCCCTTCGATTTTCGACCTTGGAATATGCCTTTATATGTTATAGATTGAAATTTCTCCTACTCTGCAACTCGGCACTGAACAACCTCTAAGAAACTTTCCTAGTGCCCCCCTAATTTCACAGGTTTTATAGAATCGCTGGTTGGGATTTTCTGCTGTGTGGTTAACAACGTCTACCATTGACAAAAAGTTAATTTTGGCAACAAAGCAATTAGAGCAATCAATAATAAGTGATTGGAGCAATCAAAATAAGTGAGCGTTGAAACTCATGAATAATTAATGAGCACAAAAGAGGTTATGACATTTAGCATCCACCCATAATATGGTGTCTTGAAGGAGGCATGAAAGAATCAGAGATACATGTCAAGAATGTGATTCTAGAAAAGAAGGCAGTATGAGAAGAAATAACGATTTTGCTCGAATATGAAATCAACATGAATGAGGAAGTTCATGTCAGGACTTAGACAAGAACAATGAGCATTTATTATGCTCATTCAATTCCTTTTTAAAACATATACAGACCTTGGTAGTCAGGACCATGCGGTTTAAATGAATTAGAATGGGTTCACAAAGTGCACAATTAAAATAACAAAAATATGTATACAAGATAAACCTTGTTAGTGCTACAATGTGTTTTAAAAAAGTCCTTTTAGAATAAAGGATCTGTATTGAATAGCATACTAAACTTCATATTGCTTTATTTTCTAAAAGGTTTCCCTATTCTGAGTTATAATAAGTTTAATATTTCTTTTATCATAATTCATTAGCATTGAAGAAAAAAGTTTCAACTTACCAGGCAGAAGCAAAGAAAACAAATCCCAAACTAGTAATGATACTGTAAATTGATTTTTTTGACTTCTCTCTGTTCTGGAAACACTTGATAATTTTTGTGAATTCTAAGAAGACATCAGCAATGTCATGAAGGAAAAGAACAACAAGGCCAATCTTGTGATACCTGCAGGTGGCAAAAAAGACTCAGATTTCAGCTTTCAAATCATACTACATGGTTTAAAAGGAAATTAATGGGTGCAATTTCATTAAATGTGTCTGGCCATATAATTCCACATCAGTATTAATACAGTCAACTTATGACCACTTTTTGGTTCCCTCTTCTCCACTTCTGTAGTAATAAGAAAACCCAATGTTTGATAAGAGAAACCAACAAAATTGCTCATTTGGCAGTTTGCAGTTAACAGATATAGACAGATTGCAATGAAACAAACCCACTTAACATTAACCTTCATATACTTTACATACGGAAAATCTGTCCCTTATTAATAATAACTTAGACCCATACTCCTAGAAATATCTGTGTCACTTGATTCCACACTTGATTTCCCAAAAATTCTTAAACCTTGATTTGCCCTCTCTGTTGCATCCTGAATAGGAGATGTTACACAAAAAGTAAAACTTAAGTATAAACTTGCTAAATTGATACTTGCCAAAGCCAATAAGCTATTACCTTAGACCTAAAGAGAAAACAATCAATGAAATTGTTAGGACGTGATGAAGCAAGAGCATCACAGAATCATCTCTCCAAATGTCCATAAAGATTGTCCCATATATGCCATGTATATAGAAACCTGTTTCAGCCGCGTATATCCAGTAAAGATCTGGGGAAACACTCATTCCAACTTGCCATCCTACAAATACAAACAAAGAGCTCCTTCTGTGATTGAATCCTTATGATTGACACTTACATGTGATGTTAGGACCATCAGAACAAAATACTTACATGCATTAGAAATGCGAATTATTTACTGTGGTTGCATGACAAAGAAAGTTGGTTGCTGGAAAGAAAAACCTCAGATGATAACCCAAATGTCATGAATCCTACCAAATTAAATACTTTATGAGTCAATGCACCAGTACATGACTGAATACATTTAAGAGAGCAGGCTTTATCAGGCATTTTCGTTTGAAGTGAGCGAACACTTGGGATCATGTCAGCACTCACACAAACCCAACCACGTGAGAGTTTGATTGCTTGTGCAAAACAGTAAATTGTGAGGAACTAATGTCTCATCAATTAATACAATTCTAGTCATCCTTTGTGAACCAAGCAAGTGACATTAGACAATCAAAGCTAGTATATCAAAACACAGGAAATGTAAGTAAGCTGGCTTAACCACATCTCAATGAAAAAATACATTTGAAAATCAATTCCACAGCAAATGTTTAGGAATACTTTAGGTACTCAGTATTTGAACCAAAATATCACTTAGGACATTATCTGGGCAGTAAAAGCATTTTTGCAAACAACATTGGAACAACATTTTGCAATAACGTCTTCATGACCTTTGTAATGTACATGAAGTTTATAAATGAAGCACATTTATAAAGGGGATTTAGTATTTCTTGGAGTATGTTACAAATCATTATAATAGTTCTTTTTCATTTGATGTTACCTCAAACAAAAGGGTACCTTATAAAAGGAACAATCTTTCACTATCAGAGCTATCGCTTGCGCAAGAGAAATCACACGAGCGATGGGCCACTCGTGTGGGCTAATGCTTATGAAAAGGCCTGCTGTATCTGCATTCAAGATAAGTAAATAAAATGGCTTACAGTTAAAATATAGAACTGTAGAAAAATGAATCAAACCTTTCCATGGAGCCCTTGGATCAGTAAGGAATTCTTTGTATGTTGACAGAAGCACAACACATTCAGTAGCATACAGTAATAAGTATACAATGAATTTAAATGTGCATTCTGGAAAATTAGCCCTGTCTTTGATATCAAAATTCAGCTTCTCTGCCAAAGGCTAAAAAATAAAAAATAAAAAACTCATAAGTACATGACCAACCTGTTGTATGAACAATTTAGGAAGGACATGTAAGAATCAAATTTTCCCAGTTTCCACTCAGGGGATATTTCAAAATGCTATATGAAGTATGCCATTAAATGATGTAAAGCAAGAAATAACAACAAAACTGTTTGATAATGTTGTATTTTTGAGGTACAAATATACAAGTGTGCAAATTTTGAAGCAAGAAGGTCAATGACACTTGAATTGGATACATGTTATTTATTTGGTAATGGAAGCAGGGATAGATTTCCTGGAATAAAATCTTTATGGGAGATTGTAAATTCTATCTCACTGCTGCAGCATAGCTACCGTCAGACTGTTTATGAAAGATGCTACAGGATCCCCCTTTTTAAATCACTGGCAAAATTTCAATGTCAGCAACAAAGAAAGTTACCAGTAAAGTAACAGAAGGAATAGTAATAAAGTATCGGAAGGATGCAAGTTAACAGATGTGAAAAACTAAAAAATATTTTCACCTATTATATTGTATGACAACATTTTTTATAAATTAAGGAGTGAATAGTTCCAAAACAACTACAAATATAAAGGATAATATAGTAACGGAAGGAAAAAGCACAAAAAAGTAATGGAAGGAAGGTTTTAAGATACCCTATAGAGTTGAAAAGAGACTTCTATTGAAAACTAGCTTGTGTCAACAATCTTATTTGGACAGAAAGAGATAGTTCAAATATATGGTATTGGTGAGTTGGCTGTTAAGTGCCCTTTTCATTCCTAAATAGAGTATATTATAGTAAATTATAACCAAGCCACCAAAACGAATGAAAATGCCATCTATAAGTATACTCTTGGTTTATAGGTTAAAATTTTTCAAAATCTGTCCCTCGTTTTTGAAATATGCTCACCAACAAAAACAATTAGACAAACAAAATCCCTTTTTTGATTGCCCAACCAAGAGAAAAGCTATTGTCTGAACAGATTCAAAACATATTGCTACAGTCTTTTCCAATTGACATGTGCAATCACACAGAGATGCATTAACACACAAATGGAGCGAATGGTGTGATCAATTGGTTGCAGGCATGAGACAGATACTTGTCATTGTAATTGACATTTCTAAGACTGCATTTCTTCAACTTAATTTTGACATTTCTAATGCTTGAATTTGGCTGTCAAAACGGCTTTGCATGAAGGATAGAAAAGAAAAAAGGATTACCAATTTATTTAAGTAACTAGAAAGTTTGAATGACATAATGATTATTTGCTAAATAACATGATAATGATTATTTTCCTATTGAAAGATGATTTTAATGTGTCATTAATGAACATCCATTGAAAAGCATGATCCAAAACTAAGCATATCCCAATCAAAGGCAACATAAAAGTCTCAAATTGGTGCAAAAATAACCTTACTGCCTTTTTCATCACATTCATTATGTAATCCAATTACTTCCTTATGTTGTAAGATGTTCAAAATGTTTGGCAACAAAACATTTAACAATTTCATGGTTCATGGCTGTATTCCCCCAGCTAGACAGAGTGTTTAAAATCAGCTAATTTTTGGCTTTTTGTGTTGAATATGGCTTTAGTGAAAAGGGCTTTGCATGAAAAATTTATAATTGTCCTTTATCTTTCATTTGGTTGCATTTCTGGAAATTTTGGCATATTCTAATATAATGTTAAGCATTATTAGTGGAAAAGCTTTTTCTTTGCGCTTTTATGGTTTCTAATTAGTGGGAATAATTTTGCCAATTTCTGCTTTTTTGTCCCTATCAATTTTATGACAGTCAAGGGCTTTGAAAAAGGCAAAATTGGAGAAATTTTACTATTAAAACGACAAAATGGCAGCCCTGACTCTAATGCAAACAAAACTTATAAACTGAAGCAAATTTGCATGAGAAACAACAAATCTTTTGACACTGATGTTCTGAAATAAAACCATAATTGCAGTGTAATTGCCAGTGTATTTGTGAAATCTCTCTATTAGGAACTTGAATAAAAAGAGATAGGTAAAAGTGTGAAACACATGCATGAAATATTCAAAACCCCACTATAAGACCCAGTATTAGGATAATATACAGTATTGTTTTACATATATCATCACAAAAGCACAGACATAATGAAAAAAATAATTTTTGGTAAATATAGTTGCTTTATATCTTGTTTTATAGTTTGTTCCATGTCAATACATTTGTTCAGAATTCACCAAGCCTGCTTTCAAAGTAAACATGAATTGTGGCTTCTTTTATAACTGAATGTGACTGCATTAAATATACATGAAAGGATTGAAATAAGATTCAACCTTTTTGTCACCAGAAGGTTGTGAGTATCGTTTCTTCTGTATAACATTTATGGCAAAATATCTCACTTCTCTTAAAACTATAGGTAAACTTCATCTTCCAACATTATCATGTAAATGTTACATGATGTGAAATATTGACACAAAATTTATCATTCAATGGCCTTGAACATAATAACTGTATCCCTATTTTTATCTTTCATAACTGTCATCTTGCCAAGATTCTTGGGTAAAGCATAACAAGGCAACTTTTCAGTATGCAGAATACCCTAAACTCACACTCTTAGAAGCATATTTTGGTTTATATGTTTTAACACAAGAAATAACCGCTACACTTAAACAGTTTTATCTAACTTGATGTTGCTCTGCTAAAGGGCAGCCCATGAAAATGCATATGGTCTCTGCTGCGCGCAGAACATCCTTACGTCAAAATCTTCACACCTGACCTCAAAGAAATGAAAGTGCACAACCTTGCAATCACATCACCAGGTAGCAATTTGCAGCTAGAAAGAGATTTCTTAAAAAAGGGAAGATATGTACTACACTAAACTTAATACATAAAAAGATACAAGTCTATCAATCTCTTTGCCATAAAACGAGATGAACTTATCAATCACACGCTAGGGATATCAGCCAGCGAGTTTGAGATTTCTAAAAGGATCTTCTATAATGTTTTTATGTCCCTAGTAAGAATCAATAAGGCATCACCTGCAGGAAATACTTTGCAACTCCTTTGCGAATAAAAGTAATGATAATCGCTATAGCAATGAAGCGAACAAAATCCATCTTTTCCAAACAAATATTGTCTGCCATTTCCTGGAAGAATCCTTTTGGGTGCTTGTTGTCGACCCATTCTTTCTGGCACGTTTTCCATATTAAGTTGAATACCTCCGAATATCCAACCATCTTTCTTTAGATTAGGCCTATCAGCATAAATCAGTCGCCTGCTCTTTATCGAAAACAACTTACGTCAAGCGATAGGCGGATTTTGATACATATTTCAGAAGCACATCCCTGCCATTTTAGAGATCATGGTACCACCACTAATTACCCTCCGCACTTTGTACTTCGCTGGAATACCATGCGTCCATTGTTTTTAATCAATGATACACATCCACTATCACGTGATCACATATATTCTCCTGGGTCCTGAGGAACAAGGAAACAAGAAAAACAATGACAGTTACTAAGTAACATCGCCTCCAGTTCGGATTCTAGTTAATTTTTTTGCTTAGCCTATTGGAATACCAGTTTATAAAAAACGTTATGCTTTTGCTCGAAAACGCTATGCTCAAAACAGTCTTTTCATTGTCGACCCCGCCAAATTTTCGTGACAAATAACTGAACTCCACTGCTTGGGTGTGCCTGCGAGAAAAAATTCTATGATTCTAGAATAAAATTCTAAAACATGATAAGATCCGGGAAACTGATTGTCGGCCTAAAAATATAATGAGGATACACTTGGTGAATTGGTATGGAAAGTTAACCTCTTGTTCAATTTCAAATTTAAACATTGAAAGTGGACAACATTTGATTTTCAAAACAAGCTTGACCTTTCTTGGAAACGGGCGGATCCAGAGCAAACTTGAAGAGGGGCAGCTGGTAGTGGGAGCGTTGAAAAATTTTCAAAAATTGATGACGAGAGAACGCTGTATACTACAATTTCAGATCCATTTTCGGAATAAACAACATAATTTTGGTAATCCTAGAAACATTTTCATCAGATTCGCACTCTTCAAAAGGGGCGCACAATTTCCAAAAAAGGGGCGTCATACTTGCTTCAACTCGTCGAGAGAGGGGCAACTGCCTCTAGTTGCCCCCCCCCCTAAAATCAGCCACTGCTTGGAAAAGGCCTCTTAAATGGGCATTTGTAAGAACCTGTAAATTGAAGTTCAGGCTTTGTTCTTGAAATAATTTCGGAACCAAATATTGCCTTATTGTTTTGAAGTTGAGCATTTTTGGAGGAATATAAACGAAGATCGTCACGAAAAACCCATGCAGACCAAAATCAGGTGCAAGGATGGCTCAGTTGTTAGAGGCGCTGACTACAGACCAAAGGGTCTGTGGTTCGAGTCCCTGGCATGACCAAACTTTCACTTAGAGTGGGGAGAGTCGCCAGCTCTCTGTAATTCCAGGCGTAGGAATCATGAGGTGTGGTCACATCGAGAGGAAGGACCAGGACACTGCTCCATAAGCATAGCTTCTCAGTGTCCTAAAAACTACCTTCGGATGCTAGGTAGCAACAAATACAAATACAAAATACAAATACAAATACTATTTTTTCCAAAGAAAAATCAACAATTTAGTTCTTAAATTTTGGCTCGTGTTCTTACAAAATTGTTCTTATATATTGTCACGGCCTGTCCCGAAATTCTGAGCCCAACAAAACCACACTATGTTGATAGACACATGCACATCCCCGGTAGTAAGCGCTCTGATTTCTCAAGAATATGCAACAAAAGTAGGCACCGGCCTTTCCGTTCTTTCCCACCCTTGTATCTTCGATGAAAGAATTGGACAAGCATAACTACCGAATTGAACATTGTCGCGAAATACCCTCCATCTCGATATCTTGTTACTTTGATCCCTGTGTTGATTCCAGTTACCATAGTTCCTTAAAGATGGCGCAGAAAGAAGAAGGAAATTTGAAAAAATCAATAACTGTTTACGGATTGCTGACCTCAGTCTCTTTCCAACAAGCAAAAATTGCTGCAGAGGTAGGGACAGAACTATTACTTTAAAAAATAATGCGGTTTTGATGTCGGTATTACCCATTATGTAGCATGATCTCTAGTTCAGGCCTTTTTCTGGTTTAGGCCTGCTGAAATAAAAAATAGGTTACTAACCGTCATAGTTGAGTTGATGAGATGAAATCGAGCCTGTACTAAAATTAAGAGACATTTGGGTTTAAACGAATAAAAAAGGGTAATTTTTGCACTATATTTCATCACTCTATACAGATAAGTAAGACGACAGATAAGAATCGTCATTTCAATTCCACTCAGATAAAAAGGATCGGATTTCCATTCCATGTTGAATTCGATATTCCACAATGGAATTTGGAAAATCAATAGTCTAATTTTACCAGCAAGTCGTTTTACCATCCGCAAACCCCCCCCCCCCTTCTCCGATTAGCATATCTTTCCTCTTATAGGAATTCCCTTGATCTAAAAGCAGCTCTTCAAACTTCCATATTTAGTCTACATACGTTCGGCTTTAAATTATCACTCCGTATGCTCATACTGTTATTTGCTGTATTTAATCCTAAACCAAACTGGAAACTTGGATTCTTGCGCGATTGTTCGTTTTGAAAATCTGCGATTTTGAAAATCTGCATTTTGAAAATCTCCACAATTATAAATTAAATTTTTGTTTGTATGCATAGCTCAACATGAAATAGACAACAGTTAAGAGACTGCAATGTAACAAAAGATAGAATATTTTATATCTTTTAAAAAGATTTTAAAAAGTAATTGTGGCTTAGTTTAAGTGCACCAAACCTGTTAACCCCCTTTAATTTGCCACACCCAAAACCCTAACTGGAGTGCAGGAGCTCTAAGACTGAATGTCTCTGCAGACTGGTATACGGTAAGTGGCATTATAATACAGTGGAATTTTAAAAGAATTAAGGTGCTGAACTGAACTGTACTACACTTGATGCAGGATATTAAATACAAGTTACATATTACTGCATGCTTTTGTGTTGTGTCTCATTAAAGGCTTTTGCCCAACTGGCATGCTTTCAGACTATATTTTCAAAACTGGCCTTAATATCATACTGCATGAAAAAAAACCACAATCAATTTTTAAAGACAGCTGCCGCTGAGCATGTTGGTTGCACAAGAGCCTTTAAAATATGATTTAAGTAATGTTTAGCCTGCATTTTGGTCTGTGACGCAAGCTAAGTAATGTTATGTTTAAATAACAATATAATTGTTTTCTTACAGACAATTGCTTCAAAAAGAAAGGATGTATTCTCCAGCAATAAATCTGTTGGAATGCTAGAATGTGACTGGATGCAATTTATCACAACGGTTAAAAGGGTATGATATGATAATGTAATCCAAATAAATTGTGCATACATTTATGAAAAACTACTTCTAATAAGAATCAATCTTTATGGTGAATTCAAACATAAGAAAACTTATATTTTCATTGCTGCTTTTCCAATTTTAGACAAAGCAAGGAGAAACATGGGGTTTCAAAGACGAGACATTAGTTTTCATAGGGGAAAATCCACTGGGATCTGCAGAATACTTTATTAATTGGTTAGCAACTGAGTATGAATATGAAGAATTTCGGTAAATATTGTTTTAAAATTTACCCTGATTACCTAAATTGCTACAACAACAACTGAATTAGTTTATTTATATATCTATCTAATGTGAGTAGGAGCCACTTTTGAGAATGAATTTCAATTGAATAGGCAAGACATTTCTCTCTGAAGTAAACTGGCAAATCATTACCAAAAATACACTCCAGACTGGAATTGTTTGATAACAGGCCAAAGAACATGAATATTTCAGTAGTACATGCTTGCACTGTTGAATAACCGGCAAAGTTGTTGTCATTTGAAACCAGGGTTATAAGAATTTTGGGATGAGAGTTGCATTAATTGTGCACCAACCTCCTGTAAAAAAAGTCTCTACAAGTCTTAAAGTCTTAAAAAGAAGGAGTGTTTTTTGCATCTGCGGAAGCTTTATCTGCAAACATTTCATTAAATCAAGGGTCAGCTCGCACACTTTGTTGGAAAACTGGACAGGGGCACCCCATAGAGCACAAAATCTAGTAACAGCCTATTTGAAAATGTAAACATTGGCCACTTTAGGTGGAGCAATATAATAAAAAAACCTTAACATTTCATGACAGATTAGAAATTGCATGAAGTTGCATTATCTCTGGAGGAAAGATTCATGCTCCTTTGGCAGAAAAAAGCTAGCAGGTTTAAATTAGCACCCAAAATAGCCCATCCCTTTTTTCTGTCACAACAGTATATTTGTTAATATGCTACAAATGTTCATAATAACAAATACAGTGTCTGAATGAAATAAAGCACTAATCAGTTGAAATTTTATTAACTCTACAAAAAACTATTTTTTGTTAGGCCACTTCCATTATTCTATGCGATGGCAAAAGAAGAATACAAAAATCACCTGCTTGAGAGTGGGGTATGTATCAAGCACATGCTAAATCAACAATTCTCACAATTTTTCAATCGTTTATGCTCAATAACCTAAATGCTAAAAGTATGACAAAGTCCAAATTTTTTTCGTAGCACGAATTTGTGTTTTTGAGCATCACAGTTGCTAATGAACCGGCTGGAAAAATTTTAATTGAGGTGAGTGCATGTTATTGAATTAACTTTCACTGTCTAAACAGAATACTTATTCTGGATTTAAGGGAAAATTCTCAGTACTGGCTTGCTATGCAGAATCCAGTATCAAGGATTCTGGGATTTTCATAGTTCCAAGTCCAAAGGGGTCAACTAAAACCTTTTTGTCTTCTCTCAAGTTTATGAAAAGACCTGAGTGCAGGAGTTTTATTATATATGTTACTAATTAGCTGAATTCTTAAGTGACCTTTGCATGGCTTGAAAATATAGCCTGTTTGTTCTCCTGTAGGTTGCTGTCTTCATGTAGTTAAAGCACCTGCATCTGACAGGCTTTTAATTTGTTGTGTGTCAGACAAGAGACTTTAAATGTTTTTTAGGTAGCTTAAGTAGGGGTGTAGCATCTGAGGGGGCACATGGGCCAATTCCCTTCAATTATATCACATGATCAGTATTTACCAAGCAAAAAGAAAATACAGACAGACAGCAGGTATTTATATACAATTTCAAAAATAGCCTTGCAAAACCAAAGCAAAATGTTGTGACAACAAATTTGGCTTCTCTTTGTTCAGGAAACAATACCTTAGGCGAGCAGGGAAATGTGTGTAAAGAATTCAATATTCAGTCATCACCAGAGGCTCAAACACCTTAATGCTTTTGAGAAAAAAGTAACAAGGGACTTAAAAATATTACTTAATAAAGAGATTTTGCAGACAAACTAATTTATCTATTGTGTGCAGGTGTTTATGAAGGCTTCGCAATACATATAAACAAATTTCAAAAAACCAGTGCTTCAACTTAAAAGTTCTCTTTTGCAGCTGTTCACTGATAAATGCCCAAAGACCTGTGAAAATTTCAAACAGCTTTGTATTGGAGAAAAAGAAGAAAAAGAAAGACACAGTCCACCATTAAGCCTTACATATAAAAGAAGCATCTTCCATAGAATTGTGCCCAATGGCTGGATTCAAGGCGGAGGTATCATCTTGAAAGAGAATTGGTTTCAGTCTTGAATATCAGATTAGATAATTGACACATTAAATTTTTTAATTTGACATGACAGGAAATATCTTAATTATACCCTAAGTATATTAAAATATCTTTACTGCTGTCAAAGGTGGAGAAGCATTGCCATGTCCTTACAAAAAGATAATTCAGCCTAAAAAAACAGGAATATATTATCCTATGGTTAACTCTTAACAGCACAAAAAGTTCATGTTCAAAAAGTCTTAACTAAAACTAGACGAATACTTGTATTGGCTTCTTACTTGTACATGAATTCTTGACATGTTTATTTTCTATCTTTCATCTTGGGTTTTTTTATTTGCAGATTTTGAAGGAGGTAGTGGTACAGGAGGTGAATCAATTTATGGAGAAACTTTTGAAGATGAGAACTTCTCTGCGAAGCATGACAAGCGTGGAATGGTAGGAATGGCAAACAAAGGAAGACATTCCAATGGGTCTCAGTTCTACATTACTCTACAACCTGCACCTTGGATGGATACTCAGTATGTCGCATTCGGGTAAGTCAAGACAGCTAATAATGTTACCTATGTCACATGAACAGTCTCCAGAAGATACCATGATTCAAAAGCTTCATGACAATCATTTGGTCTTGTTCCAAGCTAAAGCCATAACAAATCAAAAAGCTTGATAAACCTGCCGAAAAGCAATTTAAGAGATTGCTATATAAAAAGAATTAATAGAATGTATATATTTTTTAATTTCTCATATCTTGAGTTTGCCATTGCCCTGAATTTAATTGCATACAATACAGTTTTCTTCTCTTTTTTAAAGCAAAGTCACAATTTTTCTAAGAATTTACCACTTTTTACCTGTAGATTCCAGTAAAGGTATATTTCGAGACAATTTTTTTGCAGGAAAGTAATAGAGGGGACAGAGACATTAAATGAACTGGAGAAACAAGAAACATACAATGAGAGGCCTGTAAAAGAATGCAGAATATCTGACTGTGGGGTTCTTGATGTCCACTCATTATATCAAGTGTAACTTACACATGTGTTATCCAATGTAAAATAACTTTGATCACATCTCTGTAGATAGAAATGTATTTAACGCTTGAATAACTTCACTTTTAGAAACAATGGAACATATATTTTGGTTTGAGGAAGCCAGAGGCTCATAGCTACAAGGGGGCAAGGGGAGCAGTCACCCACAAAGGCCAATAGCCTCATAGAAAATCTATGAGGAATTTTGGTTTTGGCAATTACTTTAACTGTCATCCACATAAAAACCATTCATAGGTTGTATCAGTAGGTTCATTCAAATGAGAGATAAAAAGCACATCACAAGTGATTTTGTTGCATTTGAACATATATTTATCTTTGCAAGCCAAGAAGTCATTCCATACTCTTCTGCAAACATTGTCCAAGAGGGCAAACACTTGCTTTGGCCCATTGTGCCTTGAAAATTGAGTAATTTTCCAAGACTTCAAAACAAATAAATACTGGTTCATTTGTACATGGAAAATAAAAATTTAAAAACTAAATGTACTTGAAGCGTTTTTCTTCGGAAAACAATTCTTTAAGACCTTCCCTGCAGAAAACAACTGGACAAATAAAAGGAAGATGTAAGGCAAGCAAATCTTTGAATAAATAAACTATACAAATACAAACATAAAATAAGATGCTAAAATGTAAGTTAACTATCATCATTTTCTACATAGAAAAATTGTCTTGTTTTTAATATGTATTAACATAGAAGAGAGGCCTTTCACTAAACTGGTCAAGGTTGTGAAAAATCTAACAGGCTTTCCATAAGTATGATTACAGAGTTGTATGCCTTTTGTATTCCTTCTTCTAATTCCAATTTTATGCCCTAATACCCAAATTAAGTGTTGGAACATCATTCCTTTACTACTGAATTCTAAACCATATGGATTGTAATGTGACATTTTTTCCATTTTTTGGCTCCATTTGCATTTTTATCCATTTTCTAAACATGTTTTCCTTTTTATATTGCTCTGTTGAATAAAGGGGCATATTTTGCCTTTGTTTTTCATCCATTTTCACTTTGCTAAATTTTCAATTTTTCTAAAAATGCCAGTTTTTACAAAAGAGTAAAGTAAAGGAAGGCCAAAAAATTATACCATTTAATTAGGGCAACCAATTTTTGATGCTAAATTACATGACATCCCATATCTTCGGAAAGAAAAGACCTAGTTGGTTTTTCTGGTGGTTAAGCTCCCAATAGCCTGTCAGGCAATAACCGAGGAGAACATGGGTACTTGAGGAAATTCCAGTGAGAGGCCTGTGGCTCTATGGGACCATGCACAAGGATGTCCAGCAAAAAGATCAATTCAGAGCTTCCCTCCTTCGTTTTGCATTACCTGCCAGAATCTCTTCCAATCCCTGTAGTCAGAGAGTTCCCAAACAACAATTGAATGGAAAAAATTTTTATTTTAAAATCTGAATATCTGGAGGTCTTCCCTTGGTCTGAATTTGTCTGGATTCACCAAGCCCAACACCATTTTGCTCAGACACCTTGTGTGAACGGTCCTTACAGTGTGCTTTCTATGTGAATAGACCCAAAGATTTCCAGAATCCAGTTAAGATTCTTGCTGGCATAGTGGCATGCATGCATTTATTTAAGTGTAATGGTGGAACTTTTTTGCATCAACTGCCACATCATAACTTTGGTGTTAGGTTCCCATGGAATGCACACTTGCCTTCTAAAACATTATTTTTAATGAGTGTTTAAAAATACTTTAATAAATATACTTCAACTGAAACTGGAAAATGAAAGCAATAATACTGATTTCTTTAATGTTTGAACTATAACATATAATATTGGGTACTTTCTTCAGTCACTTATGGCAATTTGGATCAATGAATCACATACTTTCCACTAATATAAGTAATAATGTTAAAAGAACACATGCTTGAATACTCTAGCAATTGACATTTAATCAAAAACACTAATCAAAGTCAGCATACCAAACTTTCTAAACAACATGCTGGTGAACGGCAGAAAAAGCCAATGCCACGATGTTTTGATGATGAGAGAAGAAGTCTATTTGTGAATTGAGCCAGATCTAGTTCTCAAAAATTGCTGAGCCTTTTTCTGATCTCCATGAGTACTCCAAAACAAAAGTACTTCATCAGCGTCGCACCTTGTCCCTGTGAATATTTCCTCTTCTTCTGCAGCATTTAAATAAGCAATTAGCTTTTCATATTTCTCTGGAATTTCAAAGTCTTTGTAAAATTTTAATGCAACTCTAAGCTGATGAAGCTTTGGCAACAACACACAATCTGGCTGTGTCATGGAATCTCCTGCAAGAAACCTTCCTGGTATTTTTGTGCTTGATCCTAAAAATGTATTCAAACGACTCAATTCATCCAACAAGAAACCTTTCAACTTTTCATCTACATCTGCATCCTTGTTCCGCATGCAAGCAGAAAATTTCTGGAATATCCTCCCTTCTGCCTTTGTTGCACCTCCGTCATTTTCCCCTGAACCAAATTTTAACTTTGGTTCTGGAAAATGCTGCTCAAGATGGTCTTCTATTTCAGCTGCATCATCTATGATTATCTTTTTACCGTCAGGTAAATCATGAGAAAGACAAGGTAACTTCATACCTGAGTAATTTTCTTTAAAAAAGGTTGGCTTTCTCACCAAGTCAATGGTTGTGACTTTGGCATCTACCCCCTTCAATGCCAGGAACATCATCAATCTATGACACTGTATACAGTCCCCTAGACCTTTTCCATCACTTGAAGCCTGTTAAAAAGGAAGAAAATTTACAAAGATATAATAAAAAGGGTAGATGTTACCACTTCTCTTACCTATATAAAGATTTTGAACTTCTCCTCAACTGCTTTAATTTTTTGTTAGCTGTTTGTAACCATTTGTTTCAATATTGTATCACACTAAGTTTAAGACCTATGCTCCTATGAAAAATTAGTCAAAAAAAACTTTATTTTTGAGCAGTTAAATTTTATCAAGTTGGAGGTTGTGAAAAAAAGAAACATTTCATCATTCTAGGTCAGGTAACATATCAAAACATTGTGGCCTAGTGAATGTTTGATGTTGGCTTGTTTTTTATGCATATTAAGAACCACAGCGACATCTTGCCTAAAGATAACGCATATTATCATTGAAGGCTTCTTTTACTAAGATTCTATGATAAAGTCAGCTCACTCTTATAAGAATACAATTGACCATCCTAAACATGTGAAAGGTTTCCATAAAAAAACAATTTCCAAAGTGTGATTTTATTATCCTTGCATACAATTTGGGGTCACCATCAGTGGTGACGCCAGGGGAGGGCTAGGGGAGGCTACAGCCCCTCTGTCTGAAGCATCTAGCCCCTCCCCCCATTGGAGGAAATTTTAGGTTATTGCCAGAGCAAATTTGACAAAATAACGTACCAAAACTGCTTATTTTAGTCATTTTAGTCCCCCTGTCGGAAGCTCCAGCCCCTCTGTCGGAAGATTTCTGGTGCCACCTCGGGCCACCATAAATATATTAGAAGCTTAAGAATGGGTACAATCATGGAAGAGAATAATCCATTTAACAACTTCCACAAAACTGCTACCAAGTGGATGATTCCAAGCCAAACAACATCATGGGTAAGCACATCATCTCAGAATAGCTTAAAAATTTAGCATACAAGTAGCATTTAGTAATTTAATATCATTGAACTGTGTAAAGAAATTATAGGAATACGTCACAGAAGCAGATCCAGACTACAGAAAACCTATGCAGAAGCATAAGTCAGATTTTTACAGCAACAAAACAAAAAAGGGAAACCAAGAAAATAATGGAAACAAAAACAACTTTAATACTGAGCATATATTTTGCTGACTATCTTTAGGCTTCTGCATAGCCCTATCTGATGGTGATTCTAAGCATTGATTTGATCCATATTTTCTGAACCCAAAAGCCTATGGAAGATTTAGTGTGAGTAGAGGTGAGATTTGATTTATCAAATAAGAAGGGGAGTTTGTCTCTGCTGCAGTACAGACAACCAATAGAAATTCGAGTTGACCTATGTAATTGTTTACAGTGGGCTTATGCAATTGTTTGTTCTTAGCAATGAAATGAAAGTTAACAATTGGTGCCTTTGTCTTGGGACTTCAAAATAAGTCATTCAGGCTTGAAGTGTTGACAGGGTAGTGTAGTGTGGTATTTCAAATGCATTCAGTTTAGTTCAATCAGTTCAAATATAGTCATGGAGGGCAAATTTTACGCATTTTTTATAAACTTTGAAATTTACGGACAATAACAAAGTAATTTGATGACCTGAATATACCAGGTGAACTCATAGCCAATACTTAATTAGCAGACAACAATAGGTGATGAAATCGAAACTGCTTACTAATTATATAATCAAATTTAATTGCGTAAAGATTAGCCGACCCTTCCGTCAAATTCTTACGCGGCGTCGGCTATATTTTACGCACATCAATTTCTGAATAGAACAGAATTATTACGAATCTTTGTGGCTACCTACAAATTCAAACAGTCCACAAGCCTTCATCACAGACCTACTGGTAGGAAATTTATGTAGAAGGGATGCGATATAAAAACTGAAATGCCAGAATTTTATAGAAAAAATTTTGCTTTTGAGAGCAACAAAAAGTTTGAAATGTCGACAAAACATTTAGCGTTTCAACATCGCACTAAAAAGAGTTCCATTTTTATTATTTTTGAGGGTAATTCTAAGGATAAATAGTCGAGGAATACTCATACTTTTGGTCAATATTATAAAAATTTTGAACACGCGATTTCGCAAAAATATTCTCAATGTCAGAAACGTCTACATCCAAAATTTGATGGAATCCCTTCGGAGACGCCCCTTCCCCCACCCCCCTTTGAGGGGTCCATCATTTTCTACCATTTTAGAATGATAACATATAGTGTTCCTTCAGCCATCCCGTATTTACGCAGTGCTTCTTGTCGATCGTCCGCTATGAATGTCACCTAGAGCTTGGACATAACCTTTTCTTTGCTTATTTTTTGGGGATTTTTCTGTTAGCCTTGGGAATTTGGAACCAAACATTTAGCTTTCCTCTTTTTCATATAGGGAACAAAATAAATGTTGCGCCGTCTTTTCAAACCCCGATGCAGTTTTATAAAAAGTGCGTAAAAATTAACCTCCTAATCAATGAATGTCGGGTAATATTTACGCACGTGTTTTCCGAGGAACGGAAGCATATTTCTCAGCAGTACTTGAATAGGTCAAAGGTGAGCCACAAAAGAGTCATTTGAATGCTTAAAAGGATTAGTTATTGTCCGCATGATGCCAGGACAATAAAATTGATGAGTAGTGTTGATAACTTTGTACCTAGGTAAATTGCGATTCATGTCTGCGAATCGCTTTCACAAAGGCTGTCGCGCAAACCAACTGCCAAGTTTTATGTCAACAGAAAGAGAAAGGACTGCTTTGGATGAATAAAACGTTTTTGTAGGAAACAACAATTGAATTACGCAACAAACTGCCTGCGTAAAAATTACCCGACATGTTGCTGTGCGTAAGAATTACCCGCCGTGACTATATATTAAAATTCTTCTACCCACAACACTTACAAACTAAAACACTTACAATGACTAAAATTACATAAATATATATACTTAAAATGATATGCAATAAATCACAATTATATACATAAGAAATTTCAAGCAGGGGAATTTCTTAAGGATGAGCTCATTCAATAGATAAATGAATTGAGGAGAGAGCAATCTCTATTTAAAGATGGTTCTGAAGCTATTTGCTCATGAAGTGACCAGAAAACAATATTTAGGGTCAACTTTGATAGTTCTTTGAAGACAAAATGTCTTTAAGCTTTGACAAAAACTAAAGGGGGTGATGATCTTCTTATCTTCTTATATCAACTGGAATGTCATTTCAAGATTTGGCACCAAAGAAACACACCAAACTGGTATCATAAAAGATACAAGACTACAAAAATGGGTGCCTTGGTTCAAGTCAGCTAATGGGTATTTTATAACTGACATTTTCCTCATACTGCAGGTATATTCAGCATTCCATTCCTTTGTGGGTTGCTCCCTTCATTTCCTTTTTCAAACTCCCTTTTGATGTCAGTCAGTGAATAAAAGATTTTATTCAGAAAGATTTAGGCCTTACAAACAAAAAATGGACATGGCTTGAAGCTTTGCATAGGTAAGAATTCACAGGCCTGGCCTGGCTCGCCTCCACGCTCCCCTCGCAACCTGAGGCGAGCTATGAATTGCTCTCCTAAACAGAACATGAAGGGAGAATCGCTCCCCTAAAATTTCCATTCATTTGCCCTTTTCCTTTCCAGAGAACCCTGAAAACGGGTTAATTGGCTTATTTTTGTAACAGCGATTTATCCCGTCACTGCATTTTTAGCAATTAACTTTTTGCTTGTTGGGCGGTTTTTGTTATGATAGGCATAAACTTCGATCTATTTGGAAAAGGATAGTTAACCGAAAGGTACGTTTGTAGCGATTAGAACCTTTCAATCTTAAGAAAACAGGAATATTTTTGGAAGGAAAGTCGAAGAAATGGGTAGGAATTGTAGATTGGGGATATAATAAGACAGCAGGTCCCTTCCAGCAATAGAAACAAAACTATCGCTCAAAGAGAACAGGGTACTCTGTCTTGCAGATCAAAAACGACAACCAAAACATGGAATTCCATTATCCAGCGGCATCTACTGAAAAACCCAGATTGGGTGAAAAATTATAACGGCGACATGTTTCGCATTATTGGCAAAGCCTGATCATCGTTCCATCTATGTAGCAGTTGGTAACATTTTCAATAGGAAAGGGGCACTTATTGGAAAACCTCAACAGTCATGTCCTCGCGTTTTCTGATGGCCTATTTTGATCCAAAACTGGGTATTTTAGCGTAGAGTTTTCCTTCTATGTTCTGACATTTTATTCTCTGAAGATTGCTAGACGTATAATTAAGTTTGTTTCAAAATTTGTTTGTTAAAGCCATTTCCAAATTCTGTGCAACAAAAAGATTGTTTTGCAAGAGAATTGTTGTTTTTGTGTTGTGCTAGCTTTACATAAAACGGAGAGAGTCTGTTCTTTCAAATACTTCAAGTAAAGGGGGTGCCTAAGTCACGGTTAAAGCAAATACAAATTGAAAGAAGTAAAACATAACACTCCTGACTGAGGCAATTACATTAAGGCAACCGACAGATACTAAAGGGGCTTATTAAGTCATCTGTCGATTGTCTTTAAAGTACATTATATGTGTTACTGATTTAGCTCGCCTCAGCAAATGAGGGGAGCGATTCACAGCTCACCTATAAAAATACAAACTGCCAGGCCTGAATTCAGGTTAGATCCATGTTTGCATCAGCACGGCTTTTATACATATACATACAGATGTCCATGATTTTAGGTAGCACCATCTAAAATTTCATCCTTTCTGTATAGTGAATTCCAATTTGATGTGACTGGGTGTGCAGATTTCAAACACAAAGGCAAAAAATCATGATAGATGACATGAAGCCTTAATGTGAGCTGTGATAAGCCACAGCTCATTTCCTTTTGAAGCAATGCCCATTTTGTTATCTCCACACTACAAGGACAAGCTCACCCCTGGATCCAATGAAATATTTGTATACAATATCAACTGTTCTGAAAATAGGTGTAGAAAACAATGGGACTGGGAGGGCTGCAACCCACAAATCTGGCAACATTTGTCACACTTCAGGCTCCGTTCAGGTAATTCTATCTAGTTATAGCAGAAATATTGAAGAGATCCATACTAAGGCCCTTTAAATTTTCCCATCCACTACACCCATGGTTCAGAATGCTATGAAAAATAGGCTTTGGGGGTATTTTCTGCTAAATCTATGAACAATGAAAATAAATAAATTTTACCACAAAATGGCTACCTGAATGTTATTTAGTTCTGTTTAGTTTACTTAGCTATGCCAAAATCTTTCTAATTGATAACACAAGCTATCTAAAGTAAATGGTAAATCAAATAACTCAAGAGTTGCCTTTCAATTCATCACACGACTTAAATCTCAAATTCTTTTCCGGATAAACTCGAGAAGCGATGGTTTATTCGATTTCCTATTTCCGCTGTGAATATCGAGTTGGCTCCAGGAAGACAATGCCTTTGCAGTTCTTCAAGAAAATCATTGAAATATCTTTCCTGAAGACAACTGCCATTGTTTATTATACAACAGTTCAAAACGCAACGCCCCTTTCTCTTGCTGTGAAGAGCGTGTCTCTTACTGTGAACAAAAACCAGTCACGCTAAAATTACAGCAATGAAAATTATGTCCAAAACAAAATACACTTTCATTTCAAAGCTTGTCTGCTATCTAATTATCTTTAAAAACTTAAAGGAACCAAAATTTTACAAAGAATGTATCTAGCTTTATCAATCAAGGTATCTAGCAAGTCGTTAATATGTAAATAAAGACCTCTCCTTGTCGGGACCCGTTGACCCAACAGGCGGCCTAAGATTCCGAAAACAGTCGAGCCAAAATAACAAAATACAAATACTCACTTTAACAAGTAACTCTAAACCAGATTCATCGTTTGTTTCAGCGTGGCCGTCCATCGTTTTGATCAAACTTTCTTTTGTAAAGCACTGGATCACGACTGATTGTTGTCTGTTAACCCTTTGCCTCTAAAGTCTTCCGAAGAATGACAATGCGATCACGCATGCGCCACTTCAGTCTGTCAACAACAAATCGAAGAATCCTTTTATGGCAGTTGATTTTCAAATGAGGGTCATTAAAATATCTTTTGCTATAGAACCAATCAAAAAAGGCAATTATAAGGGTCATTAAGAAGATATTTCACAAATATTGCGACATTTTGCATCCTGTTCAAACATGTCCGTGTTCTAAAAGCAAAGTTTATTACTGAAACCAACCTACGTAATACGTATGGTCCCATTCGGAGTTTCGTCGTCTTTCTCGAAAATTAGTCGTTAAGCAGGAACTTTCCAAAGTCACAAGAAAATCTTTTGCTTGAAAAATTGAAAATAAATCTGAGAATTGAGAACATTTTTTTAGAAAAACGTTTAAGCTCAATCGGGGAAGTTAATATAAAGAATTGAAAAGTTGCCTACACTAAAAACTCGAACTACAGTTCAGAAAACAGAACTACAGTGTCATTTCTAAGGCATTTCCAAGGTATTTACCCACAGTTTACAAATAGTTAAATCTGAAAGGAAAGTTTTAAAAAAATATTCCCCTCAGATATCAAATGTTAAAAAACAGCTAAGAAACATTTCTTCATAGAAATTTTCTTCCACAGCAAGCTGACCCAGAAAGCTTCGAAATGGCTCTAGAGAGCATCCACCATAGTGGTCTTTCACTGCCACTGCTTATTGGGAAGTTCTTCCTCTCCACTAGTATAAAATCTCGATTTTGCAAAGTATAAAAGACACATAAGTAAAAATTACCCCGGATGGGCTATTCCAAAATGTTCACATGACCCCGGGTCTAGCTAACTCGACTCCACATGAGAAAACTTTAGAAAAGGGTAACCCGTCTCTACGGGTAGCCCTACCCTTGAGAAGGGTTACCCGGCAAGGCAGGTTGACCCGGGTTGGCTGCTGTTATCATGTAAACGTTTGAAGAGATTTGACCGGTGGTAAAACGCATGCAACATTTCATCCAACATGCAGAAAACCAATGTTGGACGCAACGTTGGATGCGTTTGACCACCCATGTTGGGTCACCCAACATTTGCAAACCGATGTTGGATGAAATTTGATCATGGGCAGAGAGTTATCAGATACTATATACTGTATAGCGAATTTATCAAAACAACATTGTGCTCAGCTATATAAATGACAAAAAGAGCGCGAGATACACACGCACAAAGCAAGGGGGTAGTGCTATCAAAATAAACAGAAGGGGGAAGGCTCTTGCACAAAATGTTGAAAAAACAATATCAAAACTAGAAATTGCCTATTTTTCGGCATTAACAAGCTCTCTTGATCCACCCCTAGCACTAATTTCCAGGGGCTTAGACTTTCTTTTTAAAAAAAAAAATCAAAATACATTTTGTAGCCTGTTCGGATTAATCTCCGCTTATGATTTACGTTTTCAAGAACTCGTTTGGTAAGGAACAAAATATGTGTTGCCAAAAAGGTTTTGTTGGTAAGTTGTACACACCAACAATGGAGTCTTATTCTTGTTTCAATTGATATGGTTAAACATTGGAAAAATTGGTTAAACAAATAATGCAAATCATGGTTCTTCGTTGTACAATAATTTAGTTTAGCAAAAGCTACGACCGTGCAGCAACTGACAAAGAAGCATCACACTCTCTGTTGGAGAGGCTGTGGCAACCGATCTTTTTGGTCAGAGCTAGAAGCTCGGTTGCCAGGAAACAGTCTCTGCGATGGAGGCTGGGTAAATCAGAGAAAGAATCAAATTTACATAAAAAATAAAGAACAGTTTTGAAAACGAAACTGTTTTAGAAAATAAAGAATTGTAATTAGATGCTTTGTATTCAGTTAATCGGTTCTTTATTAAGAGGCAATAACCGTGGTGCGAATGTTTGTTGTTAAGGGCATTTCGGACGACAGCTTCAAGGAAAATGCCAAAAATTGTTGGTAGCTTCTGGTGAATAAAGCACCTGTCACATCACACTATTCTTACTTTGGTGTTATGCCAATTACCGTTTCAAATTAGAATCTTTGAAGCAAACAGTGCAGGTAATTTACCAACATGTGTAGGTACTACCCCTTTTCTTAACATGCAACTCACATTAACTTTCGACGGCTAATTCTGCTGCAAATATATTGCTATTTTTCCTAGAAATAATCTGCCGTCTAAAATTGAAATTTTACACATCTAAAATATTAAGAGAACATTTTCCAGAAATCCAGGAAGGGAGACTTGCGCTAAGAATCAAGTCTGTTTGGGGCGTTGAGGAAAACTGTGATCTAGTTATAGAAAGTTTTTTGCATGGAAACTGTTTTACATTTAATTTTCTGCAATCACTAATTGTAAGGGATGTAAACAAAAGCAAGGACAGGTGGCAGCATAACTGAAGACAAAATACTTTTAAAATTTACAACATATCGTATTGAAAACTTCAAATTAGACGATAACGGGAATCCATGGAATATGACACATCTTCAAGGCTGAAAATTCAATATATGTTGTAACATAACAAAAATTTCTCAACATAAATTCACACAATAGGAAATGCTAAGATTTATAATTCTTATTTTATTGGAAGAACTTTCTAAAATTATAGATGCAAAATTAACTAGCAATGTTCTGAAGCATGTATCATATAAAAATATCAAAGAAATAAATACATATGTACAGTAAAAGGTTTTAAAAACATTCCGCGAATGAAAATGTTCTGCAACAGCCTCTTGATAATGGTTGATCATTTCTCAACAACAATATATATTTACATATATACTTTATTTCTATACTGATCATTAGTGACTAAAATGGCGTTCATCAAGGTAAGCCATAATAACAACACACTTTCAAAAACCAGCGTTGTGTCTTCAAAACCCTCTTCATTCAAAGACTTTCAACAAACATGTACTTGCACCAATTGACAACTGGTCCAAACTCGCATAAATGTGTGCCAAAGCAAATTTTCTCACCACCATACTTCGATCTCTTAAAACATTGATCCTCTGCGCCCATTTCTTTCGGGAGTAAATAAAAGTTTTCCCTTTTTCAGTTGTAATCGGTCTCCTACTTCAGTCGATTTTCTCCTCGAATATTTTGATAAAAATCCCAAGTTAGACTTCAGCTGCAAGCTGTATGATGGGTCATTCTTTAACATTAGCACGTGACCTGCAGTCTTGAATACTTCGGTGATATTGAACCTCGTTTTGGCGCAGCATTCGATGTACTCTGCAGCACCCGATTCTACCGCCGTTTTTTCTGCCTGCAATTAAACAGAATCAATCAAATTAATAGGCCACATACATTTGGTACAGGCCAGCCCCATAGTTATGGGTAAGTTCATAAGATGCAGCGCCTTTTTGTAAATGAGTAGAAAGGATTTGGTTAACATGGGTTTAGAGTGCTGTTACCATTGTACTGAGTGGCATGAGGCTGGTGTAGGTTAACCAAGATATAATAAACTCAATAGGCCAATATACCGATAAAACATAGTTTTCCAAAACCTTTATCGAATAGTTCTACAAATATATAACGGTACTATGTTTGTAATTCACGGCAGAGAGAAGAGGCACGTAGTAAAGAAGGCGCCCTCCTGAGCAACAACCTATTATTTCTGGCTTTTACAACAACGCAAAACTGAAATTACCGCGCTTTCTCGAAAAAACACGCCCGCGCTTATTCAGACAACAAGGCTCAAGTGCTAAGTGTTCGAGAGTTCAAGAAGTTGGGTGTTAGAGATGGAAAACAACTAGGCAAAATGCGCCATCATGATCCGTCTACCGCAATCGATGCCAAAAAGAAGGTTCAAATGTGTGCGCCTATTCGAACGTGTGCGCTTACTTGTAAAATTTGCAAACAAAAATGAATAAAGGAGTCAAAATAAGACTGAGATAAATCGAAAACGGAGAAAGACGTCTAGAAAATGGCTTGGTTTTCGGAAAATCTAAGTGCGCAGTGTCTATTTTCGGTTTTCCTAGAGGGACTTCAAAACATTGTTTTTGTTTGTAAACATACAGAAATAACATGGTTTATGATGATATGGTAAGGGAAGATATCATATATCAAATCACCATTTTTGATCGTCCAAAGAAGCACATACTATTCATAATTATCGGCATCCGCTTATTCGAACACGCGCGCATATCCAAGAACGTATGGCAATCAAACACCTCAAAACGAAATTTTTTTGGAGGCAATGATTCATAAAGAGCATTTTGAAGATAAGACTGCATTACCTTGCTTTTGCAAACAGATTCAGTGCTTTGGGCTTCGTTTTGCATCCCAGGAACAGAGAGAAAGTAATCTAAACTAGCATCTGTTCGCAAGTCGTTTTTGCATCCAACCAAAATAAATGGTGTCTCTGGTGCTACATACTTGATCTCAGGAATCCACTAGAGTTGAAAAATAAAAGGACATTAGTAGTGCTGCATTGAATGAACTGTAAGTGAACAAGGATCTTCGTTGTTGTGTGGGGAGCATGCTGCAAGCTGCAAATGAGGCTATTGTATAGTGGGAAAGTGGGAAAGTGGGAAAGTGAAAGTGAAGAAAATTAGTGACTGTGGCTTTAAGTTGTATGAGAGTTGACAGTTCATAGATGCAAGTGGCAAATGATAGAAGAGCGTAGAAAGACGTCAGCCAGCAGTGGCATGAAGACCCAAGTTGATGACAAAGTAGAGTGAATATACCAAACCTTTTATTTTTGTGCAAGTAAAATGAATGCTAAGGACTCCACGTTTATATGTATGACATTTTTCGAAAAATCTGCGTATGAAGCAGAGAGAACTGAAATTCTTCTAGGGAACGTCACTGACATGCAATTACAAGCACTCATGCAAGTAATGTTTAAAAATGGAGCAGGCCAGGAGGTTTTCTTGCATAATTGACTGGCACTTTCTGTTGTTTTGATATTCAAATAAACTAACACAAACCCTCTTACGAACAGGTCCCACGCTACATTGTGCCAGAAGGCAATAGCCCCTACTCTTAAGTTAATCATTTAGATTAGTCTAAATTTCTTTATGCCCAACATCTACAAGTAAAACAGCGTCAGCAGAAACTTTGTCACTGCTTGGGCTTGGGGTAAAAGGGTCATTTCTGGGTGTTGTGATGTGAGTATAGAGTACCGAAGTATGACATCATCAAAAACATGTTAAAGCTTCTTAAATTTGTCCACATTATCTGAAAGAAAGGCATAAAATACCTCCCAATATGCAAAATCAGGTACATATGTTCGAAATCGAGCAACATGTGGCAAATGAAAGATTTCAGGTTTGCCAAGGGGTTACTATTATTCTGGCCTGGTTCATCAAGTTATGAGCCAAGACCAAATTAAAGAGGTTCGGTGCGGAAAGAGCCTGCGCTCATGTTGTGGCCATATCTCAGCCAATTTCAACAAATTTAATTGATTTTGCTTATTCCATGACGCTCTATCAGGTTATGGGATAAAAAGTGAAAAATTATAAAAATAGATTTTTGTGACACCATCACTTAGGTAATCTATTTTACAGATGGCCGAATGAAATCTCCTTCTTGTGATAAAATAAGAGTTACATCGCAGCTGAGTTGTAAAAAAAACAATTCAAAGTCATACCACGTCTTCGACATTTTCGAATGATTCTGGATCTCCAATATCAAAACAAACAAGAAAAATGTCTGCGACACGAAAGAGCTCAATGCGAAAACCATCGTATTCTTCGTGGCCTAGATGGACAAAATAATCGTAGAAAGCAATGTTTAACATAAATGAAAGACCATTATAGTCTTAAATGTGAAGTTTGTCCAAAATTGGCTGCTTCTCGTATATTCTTTATTGAATAACGAAGAATTTAAAGGAGGTGCAATGTTAACATAGCAAATACTAATTGATTGACACATCACGTGATTAATAGATGTAAGAGAGCATGTCAGTTTTCAGCCTCGAGCAGAAATATGATTGCAGGGTAAAATGTTTGGTGCATTAATTCTTCAATTCTAATCGGGCACAGTACTATATACGTAAATTTGCCATAGACTCAACCGGCTTTACACATTTTGAAGCGACTTAAAGCGTTTTCTCAAAACAACTGGCCCTAATTCAAAGATGTTAAATGTTTTGCTGTTCACTTTGAAGGCTTTGAGGTAAGATTGTTTACAGGGACCTTACTGATGTATTCTCATCGCCGAAAAAGCCTTCCAGCATGGGCATCCTAACTGATTGATTTTACATTGGTCTGAAAATGGACGTCGTCTCAGTATCACGTGCGAGGAAGACAAATATTATCATGATTATTAATTTCACCTAAAACGCTTTAATAACGAGAAAAAAGCATAAGTTAAATTTACTTTATCTAACAGCCAATTAACAAATGAATTCTAAACTACAGGTTTTACATACAATTAAATACGGTCAATGTCTTAAAGTATATGATTTTATTCTTTGGAGAAGCTATCAATCGCGCCTTGTTATTGTATTTTTCATTTCTCTTCTCAGATACATCCATGACCCCTTTCCTTAAAAGATGCAAGAAAATAGGAAGTATGCATTTTTTTATCACTCGGCAGTTTATGCAAACCAATTTTGTTTACAAAGGGAGAGAAGGTGACTGAACACGACATTGAATTTTATGTTCTATGACTTTTGGTATTCATTAAAGAACATACAGTATACAGATTCATAACAAAAACCCTGCCAAAAATTGAATGCTGACACGATTAACTTCAATTCTCTCATCTTTAAACATTCTTACCAACAACACTAGAATGAATTCCCTAACTTAGGAATTTAAGTTCCAGGTTGATTTGGTATTGATTAAAAAATATATATATTATAAAACATACCTTACGAATATACATTATGAAAAATACCTGATAAATCCCACAGCATAAATTCGATTGGCTTTGTTCCCACCAGGACCTCAGTAATACATTCATCAAAGATCCCACAATCGGATTCGTCGACCTGCAAACATTAAAAATTATTCTCTTATTGCTAAGAAGGGTTAAGCAAGGTTTGAGTCCATCTCACAATTGCTTGGGGAGCATCGGTCGAGGGGTTGTCCTATTAGTGGAAATAGAGTATAAGTTTTGGAGTTTGGTCACAGAGAAAACTCCTAACGCGACATCACGCAAACTACGGCGAAAAAATACTCTGAAACAGAGTGTGGCCTTAAAACTTTTACATTTCTGCGTGTGGGTTCAAGCGCAGTGAACTTTACGAGTCTCTTGCTTGGGTTGTTTTTCACTTCTATTTCCTAAGCACATTATATACGATTTTCGGAAGCATTTCCCCCTTCAAATCCCGTAATTTACGCAACTGGATGATAAATTCCGCAATTAATCAAAAATAAATGGGTCGAGATGATGAAGTTATAGGTGAGATGTTGTGCTGTTTAAGCTACCGGTCGGTGGTTCGGTTCATCCCTTAGGGGATGAGGGTGTTGCTCTTTTGCTCGCCGAACACTCATTTGTCGTTAAGTATTGGTTTAATGGCTAGGCCTTTGATGGTATGTTCTCGGCAGCAAAACCAGATTTGTCTCTCAAGTTTGTTTCAGCAACACCAGATTTGTCTTCTTTTGTGGTTTTTTCATACAGTATTTGCATTGCGAAGAAACCCATTCGCGTCTCTCACCGTTCTTTTTTCCATGTTTAGGACAATTGTCACACGAATTTCTCAAAATTTTAAGAAAGCATGCAAATTCCTAACCTTAGTGCAATAACAAACATGAGAGTGAAACTAGTTTTTTCTTCAATGGAAGGAATACTAAAATGATGTCGTACAAAGCAAAGTGAACTCATGATGTCAAACAATGGCAGAAAGTGTTTGGGGGGGGGGGTAAGCAGGGAAATGCCCTCATGCTTGCGAAAATTTACCTTGAAAGTTGGAAATAGAAATAGTCGATCGAACAAAATCTCGGAAAACTCCCTGCGCTTGCACCAACTAATAAAGCTCTATTTCCGTTACTGGATTTCAAATCTAATGCTTTTACATTCCTTTTTTATCATACGATTAGACGAATAGTTCGATTTCATGGGACTTTTAAATGTAAAACAAGATCACAGTACCAAAAAAGGTTAGACGAAACTGCGTTAGTCGACAAAAGAATCATCCGATCCAGTCTCGTTAGTACAGCAGTTGAGAGCAACAATCGAATATTAAGCTTTGAAAATATTTTAGTTGTGCAAAAAGATAAAAAATATGAGAGAGGGGTACCTCGAAATCAGAGTTGACAAATGAATTCAACAAGGAAGTTTTTCCACAAGTATTGTCGCCAACGACAAGCAGTCGGTAACGCTCCATCGGCGGGGGCCTTTCGTGGTCCGTTTGATAAGCGATAGGAATGGTGGCCTTCATCAGCATGCTACCGATAAATGACGATGACGGGCTGGCCTGTAACAGAAAATACATCTTAATGGTAAGTAATGGGAAGATGATAATTATAACTTACTATGTTATATTCATTATAAAAACCTACCAAAGATAAAATAATTAAAACACCATATATGAGATAACTTTATTGTACTTTACAACACTACAAGGACGATACCGAGGGGAACATCAGTCCATGACTTTGTCTTTGGTTGGACTTTGTTTCACATTATCAGGCCAGCATAGATAGAGAAAAATGCTGAAAAACAGAAACCCGCGCCAAAGGGTCAACAACGACAGCTTCTGTACTACCCCCTGTCCAGAGCCCCCATTGCTCAAGACACTATGCTTATCATTTTTTCAGGCTGTGCTTTCTTGACAATATTTTTCATTTTCAAAATCAAAATTAGATATATGACTTACGATAAGAAGCTAAGGGTTGCACATGTAAACACCGTTACATTCAATACCAAAGAGCTTAAACAATTTTTACCAGAATTTCCAAATGGCTGTAAATGAAATACACCTGAGTTGCAGTGTTTAGATGAAATTTTTATTATTAGAATGATTTCTTATGAACGAATTCATCTAATTGACTCCATAATATCATCTTACACAAAGTATCATTAAAGAAAGAAACTGGCCGACAAAAAAGACGATGTGATTTACAACTTTGTTTAGTGATGAAAAAGTAGTCGAGTTTCCTTGTATTAGTATTCAAAGGCAACACAATAAAACAGAGATACTTAAATTGAAATTAATTGTATCTTCAGATGATCAGTTTTTAGGACTTAAGAGTGAAATGTAACAAAACCGCATTCTCCTCGCGTTATATTAAAAAAATACTTGTTACCGATTTTGTTGCATTAGAATGGTTTGCAATAATTTTCTTTTGATAATGGTGCAACCGTGCGTTTAGCGTGCAACACTATGATCCTCACCTCAATTGTTTTACACGCCACCTCAATTAGCACAATTTACCACATCATAATACTTTCAATTACGCATATGCAGCCCATAGGCCATCGCACGCCAGAATTTACAGCGATATCAACTCAGACAGACCATGGGGTGGGGTGGGAGGGGGTCTTCTCACAACTCTTCACATCCAAGCCTGCACATTTGCTAAAGAAGGAACGTACGAAGGAAGAATTACAAAAACCCTATTCACTTCATTGCAAAATCCGAACCAAAGAAACAGTTCATGAAAACGAGGCGGGGGAATTCTTCTCCACAGAGGTCACATAAACAACGTTATCTTGTAGAAGCTTCAATCTGTGTCCATTTCACACCTCATGTCGTCATAATTCACAACTGGATTTAAACTGAATGACAGTGCCAAAGAAGCAAATGGTGATAGGTCATGAAAGAAATCGTATAGAGGGATAACAGAAATATATCTTCCTTCAAAACCCTATTAAATGCTTTAGATTATAAAGCTACTTAGCATCATTTCTTCTAATCTCATCGTTATTATCATGCATATTTCTCATAGCAAAATTTACTGAAGTCAAATTCAATGGGCTGTCTAGGGCTAAGAATTATAAGGGGGTTCCCTGAGGTTCCTCTTATGAGAGGATAGTCCTACAACAAAGGAGAGGGTGTTTCTTAAGGGGCCAATAAATGAAACTGAATTCTGATATAGAATACTCAAAACTATTCAGGGAGGAGGTCAACACATGGTCGAGCTAGATGTTTAAACATGTTTTCAAATTTCGTTTGTTACTACTAAATGTTTACAATTTTGGTTAGTCCTAATTTCGGTTGCTCGCAAAAACAAACGTAGTTGGCCTAGCTTCTTTCTTTACCAAAGAGAGAAGCTTTCTTTACCAGTGTTACGCAAAAAAGTAGACACCCTCATACCTCTAGTGTTGTAATAGCCAGACAGGCAACGGCTGTGAAATTCCAAGCGGAGGAAGAAGGCAAGGCAGGATTCGCTGTTTTGTCCAGAAAACTCAACGTGCAAGCAAAGATTGCAACCTGTTTTTTCTCAAGAAATAAATTTCCGACTTGTCGGCAGCCTGCGAATCTATTTTTAGAGCTTTGCAATCTCACAAGAAAATACGGGGTAAACTATTTGTAAGGCAATTTAATCTTTTTCGCCGGCTGCCGCAAACAGTTGAACATTGAAAACGTGACGATAAAAACGCATTAGCCCAAAGACAGTGCGGCTTCATGCTCTGCACACAATTCTCGCATCACAAAAATGACAGCCCAGTTGTTAAAACTGCTGATAATCGAAAAACCTTTTACGAGGAACGGTGTAAATGGGCTAACCAGGTCATAACCATCAAGAAACCAGGGGCCACGCCACAGAGGGGGGGGGGGCAAGGAGCCATGGTCTCTTCACTTTTTCAATAATAAAAAATAAAATAAGCTAAAATTTTTTATACAGATAAACTTTAAGATTGCAATAAATACATTGAACCAAAGTACACAGGTAAAAGAACTTTCTTTACAGCAAAATGTTGTGAAAATTCATCAATATGATTAGATCATCTAAGTACCGCATTAAAATTGAAGGAAATCTCTTGACAGCAAAGCTACTTGTTCATTTGAAAACAATAGAAACATGGGTTAGTCTCACTGTTTGCAGCTGCGAAAACTTTCCCTTAAAGGTTCTATTAGATTATTTCATAGCACGAAAAATCAAATTAATGACATCATTATGACAACAAGAAGCTTTGAAGTTCCCAAAAACGTTAAGAAACGACAATATTCAATTTTGCCTTTAATTGGCTAGTCTGGTTTCATCGTTGACGAAGGAGAAATTACAAATCATCGAAAAGAGATCATATCCAGGGGGGAGCCAAATAAATTTTTTCGGAGGGGTTTTTGCCGAAAAAAGGGCGTTGCTCAATCGATTTAGGGTGTGGTCATTAGATAAATAATCTTGTATTCTGCTTTTATGCGTTTCTATTTCGAAAGTTCAACTACTACAGAAATATTATTACATTATAATTGATGCCAAAATGTTTCAGGGTGAGAAAAAGTTTCTTCTTTTACTCTGTGCCCCCGTATACCTCTTTGTTGACGCCCTGAACATATCATAAGATGATGATGGCAATTATTACAATTTATCGTCATAATCATAATCATCAACAGGAGAGTCATCACAATATGACACAACGTATTGTCTTCTCGAATTTTCAACGACTTCGACAGTAAAACAACAAAATAACACATAATCAGAATAGATAAGGATGACAATAATTGGCGTCAAAATGAGCTAACAAAATTTACAAGCAAGACAAAGTGACGATTCGTGTGTTTCACCAATTCCATGCTTACACTAAAACCAAATGGACTGAAACATAATAAGAAGACAAAACAAACCATCGTCTTATTAAGGGCACAGCAAAATTTCTATTCTCCAGCAGGTTTCATCTTTTCCAACCTTGCATAAGTTCTTCGTTAAAACTCTTCATAGAGAAACGACAACCACAAGCCCGTACTTATTATTTATTTAAATATACCTGCTTGTACAGCATTAAAGTACTTTCAAAGAAGCAGTTTTCAAAATCCCGATTTAAGGTTATTAAGACGAATGAATGAATGAAAACTTTAAATGAACTTTTTGTTGAAGCCAATGATTCTTTGCCAGCGATGATTGATTACGCCTATAGGTTTTTTCACAAATGCAAATCCACGCTTGGCGAAGATAGGGTTTTTCAATGACGCAATCTTTGGAGAAGGGAACCAAAAGAAAGGGAAAGGCAAATAGAGGAGTAAAGAGGTTGTACGTGTCCTCCCCGATGTTTATACCCCTATGGTTCTACTAAATACTGGGCAATCATGGTCTCATATTTAGTTAAATATTCAGAGATATGGCTACATCTTTAGTAATGCCATTCGAAATCGGTATGCCTGTTGAAAACTAAATATATATAGCCAGGGGTGTAGTGCTATGAAATGTTTAAAAATATTCTAACAAAGCGCAATAGCAAAACGTAGAAAGTTGTCACTTGTTGGCATTTATAAACATGACTGTTCTCCCCGTGCTTAGAATTATCCATTTTTGCCTTGAAAATTTACAGCACAAAGAAAGGTCGAATATAAAATTTTTGTATCTGTCGTTACCTAGAAAGTCTTTTTTAAAAGGCAGTTTCTTAACAAATACAGTGGAGCCTCCATTAAACGGATGTCGGTCGGACTAGTGCAATTGTCCGTTGTATAGAGATTCTTTTAAGAGCGCTTGACCATTTGGGTTAAAAATTTGTCCGTTGTTGTGAATTGTCCGTTGTATAGAGGTGTTCGTTTATGGAGGTTCCATAGTTCAGTGGAATCCCGAAACATTCTTATTTTTCTTGAAAAAAATGAAAGATATGAAATGAAAATATTTTCCCGTATATTCGCTCATCGCCGTGTTCTTAAACATTCATGTTGTACTGTGTTTAATTTTCCTAATAAAAACAGACATTGAAGTGTTTTTAATCCGTGGAAACGCAATGATAGGTTCATTAAAAGCTCTAATCTGAAAATACTACAAACAACAAAATCTAAAATAGACGCTTTTTCGAAAATTGCAAGCTAGATCCAAATTGAATCAAATTGAATATCAATATTTAGAAACAGTTCATCTTTTGAATGCTCAATTTATGCTGTAAATGGTCCAATTGCAATCACGAACGAGGACTGCGTGGTGATTGAAAAGACAGCTGGTAGTTATGGCTCAGTTGAGTGTATTTGCTTTGGTATAATTGATCAAAATACGATCAAACGTCAAAGTTTTTAATAAGAGTAATACGAGAAAAGACGATCTCTACTTACAATAACAGTAGGTTCCAATGAAAGGGGTCGTTAAAATTTAAGCTGTCAATCTATCGGACAACTGGCATTATCGAACGTCGCTACGAGACCGATGAAGCCAGGCTGTGCAAGCTTTTGCTTTCCAGCAATCCAGTCGGAAAACTTTCGACATACTTACAAGCCTGGATATCGCTAGTTTATGTAATATTGTATGGCCTTCGAAATATAGATATCTTCAATACGTAATGTTAGTAGCATTACGGCTTTAAAGCGCCGCAAACCAAAAACTGCCTTGAATGAAAGCACAAAAAAGCATCGTTCGTAAAGACCGTCCGAACCAAAAAGATAGGTCATTTATTAAAAAAGGATCAACAACATCTAGAACCGAGCACGTTAGATTCTTTAATCGTCATTCACCAAAAAAAGCAACTTTGCTTCTATGATATAATATCAACGAGTGTTCAAGAGAGCAGGCTGTTCTCCTATCCTGATTCCTATTCTGATTCTTATCCTGAATCTCAGATCCAAAGCATTCTATGAAGTTTCCATTAAATCTTAATAATTAGCTACAGAATCTAGCCTTGGATTAGTTTTCGTCTTCAATCCAACATCATTATCAAACAAGTTAAATTCAGAGCAGTCGCCGAAAATTAAAGGTCTGGACAAAACAATTGCAATCAACTGTGTTTACTTCAAGTTGAAGCTACAGCAGCTGAATTAAACGCACGTGCTAGGAAGCAATGGTATATGCAATGCAATATGAACAAAATGTTCGAATATAAATAAATGTGAGCCATAAACTAAAATTGAACGATAGTCTTAAGAGCATTCAACATGTTGCATTCAACAGCAAGTGCAACAAAAACAACTTATTCGAATACCAATAAAAGCGAGTCATAAACTAAACTTAATTTCAGGTCTTCAAAGCAGTCAGCAGTAGTGCACAACAGAACATGAAAAGACAGGCAGACTAACCGTTGTACGACATGGCCTGCTTCCTGCAACATCGGCCGATATCCTTGAATGATCTGCGACCAGTACACTCACCGCATTATAAACAGCTTTTGATATTATAGAAACAGTTATAGCTTTGTTCTCTGTAGTACTGGTATTTGCATAGAGTGAATCGAGTAATACGAAGGATAAAAATATTGTCTTCCATGAATGAAGGCTTAATCGCATCGTTAAATATGGCTCTTGTTCCAAGAAGGGCACAAAAGAGCCATGGAGTGACGTAGATAGATTTTGGACAGTTTTATGTTAAAGGTTGAAAGGTGTTTATAAGCAGAATCACCTGATATCGAATTGTTGGTGATGTCTGGTAAAAGAAAAAGACAGCAACAGACAGTTTAATTAGCCTATACAAAATACTAGAGCGAACGAACACACTCCTGAAAATCAGAAAAGCAGCGTTGTATTGTGAAGTGATCAGACCAAGGAAATATTTCTCTTTGAAAATCACATCCGCCGAAGGAATGATAGCTTGAAACATTTATGAAAGTGTCGGAAAAATTGCTGGAGAGCCTGTAGAGTGTTGTTTTCGTGTGATATGATTTCCATATGTTGCAACCAGATTTTTTGCACTTAAAAGGTCTCTTTTTTTCTTCAGGTTCTTCTGCCCCTTTGCCTTCCTCTTTCCTTTCTTCTTTCTATATTTCTTTTTCTTCCGCTTCCTCTACTTGTTTTTTTCCACATGTTTGTTGTCTCTATTTGATTTTCTTCTTTCTCCCTACAAGTTCTCCCTCTCCTTTATCTTTCTCTACTTCTTCATTTCTTCTTTTTCGTCTACCTCTTCTTCTGCTTTTCAACCTTTATTCCAAACAGTTAAAGGTTTTTAGTCGAAACATTTTCCTTCACCTTTTTAAAACCAATCTCCCTAAAATTCAAGACCTCTTTCTACATAATTGTTGGCTAAATCCTTCCATACCAACTTTTTCTTTCCAATGAGCCTTTCTCATATACAAACATAGGCATGCATTCTTCATAGCTGCTTCATCCTCTACATTCACAACACAATTCTTTCCAAAGATTGTAAAATTGACAATGCCCAGCTACAGTTGGTGCATTTCGCAAATCCACATCATCTATATTTTCATTCAAGGCCCAAGCTTCATGAACCTGTTCTCAAAACGCTTTAAGAAAAATATGGTACTCTTCCGATTATTCGTACACCAACCAACCGTGTCTCGATTAACGTAACGACGTTTTGAAATGGAAAAAAAAGGAGCAATGAACATGTTCTCAAAATGCTGTCAGTTGATCAATATGTTCAGCCATAGTGGCGAACCCGCTCACCCTCAGTGCATTGTGTGAACTGACCAATGAAAAATGAGAGGCAAACAAAGGACAATCGAAGATTGGTTTATTTTCACGTGAATCTGCTTTGCGTTTAATATAGGCTGCTTTATACATCATCCCAATCAATATTTCAATTCATTTATCACCTCAAACTTTACCTAAAAAAATATTTGCTTCTGTTATGGTTGAAGGCATGTGAAAATGACACCTTCTAATTCACTGGGATTCTTCTCCGAACCGAGAAAGAACAAAATGTCCTTCATTATTTCCTGGTAGCTCATTTGGCTCGCTTTCAATGGAAGTTCGTTTTTGCACACTATTTGCGGGTATATTTTTGCACTCCTCAAAACCTCCACAAAATATCCATTTTGCAAGATACTAAACTTTTTGCTATAACGATGGGAGGAAAATAGGATGGCTGTAGTAGTTTATATACGTATCAGCTTTCCATTACAATAGAATACATACAATACTACAGCTTAGTGAGTTGATGCAAAAATAGTTTCTTTTTTACTTAATGAAACTGTAAGACGGATTGATAGACTGGTATAGCACAGCACTGCTAGGAGGATAAGGGATCTTAAAGTCAGCCAGCTGAATGTGAAAATCGAGAATGTCTAATTGGGAAAACCGACTAAAATTACATCCAACTGCCGTAAATTCAGTTAAGGAGAGCAATCTTTATTTACAGCTGCCAAAATAAAACACCACGTAGATGTGTGACCAGCTGATTACTGGTGATATTTTGACCACAGACGAACCAGAAGAAATGATTCGTGAATGATTTCACTAAGTTCGTGAATGAAGTGCGTCGATCATTATTCTCCATCAACATCATCAAATTTTCTTCCAACAGACATAGGCTTCTGTCATCATTGATAACAATAAAGTTGTTACAAACTAATTAACCCTTGTACCGATTTGGGATAACAGAACGAAGAATTGAATAAAAAATACAACTGCATCAGCTTCTATAGCAAAGTAATAAACTTCATTTAACTTTCCTTGGCAATTGAGTTGAAAGATACGGGGAAAGAGGGCGTGGAGGATTGAAGTCGTTGAACGAATGAAAGGAGCAGGGGTTATCCACAACTGTTAATTAATATGACAAAGCATATTAAACAATTTTTAAAATGACATATTACCAGCATGGTTATGGAAGATAGCAGATTCTTTTTCATCTTTGATGCAGCGTGTAACTTTGATGGTTTTTGTGCCATTTACAAATTTAAGTTCTCGAAACACCCATTAGAAGTGAAAAAAGTCCACGGCAATGTGTTCATATAAAGCTAACTGCACGAGAATGCACAAAGCAGTCATCAGCTCACTAAGTAGTATCAACTAGTATTGTAACCTTTACAGTTGTTGCTTTTAATGATTCACAAAGTGAACGGTAGTTTTTATGGATTAGAATTATCTTCACTACAGAGGATATAATGAATAATTAATGGCGCAGTGTGCGTATAATGATTTGGTTGGTTTTTTAATAGGATTTGGCAACATTTGAAGCAGATAAATGAAACATTCAAATTGAAGCTGAGAAAAGTTCCCTGCAGCAGGTTCAACTGGAAATGAAACCAATTAAAGAGCTTGATCTAATGGCTACATCATCAGTATCTCCAAGGTACACAACTTTTCACCTTCAGCAGCTGAAACAATAAAGAGAAACGGCCTTCCTTTGTAAGCCTTAAGCTTCTCAAAAGTGTTTTTCTTCAACTGTATGGTGGAAAAACTTCTAGGAACAACTCGTTCTCAAATCAGACTGTGCTTCAGCTATTGAAATGAAATGGCAGCTTTGAAGATCCCTAGATTTGTTATCTTCAACAAAAACCCTTCATTAAAACTGAATGGCTGCATTTGGCACGTCAGAACTCTGAAAATCAATCAAGAGAGATTCTTAAACCAACAGTCCACCTTTTTCGAGACGACCAGTCATTTTCTAGAACAAAGAATCATGATTTTACACATTCTTTTCTCACTAGAAACATTTCTAAAGTTTTCCGTGCGCTACAATTTTTAACCACGTTTTTCTCCACGAAATGACACATAAATTGATTTTCCCCGGTATTATAAGGTTTTCTGAGCTTATCTGATATGGCAAACCATCAACATTTTTATGCAGCTAACAGTAGCTACAATCGATTTCTTGCGTTCAGCGTTCAGCATATCAATTGTAACTTTGAAACAAGGTTACCCTGTCAGTCGAGAAAGATCGCTTTTCCGGGGGCCGTTCAACGCACTCTCAGTTTCTGCCACTGACTCGTAGCCATTTCAACTATAGTTATCCCGTTTTTTCATTGTTATAACTGAAATGCACACACATTTTCAAAGTATTATCGCTAAATAGCAGTTTATTTTTCATGGGTTTACTGTAGTGTTGGCGCTTTATCTAACTTATATCTGTACTACTACATTAAGCACCCAATCTCCCACTGTCTCGCTTCCATTTTCAAGCTCGAATACATTTTGAAAAATTCTGCATTTTTGTACAAAACTTTTGACATCAGATTCGGATTGACAGCAAGGATTTTAGTAAACTTAGAAGTCTTAATTATGTTATTGCTCACAATATTGATTTTATTACGACATAGAGATGAAAATTTCATAAGGGATATGACAAGGGGGTAAAATTTCACCCGGAAAGACTTTTGCGGTCAAATCCCTTACAAGTCTTCAAATTTCATTTCTCCGCAGATCTAAAATACAAGCATTTACAATACGAAAAATTGTATCCGTCCTACAATTATAGCGATAAATACGAATCTGTGGTCGACAAAGTCGTGTAATGAAGTTTGGAGAAATTTTCAAAACGAGGCCGTAGGTTGAATTGGTGTATCATGTGGCTCTGATATACACCGAATTCTCTATCTTAACCTTATTCATATCAACTTCTTTCGGATTTCAGAGATTTCGGACAGCTAGGGTGAGATCAACCAACAATTAAACCAAAGGGACGAGGATCTGTTGCTTCAGTTCTGTTTGCATTGTATTCTTTTAGAAATCAGATAGAAAAAGTTGTGAACCGCCAATATCTTTAGAGCTTACTGCTGATGTCAGCGAACACAATTTTTGAAAGCACGAAGAAAAATACATAATCCTGCTGGAACGTTTTCTGGGACATCCATGATCCAACTTTCTCAAGGGAGCTTAATATATCAATTGGTTTACATAAATTTTCGTAACAATGATATACCTCTTACAGGGAGCAGCATCAGGACCGCCGAGAGGGGGCAAGGGGGAAAATTGCCCCAGGGCCTCACAAAGCAATGAATTCCATTGAAAATTGAATTAATCATAAGTAACAGAATGTTTGTCAAAATAGTAAAACGCTTTAAACAATTGCAAGAAAAGTAATGAATTCAAGCTTATCTAAAGGAAATAGTCACAAAGATTTTCTATCGCTTTGCTTGAAGGGGGCCACATCTTTCGGTTTTGCTCCAGGGCCTCCGAAGCCTCACCTCAGACCTGAACAGCATAGATACAGTGTGATAGCGTTGCATAAAAATATCGATTAAGTTAATCGATTCTGAGCTGACACATTATTGCTCTAATATTATTTGTAAGGGTCTCTGGTTGACCTCTACCCTACCCTGGCTGCCAGGGCCTCAGCGGAAGACCCTCCCTTTTACTGTGGCTCTGGCAACCAGGGTCCGTCTATCTCTGCTCGCCCTAACTGTGGGATCGCACATCATTCTCTATTGAAGCAAGCCCCCATATGACGAGCACAAACTTTATTTCAGAAAAAAGCAAATGTAACTTACACTAGGTTTTCTTGCTTTGTCTGACATGATAAGGCGGCCATCCTTCATCTTCAGTGCTGGTATTCCTATCGCGTGTCTTCGAGCCATTTTGAGCCAACAAGTGATCCAACTAACAGTTAGCTTGGTTCTACACCAACTCAGCTTTTATCCAACGCTGCTCAAAACAAGTGCATAAAGGATCGATATTTTGCAAAGTGAAAGTTCATCTTTTCGATTCATCATCAAGCAACTTTTCGATTAGAACTGAAGTACTTATGCTCATACTGCAAAATACCTGAGGAAAATTTCCCTGTACAGCAATTACAGTGTACTAAATCTTAAAACAACGTCGACTCATTTGAGCTAAAGAGTGATTGTAAATTGCGTTTGCTTTGGGATCAGGGTCCACAAAGCTATATAAATATAAAGAGCAAACAATTTGAAAAGGACTAACCTTACTGTGTGTGAACATTTTGGGCTCAGCCTGACATATGGCACCAGACACAAGTCCAATGGCTTCTGTGATATTTTTCTTTGTTGCAATTTAAACTGCTTTCATCTGAAACCCAAAAAAACCAATAAATCATCAACATCACTGCTTAAATATGCTAAAGAAACGAAAAAAGGAAATAACAACTAAACTCGCTATAACTTTTTAAAGAAATTGTTATTGGCAATCACATGAATAAGATAATCCTCGACAGATACTTTATATAAAAGCTCCAAAAGGCAAAACAATCATGTTAAGGAAAAGTTGATCTTACACTTAAATTTCTTATACAAACACTAGCTTTGAAGTTTGGTATTAAATTTCTAGTGAAAGTCTTCTTTAAGAATGAAAATATTTTCAGATTAGAGGAATGAAATAAAACCCATTGAAAATATTGAAAACGTGAAAAGGAGATGTTATTAGAGTTTTAAGAAATAATCTCTTAGGATAATGGAAAAACGTGCATTGATCTGCTTAAGGGAAATTAAAAAATATAAAGAGCGGGAAAACAATGAACGAGAGAAAAAATAGACATGCTGGTTTCAGTTTTCAATGAACAGTGTCAATCTCTTTAGCAAATACCTGCACCAATGCTCCTTCGCGGAGGTCTAAAGGAAGTTGCGTGCAAAGGATAGCGTAGACTTTTGCTAACGGACACTTTCTAACAGAGGACAATTTATTGAAGCGGGAAACATTTTAAAGCGCACAATGCATTAAAGCGGACAACACATTAAATCGGAAAACAAATTGAAGTAGACACTTTCAGTCAATGGAAAGCAGTTAATCGGACAACGAAAAACAGTTATTTCTAGTTCTTTTTATAAAGCTTTGCTGAAGAGGTCTCCTAACACCGGACATCTCACTATAACGGACATCAACTCGAGTCCTACAGGCCTCCGCTATACGTAGATATGTTGGTCCCTTGGTTGTGTTGAATCAAGCCTTGTGTTTGTGACACATAATATTCTTTTTATAACAATTGTAGGGGAAAGAAAGGCAAGCAAAATAAAACAAAAAGATGCTGTTTTAAGAAATTTACGAAGCCCAAAATCTTAAAAATTGGCGTAGAAAATGCTGCCTGACTGTCTAATACACATCTAAAACTCGTTTTTCAGTTTGCACTCCTACCAGCTAACAACATCATCTAGTAGGCCCAGCAACAAAGCGCATGATATTTCTGTGTAATACAATGCAGTTTTTTCTCTAGCAAAGGTTCCCTGAAATCCTTTGTCACAAAACTTAGAAGTGAGTTTCAATGATTCCAGGTATTTTAATGACCATAGAGTTTTTTAGTGTGACGTCATAAAAATCTGGTATTAGAACTCTGACCATATAACCTAAAGTGACACCGTGAAATACTTCCGTGAAATCAGCTATGCGAAATCAGCTAAATATATGTTAAAAGTCGGGCGAAATATGGCCAATGGAGATTTGAAGTTGCTAACAGATAACCGTTACAACTTGCATTGCAATTTTTAGCTTGAGGCAAGCGCAGTATAACACTGAAGGACTCGTTGTTGTCACTTATGCAAAAAGAATAGTTTCTTGAGTCGTCTCGGGAATATCTTTTCTGAGTGGAATACTTCACATGAGTATTAGAAAAACAATTTATCCGTCAGAAGCAACTTGCCTCCTTGCCAACGAATCCAAAGAGAGTGTGGGTACCCTAAAAAACTCATTAGGACCCTCAGAACATCGATGCGGAGAGACTTGAAAATGGCGAGATACAGATCAGCCTACGTTTCAAAATTAAAAATTTTTTCAAGTTTAGGCTTCTTCCCGGAATACACCATTGATCATTTTTGTTAGAGATCTTGTGGTTTATGAAAAATCAAAAGATGCAAGAGTCAGCAAAACATTGGATATAATTTTCGAACTTAAAATGGTCTTTCATAGCGGACCAAATTTGCAACATTAAACCAGTGGCAGAAATGTATATCACAAACACTTTGCATTGCGATCCCAGTCATCAATACTTAAACAATTCGTCAAGCAGTAAGCTTCCTTCGATATGGATGCCAACTAGAACGATATGTCAACTTTATGTAGATGATATGGTTCGGGGAAGATGGCATGGCATTGCGAGGTCCAATGCAAGAAAAATTGTCATGTGTAACGCCAGCTTTAAAACTGCAGCGTAATTCTTCAACACAAAAAACATACAAATGTCGAGAAGTTTCAAGTCAAAATAATAGGAAAATATTCTAAAAAAGCAAAAAAACGGGACACAAAAATGGCGAATGGTCGTCCAGCACAAAACGTATGTCGGAAAACGTAACCCAAAGTTTCTTTACAATAATGGATTTACTAAAAACCGATCACTTCCTAAAGGTCTCTGCTACAAGCCAATAGCAAGTACTCAGTTGCCAGTGAATAAAAAATTCACTTGAAAAATTTAGGGGATTGTTCATTCAAAGAAAAACAAGCAAACTTTTCAAGGCTTGTTTTCTTTACTTCACACTCAAGGAAACAATCAACTTCATCGCAAAACATTTTAAATGCGACTTAGCCACAATAATGAGACATTTTTGTAAAACATAAACAATTCAAAAACTGATTCTTGACCATGTATGCAACTGAATAAAAGCACAGATCCCAGGATTAAAATTGATAAAGGTAGAACTTGAAATGCCATTTCTGTTCCAATAAAAGCTAATTGCTATTATAAAGTAGCTCACGAGATAAATTTGCAGAATTTCCAAAATTGCCTTGTTGCAAATTGGATGATCGTGGGATTGTCAATTTATGCTTCTTGAAAGTTTTCCGAAACTAGTATATCAATTTTCAAAGCCGTTAATTTCAAAGAAAATTAACGATTTTCAGAAAGGATTGGCATCCATTTTGAAAACAAAATGCGCTAACAAAGATATTTTTTAAGAAATAAAAATGTTCTAGGTTGTCAAACGAGAGTGAAAAATATACTGTAAATTTGGGTTTAAAGTTCATACTTGGCTATATAATAAAATTTAAGGTTCATTGATATATTAGCTTGTGATGCTTCGAATTCAAGCATTTCAATTTTGGGTTCAATTTTGATCGCGATGTAAAATGAGAGCCCAGATGATTTTCACCTGTCCAAATAGTCTTAATAAATATTAATAGCACAAAAATATTTCAATTTTAATCATTAACTAGTTAAAAGATTATTTTCCCGCATTGAATGAATAATCATTTTAGCGCAAGTAAATAAGGATGCCTAACACAACAAATGGCATCTAAAATAATTCATGAGTATTAAGTGTATTCCTCTAGGATTCACAAATCAAAATCTACATAAAATGAACATTCGACCCCAAATTACGGGAATCAAAAATGTACTTCTGGGTTTCATAATATCATCGAAGAATAATAAGCCATGAATAATATCATCGAAGAGAAGCAGAAAATATTCTATTCTAGTTACAGTTTGGAAATATTATTACAGTTTGATAAATAAAGGCATTTTTCAAATATTTGTTTTTCTTTTTTTTCCATCTAAGGAGCTCTAATCTTGCACAAGGTGCGAAAAAACCTGTTTATTTATTTTACTATTTACACTGGAAGAAAACTGTGAGTAATGTAGGAAGAAAAAGTGCAGAGGTATAATCTAGTAGTTACATAGGAGATTGTGGACAAGGAGATTGTGATTGGCATAATATATTTATATCTCTGTATTTCTATTTAGATGGAAATCAATAAGTTAGCAAACTACTAAAGGCACATAGGCATGGGAGAGATAGGAGCTGGGAGAGGGGGGGGGGCGCTACAACACTTTTTATCAGGCAAAATTTGTAGCATTTCAGGCTCATTTGAGCAGTCCTATCTCAATTTAACAGTAATATGACTCATATGGAGCCCCCCTCAAACAAAAAATGAACTTTGCATCCGCTACACCCATGAAACAAAAATGGAGTTCTGATGTAGCAATCAATCACTACAGAAATACTATATCACGTTGCTAAAGCGATATTTTCAATGTTCTAATCAACACAAACGCATTTACCTTCAACTGATGCATCTCACAGAAATTTCATTATTGCTTTACGAGTCGCAAGGCATTTAAGCTTTGACCTGATGGGAGAAATTTCTTCGGCTCTCAACAACTGTCACAAAAAGCATTTGGTTGTGAGAACCTTGCCAGACAGTATAAAAAGCGTTTGCAAAAGTACTGAGCATCTATAGACACCGGGTTTTTGTCAAAACTCTTGCGCCTTTTTATATCAATTCAATTAGTCCCCATTCAACTTAAATGATAGATTTACGATGTGTATTTCCCTCCTTTAAAAATATTTTTAGGATCAAACACGTAATTTTTTGCATTAGAAACACTTCGGCGTCTGTTTTCTATTTTACCAACACTACCCATCTCTTTCTATTTTTCTCTCGGTCGTCTCTCTACTTATTAACACCCTTTGTTTTAAAAATAATTGCAATGTCTCAAAACACTCCTCCACAGCGACAGATGCAAAACTGTTATGACGTCATATTATGACGTAATTCAGTTCAGGAAATTCTTTAGAAAAACATTTCTAAGGTTTTCTTAAATATCAAGTACCAGATAGCTCCATTTCTAAAAAAATAGATGTGGGTGAAACTGAAATGACTCTGGCAGCCTCCCTTTCTCTTTTCCCTTCTCTTCCTCCTTTCCGCTTTGCTATAGGCTCTCGGGCCCTTCCCTAACATAACCAACTAAGAATACTAAGTCCCATTTGCAATGATACTGACAGGCCAATGCCCTGCACCAGCTTTAAGATTGTCATCAAATCTAGCAGTAGCCAAACCAATGTTTACCTTATTGGGCCAAACGGATCTCGAAACGGATCTGTTTCAGAAGACTGCGGATTTCTTACCAAGATGGCATAAAACAGGAGAGTTTTTATTCTATTATTTATATCAGTTGAACCAGAAATTGCAAAAAAGCTTAAGAGAACTGAGACAGTCTAACCAAACACCAGTGCCTTTGTGCTGGTATATGAGGATCGAAGCTGGTATTCGCAATGCTTAATCCTAACGAAAATGAGATGGCAGCTCTTTAATCTATCTTGAAAAAAGATAGCTATTCTTATACAAGAATCATTTCCATCACATTT